TCCTAATTGTACTGTATATGTGTATATGGTATAATCAGCCTTTACAAACTCTCTTTGTATCTTAAGGCTTACAGAACTGCCAGCACTTGACGTGGCATGAAGGGTTTGGTTTTTCACTTTCTTGTATATCATTGTATTCAACACTGATAACTGTGCCTAAACACAGCAAGTGTGCATGCACTGCTGCTCCTTCCTTGTTCCCTAATAGAAATATAGAAGAGAAACATTGGGGCACAGGTGAAGATGCTTTGGATTCATTAGCTGGCATGGTGCACATGTGTTGAGATTGTTTTCATGATGAATAGGCCTTAAATAGTTTAAAAAAAAAAAAACAAAACCAAAACCCTTGTCTCTGGCCTTTGTTTTTGTAATGGAGATGTGGGTTGGCAGAGCTTTTATGCAAGCACAAAAATCAGCCCAGAAGCACAGGTGTGGAGATGTAGTGGTGCTGTGGGTTTGAGTAATCTCTGATGTTTTCACCTTAATTCACTGCCACGTAAACAGGCACGTTGTTGCTGCTGACACTTTTCATTTTCTAAATGGTCATGTTATTCAAAATGTCTTTTTAATTATACTACACCAAACACAAAAAACTGTACCACCAGTCTTTGAAGGAGTTACATTTTGGGGAAGACCAGTGCCGATCTTTTTTCACTGTTTTCAATGCTTCCCGTGTGCTAAAAAATGAATGTTTTTAAAAAACGTCAGCGGTGCTGCCTTGCTTTGTGGCATAACAGCCATGGAATGATCTGGCTATGAGCTGCCTGACTGACTCCAACCTGCTTTATGGCTAAGCCAGAGTTTGTTCCAGCCGCTCGGAGGACGCGTTGCATCAAGCTGACAGCTGCCCTATAAAGCGTGCAATCTGGATTAATTCAATTCTACTTTTATCACTTTAGAGAAAAGCAAATCCGCTGTTTGTGGTGTTTGTCGTTAGCAGGCCTTCAGCCATCTCAGGTGCTTTTTCAGTCCCTGGGCTGGAGCTGCTGATCTGTCCTCTGCCCAAAGCTGCTTCTGGGTCCATCCTGCAGGGCCGTTCCTCTGTGTGTGTGCTGGGGCTCAGCCCATGGGGGCAGGAGGTTGGAACTGGGCCCGGCAGTGCTGCAGCAGTTCCCTTGTCACTCCAGGACCCGCTGCTTTATCCCCACTTCTGTTTGGATCCCTCATTACAAGATGGACTTTGAGATGCTGGAGTGTGCCCAGAGGAGGTCTGGTGAGCGGCTGAGGGAGCTGGGATGGCTCAGTCTGGAGAAGAGGAGGCTCAGGGAAGAGCTCCCTGCTCCCTGCAGTTCCCTGGCAGGGGGTTGTAGCGAGGTGGGGGTCAGCCTCTGCTCCCAGCTAACAGCGACAGGATGAGAGGGAATGGCTTTCCTCCTTCCAGCTGTTGGCTCCATTGCTTTTGTTCCTTGGTAACTTATTTCCTTGGAAAGCCTTTCATAGTTCAGTTTCTCCAAGTTGGGCATTGTTCCAAAAATATTCTCTTGCAATAATTAGATTGCTTTGATTCCTCTTAATTAAATCATGCTAAGTAGGCTGTCTGCGCGTGCGGCGGAGTCTCAGGTTTAATGCATCTTCTGCATTTGGAAACTGGGGTTCAGGTTGGATCCAAGTCACAGTGCAGCAACAGCGCAGCATCCCACTGCGTCCCCTTCTGCAGAGGTTCACCTTGAGCAGTACAGCTGCTCTGAGAAGTGGGAAAGATGATTATAATTCAGCATAAGGAAGAATCCGCTCCACGTTGGGACAAAATGTTTGTTGCAACGTGGGAAGCGCAGCGCTTGCTGAGGTTTGGGGGGCAGCTGCCACACAAAGCCTTTACCACAGGTCATCTGATTTGTTTTCATCCCATTCGAAATAAAAGGAAAACCTGTCGTTAGGTAGTGGTTCTGAGGCACAGCCATTCATTTAGGCACAAAATCCATAAAACCGTGGGAATAACTTCGTGCAGCCAATAACTGCTGACGTTTCCCAGTGGGATAGAAGTTGGTGAATTGGTTTTCCCTCTCCAGTCAGACTCATTCCGGGGGGGGTCCTGTTATCCCCTGCTGATCAGGGAATGCAGCATTGTTTTATTTATCCCCTGAAAGCAATGGGGCAGTGGTGGGGAGGGGTGATGAGACAACTCACTTTCATCACTCATGTCTGTAATGTTGCAGTTAAAACAAATGCACGGAGCTGACTGGGGGATGGGATGTGCTGCCCTGCTCCTCGGCTCTGAGCTGCAGGAACCTCCCTTAGTCCGGGAGATCCAAAAGGAAATTATTTGACTTTACTGTAGGGAGTTCTGTGTATTTTAATGATCCAGAGTCAGCTATTATTTATTCATTGATATGGATGGCTTTATAAGACATTCTTAAGTTTTTACTATCCCAAACTCATTAATTAATGATAGTGACATCTTTCAATTAGAAGTGCTGAGCAGTAACATGTTGTCCTTGCTTAGCAGTGTTATATGAATGTGCATCGTGCTAAAGACAGTCTTTCATTTCCCATAGGAAAGTGTCCTGCTGTCCTTAATCTGCAAGTACTTATTAAGCCTCTGCTGAACAAAAGATTAAAAGCATTGCAAGAAAAAATAGGATTTTTTCTTTGTCTTTTTCATGCAAACTGTAGTTTCTCCTTCAAGTTTGCTATTTAGTCTGTTTTGTCATAATATCTGCAGCTATCTGTATCTGTCTCTGTGTTGTAGGGAAAAAGCACTTCTGCCTTTTGTGTTACGGATGACTGGTTGCAAATGGGAGCTCGCCAGGGCTTCTTAGGTCTCTGTTCTCCCACCTTCCCTCTTCTCTCTATAACTTCCTGAAGGGAGGTTGTAGTGAGCTGGGGATTGGCCTCTTCTCTCGTGCCATCAGTGATAGGACCAGGGGGAATGGCTTCAAGCTACGGCAGGGGAGATTCAGGCTGGACATCAGGAAGTATTACTTTTCAGAAAGGGTGGTCAGGCACTGGAACGGATGCACAGGGAGGTGGTGGAGTCACCGAGCCTGGGGGTGTTCAAGGAAAGGCTGGATGTTGTGTTGAGGGACATGGTTTAGTAGGAGCTATTGGGAATAGGTGAACGGTTGGACTGGATGAGCTTTGAGGTCTTTTCCAACCTTGGTGATTCTATGATTCCCCTTTAGAGTTTGAAAGCTTTCCTTCTTGAAGGAGAGAGCAGGACTCCTGGCAGCAGAGCTCAGTGTGTGTGGGGATGGGCATAGCTGCGTTATTTTAACACAGCACCAAGTAGGCAAAGTGTGTGATGGCACAGGCCAACATTTGTTGCTTTGTATTCAACCTTAGGTTGATTTCAGCAGTTATTGGGAATGCCACTGTCCCAGAGGGCATGAAATGAAATAGCTGCTCCTCCACCCCACAGCTGGCATCCCCAGCCCATCAGATCGACAAATTCTGGACTTGTAATTGCAGCACTTACTCTCCTGGTATTCATTCCTTACCACTGAGGAAGGTCTTGAAAAGTTTTAAAAAAATAAAAATAAAAAGGGGGATCATCTGGTCTGCTTCGTTACTCGGATATCCATCGGTTGTGTCGTGCACCTGAATGATGTGTAATAAACTGATGCTGGGGAGTCCTGAGCTGACAGGTAGGCAATTGTCTGCTTATTTACAGGCTCCCTCCTCTCCTTTTCATTCTCCTCCGCCCTGTGTTTCTCAGTGTGTAAATTATGTGTTTACAGTTGGGGTCTTTAGATCTACGGCCTTTAGTTTTAGGGTATGAATTCACCTCCATTAATTGCGAGCTGTATTTAATATTTATGCTAACAGGGCGTGAGGAGTGTTCCGATGAGCTTGTTCTCCTTCAAAAAGGGGAGCTGAAAAATTACCAACCACTCTGGTTGTAGTGCCTGGTGAAGGTACCAGCAGGCAGAACGTGATTTAAGGGGCACGTTTTTGCACATCAGCGCCTTGATAGCAACGCTGAAAGAGGAGAGAAAGACGTGATGGGGCGACTGTGCTGAGATTAATACAGCCTCTTACCTTTCCTTAGTGTGGAAGTCCCCAGGAAGGATGAGTGTGTCGGATCACCGGCTCTTTCTTAATATTTTTTTTTCCACTTGCTTGCTTTGCTTCATGGCTGTAATCATGCAAATGATACCATTCATTTTACCCACCCTGCCTACTGGCTTGAGGTACTGCATATTAATTGAGCAGCATGATATCTGTTTTTCAAGCTGCACAGATAAGCAAAACATTTTTATATTAAATAAAGTGCTTCGTGCTTTTTACTATGATATTTTAAGACTTTCTTATCCTTGCATGCTATAGAAGGAAGGTTAAAAAGCATTAACTTCTGAGACCTTGACTTATAAGCAGGCTTTCAACAGCAGATTTTGTAGATGTGTGTGCAATTGTCCTACTCTTAGATTTGGTGGTTCTTTATTTCAGTATATCAGTACTTTTTAAGCCATTGTGATTCTGGATTCTCAGTCTCTCTGGAAGCCTGAAGAAGAGAGAGATGCAGGCTTTTATCTTTCAAAGGACATCTGGAAGACTTGCTGTTATTATTTGGCCTTGCTTCAAGAAAATGCACTTTTGAGTACGACAAACTAGCTTACTACATAGACATCTTGAACTCAGTCGAGCAAAAGTGTTTTGAAGTATTGGGTTCTTTTAACATTTTTTTCCCCCAAACATAAAAATGTGCTATGAATCACAAGCTTGTTGACTTAGGTGGCTAGGATTGATAACACGGAGTCCATCCCCAAGGCTGTGATGGTGAGCCCAGGTGCTTCCAAAGGCAAGCTGAGGGCTCTTGATAGTTTTGACCTTTTCTTGCCCCTGTGGGAATATCAGGTTCATGTGTGGGTTGTTCTGCTTGTATTCCCATACACCAAGTGGAGGGGTACTTGGTTTTTAAATAAGTCCAGTAAACATTTTGTCATTTTTTCCAGTGTACCAAAATATGGAAATGCTTCTGTCTTAAATAGTTGCCTGCATCTTAACTAGATATATATGTATTTTTTTTAACATTTATGAACAATGACCCTGTATGTCCATAGGCCAGGTACAAGCAGAGCCTGGATCCGACGGTGGACGAGGTGAAGAAGCTGTGCACATCGCTGCGGCGCAACGCCAAGGAGGAGCGGGTGCTGTTCCACTACAATGGGCATGGAGTGCCCAGGCCGACGGTGAACGGGGAGATCTGGGTCTTCAACAAGGTGAGAAGCAGGGCTAAGGCAGCTGATTCTCCTTCATGGCTATGTAAACGCTCCTGATGTTCTGTCACACTGATGAGTTTTCAGGATGTGACTTGCCTACAGGTGTTTGGTTCTGTGCCGACAGCTGTCTGCCTTCTCCATGTTCTTGAGGTTGAGTTCTCAGCATGAAGTTAGCTTTGCATCCAGGTTGGATATTAGGAGCAGTTCATTCCCAGAAGGAGTGGCCAGGCACTGTGGCACGGCTGCCCAGAGGGTTGGGGCTGTCACTGTCCCAGGAGGTGTTCAGAGCCATGCAGATGTGGCACCGAGGGATGTGGTCGGTGGGCATGGTGGGATGGGTTGGGGTTGGACTTGGGGAACTTGCAGATCTTTTCCAACTTAGTGATTCTCTGAAAGCTCAATTAACTGAATAACCGTTGTTCAAATTGCGTGAGTATGATTTGCAGAACAGTAAATCATTTAATTAAGCTCTCATTCCAGATCAGAGAGTACCGAGGAACCTCTGCAATATTCTATGTATCTCTTATTTTTTGTAAAGACTTTCCATTCCTGTTTAGCCATGATTTGTACAGCTATGTAGATCCTGTGCAGCACCTTTCTGGTGGTGCCAGGTGTGATATAGATGTGATAGTAAAGCTGTTCAGTGTTCTATTAAAAGGTAACTGATTTCGAAGGGAGTCTTAGGAGTGTGTGAGGTGCTGCTGGTGGCGGGGGAGTGCATCCAGCTGACACAGCTTGCAGAGATTCGCTCCTATTTTATTTCAGGAACATACTGAACTTCTTTTCTCATACTTCTCATGTATTATTTTTGTAATTGAATGAGCATTCAATAATAGCTTGAAAGAGCAAGGAGAGAAAGGCAGGGGAGAAAGTGCAAAAGGGCATAACTTCATTCTGGTGCATCTCTACTGGAGGCTCGATTAGTATTCTGACCACCATCCTAAATGATTATTTTGAAGCCGAATTTGGTGTTTAAGAACAAATAGGAGTGACCTTCTTCTTACTTAACAGCCAGTGGGTAATAAATAAGCCAGTAAGAATGCTGAGCAGAATGTGTTACACATGGAAGAAGAGGAAATTACTGCTCAATGAAGTTGTGTGCTGTGCCAAATGCTTTATTAAGAGCTTACTGGGTGTTTGCCAGTTTGCCTGCAGTTCTAGCTGGGGGATGTGATGTGGGCTCCTCTAGTTATAAAGAACTGAGGTCTTTTATGTATCTTTAGGGACTGTTGGAGAAGAACCCTAATCGTCATAGACGTTGACAAGTGACAGTGAAACTTGGTAGTTTTTGCAGCATGTTACAAATATTGACTTTTTTTTTTTTTTTTTTGGTAAAGAAGGAATTGGAAATAGAACTTTTCATTGAAACAAAGCATCAAGATGCAGTCATCTGCTTTTCATGCATTTGTTGTGAGCACTGCTGAAGTAATAAGGATCCATGTTGTCCGTGTGGTTTTGCTCACTGCTGCTGTCTGACAAAATCACAGCGTGGTTTTAAGAAAAAAAGAGAAACAATGAGAGACTGCAAAGTTCAAACAAGTTTATCACAGACTTCTGGGGAACTCCTCTGAAAACCAGAGGAACGTTCTTTGAAATGCTTTTGAGCTTTTTTAAAGAAATGGATTATGAAATTGATGCCAGTTCACTCTCTTGTTCAGTTGTCGTGTCGTTCATTTCCACAGGCCCAGGTGGCTGTTGGGAGATGTTGGTTAACCCAGGAAATTTTAGTTATGAAACCCAACCCACAAAGTTCTGTTGTGCCCACAGCCCCAGCAGCACCTCACCCTGAGCAGCCACGCTAGGAGGCCATTATTTAACACTCTTTTCTCCTTCAACTTCTCTCGCTTGCATGCTATTAGCAGGCTTGATAAGCTGTGTGTGACCCCTACAGTAATCATGGAACATAAATTTGTGCTGGTTTGAGGTAGCACAGTACTGGTCAGAGCTGCTGTCTTGAACTGCAGCAGCATGCTTTATAAATTAAAAGTTAAAACAACGTGTGTCCCTAAAATCTCATCAGTAATACGTGTCAGAGCAGGTTTTCTTTCTGCAACTTACTGTGACATCCTCGGGGTGTCCTTATGACAGGTCTGTGCCAAGAGTAAGCTGTTCGTGTGTCATTCCATCCTGTAACAATTTGCCAAGCTCCTGACTCCCTAAAAAAATTGTAACAAAACAATTTTTCCTATTAATTTTAATAGAACAATCAAAACTTTTTATGTATAGGCAAAACTGGATTTTGGGCTGACTTGGTATTACCTACCTTATCTAACATATGGTCTCGAATCACTTCTGTCTTCATATACACCGACGTGTCCTTGAAAATTTGATTTTTGTCGAAGTTTTATTACAGCTATTTTAAGTCTCTTGAATTTAAATGAGAGTTATGATCCCATCCATCATGCTGCTGATGTTAATAGGAGCACTGCAGCTTTTACTGCTGGTTTCGGGCAGAGCTCAGCGCGGTACCAACATGAGCAGGTTGCCCTCTGGCTGCGGATGGAAAGGGTTCTGCAGGCAGCCACGTCCAGCAGTGACTCTTCGTGGGCTCAGATAGCAGAAATCTCTGTGTGTATTTTCAGCTCTGCTCCTGAGGTTGAGGTTCGACTCCTTGTAGCTAACTTGAAGCCTGAGCCTTCACCCTCTGTTTCTGTAAGGAGCTGTTGCTTCAATTAGAGGAAGAGAAGGAGGAAAATTATTCATGTTTATAGAAGCAGAGCTGATGGTACTTGACTTTGCTTTGTGGGCATTATGATATTGGATAATTCTGAAAGTTGCACAGAAGCTAATAAAATCCTGAAGCGTCTCATTAAATTAAGATGGGGTGGCTGCTGATGGGCTGCGTAGTCTTAATTATCAGTCCTGATTTATTGATGGGATTTTCAGTTTGAGATGATTGATGTTAAATTAAAGGCATCTGGTTTACATCTTTGATCAGCACTACAGAAATCTGAGCTGAAACGAGGACTGTTAAATGCTGGTTGGAAGCGTGAGGAGTGCTTTGATACACACTAACATTTCAGCATTTTAGTTTGAGTTCAGTGTTTCAAACAGTACCACAGTGAAATCTGATGTGTCTTCTGTACTGACGTTGGATTTGTAGTTCTTGTTAGTAGATGTTGGTTGATACTGATCTTGATTAACATGTCCACAGTTCAATCCAGATTTTATTTTGTGCTTTCAGAATTGGATTTTATCAAATGTGTTTTATTACCAGTGGAAGTGCTGTTGTTGCCTCTCTGCCTCTTTGTAACTTCAGTGTTTCTTTCTTCTTTCAGAACTATACTCAGTATATTCCTCTGTCCATATACGACCTGCAGACTTGGATGGGCAGTCCTTCCATTTTCGTCTATGATTGCTCCAATGCTGGCCTTATTGTCAAGTCGTTCAAACAATTTGCACTACAGAGGGAGCAAGAGCTGGAGGTGAGATCACGACCTGTTGCAACGCTTTTTGTTTCTGTTTGTGCAGTAGGGTTAAGTTTAAGCTTGTTTTGCCATACACAGCTGAAAAAAAATGTTTAAAGCCACGTTGAAATCCAAATTAGTTTGCAAATGATTTGCCACTCCAGTCTGTCTGGTTTAGTTTGCTATTCTATTCAAGTTTGAATAATTTTTAAGGCAAGTGCTAATTAAATGGTAATGTTAATAGAATCAATTTGTGCCCTAATGGTCTTTTCTGCTGAGATAAATGCAGAAGTGAACGAGACATGTTTATTTTAGATTCACAAGTGTAGTGTGTGGGTATGTGTTTGGATGCAGTTCGTGTTGTTGAGCCGAATGCAAAATCGTGAAACCAAATTAAATAAACCTGGTGCACAGAGGGACCATCACTGATGATTTTGGTTTCAAAGAATGCTTAAGCTGGATGTGTTTCTAATGGAAAGCTGGATGTGTGTCTAATGGAAAGCTGCCTTTCGTTGCAAATATAATTACTAATACATTTATTGAAGTAAATCTGAAATGCAGAGTGAAAGGTAAGGAAGCAGGAGTCGTCCTGGGATGCAGAGTTCTTTGCTCCCAGATCCCCCTGCTTGCTTCAGCCTGCATGGAAAGCACATTTTGGAAGATTAACTTTTTGTCCTCCTGTCATTCAAAGAGATGGAATTAAAAAAATCTTCAAGGAAGAATTTTAGTTAATGGGCAACTGACCGCAGCAAGTGTAACTGTCAGTAGGTGTTAACACTGGCTCTGGCTCTAATTCCTTTCATTCCAAATGCCAGTTTTTGAAGATGCTTTTGTGATGACTTCTTGGCAAGTAGAAATACACCTAGTAACAGACACCAGCCTAATAGCTTCAGACGTGTAGATCTTTCCAGTTTTCCTGTCCTTTTCAATCAGTGACTTTGCTGCACTTCATAAAGATTCTTCCCGAAGTCTGTGGCTTGGGAAGAATATAAAACTGCAGAATGGATCAGTGGTGTTGGTAATAGATGCCTTTTTGAAAACTACAATCTCTAAGTCAAGGAAAAATGTCTGGTGGTCATCATCTGTTCTCCTTTTTCAAGTTTTTTTCTTTTCTTTTTTTGTCAGCCTACAGCTTTCATTGCCGTATCTTCGACAGTCTTTCTGTTTGTAAAATAAGCCCTTAAGATTTTTTCTTTTGTTTCCTCACTCTATTCCTAAGCAGGTTAAAATGGACCCACCCTCACTCTCCCTCCTTGTCCCTGCTTTCTCTATGAGGCTCTTCTTAGCTGTTGTGGGGCTCTGCAATGACTCTGCTGGTGTCCAAGTTCATGAAAAGCAAAGTGAAGCTGGAACTGGTGCTCAGAGGGGCTGCTGGGGTGATCAAGATAATTGTTAGCCCATCTTACTGAAAGGAGATTAGAGGAGCTTGCTGTTTTCTTAATCAGATAGAGTGAAGGCTGAGGGAAGATGTGGCTGTGTGTATAAATTCCTTGAAGGATAAGCTTATGGGAGGAGAAGTATTCATAGGATAATGTTGATACAAGAGCAATTAGGTGTATGGCTGTCCATGAGTCAGTCTAGTCTACAAGATTTTAGAAAATCCAAAGGATAAGGTTCTAGAACAACTTGCTGGCTGGAATAATGGAAACCAACTATTTCTCCATATGTAATTTTATGTGTCTGAGAACATCCATGATGTGAGATGGATGCTGGAGGTTGCAGGAGGCCATGCCTGCAGACACTGCTTGCGGAGATTCTGATATCTCAGCGTTTTGCAAACTGGCCCAATCAAACCTCTTACTGTTGGGAGTGCTGTGTCGAGTTGCACTCTCTTATGGCTTGAGTGTGCTGTGTGTATGAAGCCTTCACTAATTCCTGAATGTTTCCTGGCTTTCACACAGTGCAGCCCTCTCCCAGTGTAAGCTACTGCAGTAGTCGACTATCAGTTATAAAGTTCTTATTCTGTAGTCACAGCTAATATGCAGTTTTTTAGGTACTGATAGTAATGTGTTTCTTCTTAATGTGCCTTCCATTAGATATCTAGAAATTAGTTGGTGAAGTTAATTAAGGAGAGAAAATACTATGAGGCATAGAGAGGGTGAGGAAGGGATTACATGCCATGAAACTGCAGTAGATGGATGATCATTTGACACAAGCGACCAACTAAGAAATTGAATTTTCAGATTAAACACACATTGTAGCTCATGGTTTTCATTAAGTGCTGTGTGTCATACTTAGAACAATCAGAATTCATATTTTTTCCCATTATTCTTCTAAGTTTTCTGTGGTATTAAGTATGGTCAAGCAATCTTTAAAAGCATTTGAGAGATGGGCAGACAAGCCAAATATCAGTGACTTTCCAAGCAGATCTGGAGGCTTCACTTTGTGCAGGATGAATGTTTTCATCTGCAGTGTTACAGCATTGATCAGTGAGGGCTAGGATGTGGTCTTCATTTACCACAGGCTCAGATCCAGCCATAGGGATCCCTGCTTGCTGGCCAGATGCCATCAGATCACATACAGTTCTACCAGGACTATAAGAATTAATTACAGCATACTTAAAGGTACGCTTGCAATTCCATTCTATTTAGTTCTTTTCTGTCTGTAGAATATAAAGGCTTTCTTTCTTAATACGGAATCTAAATCTTCCTCTGTCTTCAAAGGATAGAGGCACAAAAGGAATAACTTGTGAGTGATAGGAAAGCAGTTAACTCTTCTCTCAGATACCTGAGGAAAGATAACACTGTGCCACGCAGCACTGCACTGTCTTCTTTAGAGAGCTGCCTCCAAAACAGCCCTTGAATAGGAAATTTTAAGAAATGCCTTTTGTTAATAAATAAGATATTGCTGATCTGTGTGAGTGAAGGGCTGCGCGGATGGGAAGAAGCACATCGGTTTCAGCAAGATGATGATGATGACTTGGTGTACCGGAGGCAGGGATCTGTCATGTCTCCTCCTGGCAGGCACATCACAATTGGAAATACTTTTTATCTTCCACAAGCCTGCTTCTCTGAGGGAGGTGAGGAGGAAGGGCAGAAGATGCGACTCCCTAAGGCACCAAAGCCAGCTGCAAACAGCACCCAGCCACTTAGCACCATGGCCTGGATGTGGTGGTGCAGGAACAAGTGTGATATATCAGATTAACGGTTCATTTCTGCAGTTGATCCTGCCTCTGGGGGGGGAAGGGAGGTGGAAAGTGCGGGGGAAGGGTTGCTCTAATATTTGTAACAGATTGCTGTTGTTTTGTTTTCCCAAGAAATATTTTTAAGAGCTGGAAACTGACCCCAGCTTTTGGAAACAGGAGTTCCTGCTGTTGCTTTCCTGCTTGATGTCCTGTTTGGCACTGCTGAGCACTGTGGCAGGGATTCTGGCTGCGAGGAGGTGCTGGGACTGGCAGGACTGACCTCGAGCTGCTGTCAGGAAGCAGCAGGGGAATGGTTCCTACAGGGCTGGCAGTAACCTAGTTAGAAAACACCTTGCATATGCCTGCTTTCGAGCTTGCTTATAACGTATAATGGAAGTGAAGGCAATGGATGCTTTTAATCATCTCATTAGCTAGCTCTGATGATTCTGTGAGTGCATATAAATACAGTGCAATTCTAGAAAATTAAGCAGGCGTTTTAAGTGTGCTGTGCTAACAATGATAAAACAGTAGGCTGGATATTTCTGATTAATTTTCTGTGTAATTGTGACATGGTGTTTCCTCTGTCTCGTGATTATTCCACATAGAATAGATCTGTAGTCTTAAGGCCGTGTTTGAGATGTGCAGAAATGAAGGCTGAAAAATGTCTTCTGGATGTGTGCTTTGCTGCAAGAGGTGCTGCAGTTTGGTTTTCAGATGCACTGTTTGAGTTTCAGACAGTGAAGCTTACAGCTGTGTGCTGGCTTGTTTTGCTCCTACCTGGCTGGGAGCTCAGTGTTGCAGTGGCAGTGCCTGTGCTTCTCCCCTCCAGCAGCACGTGTGGTCCTCATCAGGGCTGAGGAACTCACAGCTTTTGTTTTTCCATCTTCAGCATTAATTCTCAAAAAACTAGCTTAACAACAGTGTGGCAGAATGTTATCTGGCATTAGCATCATGTCTGGGGGGGGAGAGATTTTCTAATCCACCATCTGCTGGGAGAGAGGAACAATATCTTCTCAGGGGAAGAGGATTCTCATAGCAGGAATTCTGTCAAGCTAGCAAGTCTGGCCAACGCTTGTGATAACGAGCTTCTGTGCTGGGTCACTTTCTCCCATGTTTCACTTAGACGTGCCCATCTTGTTTTTTCATCAGGTGTTTGCTTCTCACTGTAGCTGCATATGCACATAAATGCTTTCGGTAACAGCAGTTTAAAAGACGTGCATCGTTTCCCTTTTCTGTTAGTCCCAGGCAGCAATGCTTGCAAATCTGTTAGCTCGTCCTTCTGTCAGTGCTCTTGCAAATAACAGACCTGAGTGCTCCTTAGCTGGGGCAGATGTAGTTTGTTTTCAGGACAAGTTAATTTCCACCATCTTACAGGAATGATTTCAGCCTGTTTCTGAATAATTGAAAAGTTAACGTTATCACTGTTATTTTGTCTGAAAGGCTGTGGGTTGCCAGTTGCCCTGAATGAAGTAACAAGAAGTGAAATGAGAAGTGCTGTGCAGATGTAAGGGTGTTTTTTAGCGAGCTGATCCAGGAAAGCGTGCATCGCTCTGTTCTGAGAGCGCGATTCTGCTGAAGAAGCTGTGAGCTGGTTATGGGCTGCTGCAAGGTCTTCATCTAATTGCTTGTTTACAGAAGCTGCTGAGACACGACGGAACGACAATTGTAGATAAATATGTATTATTAATAATTGTGATAACGTTTCACATGGGGAAGCATCACTCAGTTTACTGTTGTTACAGTTGTGCATTAGTGCGTTCTTGCTGCTTTGCTTTTAACCTTTTGTTAGCCATGAACTTTCGCTGTGTCTCTGCCTAATGAGGAGTTTTATCCTTGAGGGAGCTGAGCAATCCAGTCACAGTCTGACTTTGGTGGATGTTCTAAGTAAAGAAAAAGTTATTACTGGGCTTTCCTCTCCTTTGTCTTTCATGCTTACTTTGTAAAAGAATGTTTTGCTATATCATTATCCCTAGAAATCTAACAAGGTCTGTAATTACGAGCTGGTACTCCATGTTCATTTTTTGCTTGTTAATTGTTCATCTCCTAATGGGCAAATATTTATCTTGCATGTGTCACAGCTTCTTTAGTTGGTCTTACTGCGCAGAAGCCAGGAGTTGAGCAGGAGCTCCTTCCCCATCAGAGCAGAGAGGCTCTACCAGCACACAACAACCAGCAAGGCTGCAGTGCTTCACACTGCTCAGAAAGCATAAAATTCATCTAAATGTTCTCCCCACCTGTGGAGCTCATTTATAAGGATGCCCGGAGAGCAAGTCTTTCTGCAAGAAATTAATAGCAGATGTGAAGCAGTTTGACTGCTTTGTATTTATACATCTGTGAAGAGCTAGCACTTCCCAGTCTGTCACGCCTTTCTTCTAAAATAAAAGATGTCTTCAGTATTGTCATTATCTTCTTTTGTTATTAGCATACAGGTTACAATTATGAGAAGTGCAGTAAGGACTCTTAGGTGACTGGAGTGTAGGTTCATTTCCACCCCAGGTATGGCATCACTCGTTGCTGAAAGCAGAGTGGGGAGCAGGGACAGATCTCAGCTAATTTGGCCAACTTGTGAAAGCTGAAGTGTGTCACTGCCTCCTCTGGGGTTAGAATGGAAAAAGAATATTTAAAGAGTCAAAAAACTTGATAGGCTGCAGAATTGGTGACATAGCACCTGAAGCTTCTCTGTGGCTTATCAGGGTGCTTTGCTCAGCTGGAAAAATATGACTGTGCCAGGCTCATGGTTTGTAATACAAGTATTTCCCATAAACACTTGTGAGACACAGAATTAATTTCCTCTTGAGACAGATGGAATTCCTCATTTATAAAGTTGGTAAATAATGAGTTTTTCTAGTCACTGTATTACCTTACTCAGGGAAAAAAAAAAAAAGGAATAAAAGGAGCTGGCCAAAGTGTTTGTCTTTGAGTGGAAAGTATTCTGTTAGCCTGGATAATGCAGCATATGGGTCACTGTGCCGGGTCTTTGCTTTCCAGGTCCTGCATGAACGGGCAGTGGAGGCACTGCATGCATTACAGTCTCTTGGTGCGATGCTGTTTAAGAACCTTTGAGCACCACAAATGGAAATTTTGGGTGGCTGAAGCGTTTATTTTGTTCACCTGTTTCAGAAAGGCACAGGGAAGGTTTCTTTTTTCTCTGAATCTGAAGATCTGTCGCACTTTGGCAGCTCTTCATTGGTTATTTTCAAAATGAGATTGAAATTTACTTCCCTGAGTTGGAGTTCACCAATTCTATGATTTCTGTGCTCTGTCCAGGTGGCTGCAATTAACCCAAACCATCCTCTTGCTCAAATGCCTTTGCCTCCATCGATGAAGAACTGCATTCAGTTGGCAGCATGTGAAGCTAATGAATTGCTCCCTATGATCCCCGATCTGCCGGCCGACCTTTTCACATCATGCCTTACTACGCCAATCAAAATTGCTCTGAGATGGTAAGGATCATCTCCACTGTTGATGGCAAGTGCCTCATTCGTGTCGTTGTCTGTTAAAATGATAGGTTTTCCTAATCCAAGTGCTTCATTTAACCTAATGTTTCTCTGCAGTATTGAATTACAAGATTTGAACTATGTGTCTGGGATGGACTGTTATTAATCAGAACTAGAAAGGTGAAAAAACTGTTATCTTCTACTTATTACATTTTAGATTCCAGCTCAATATCTAGGTTTGCTCAGATTAAAGGATTTACTGTTCTGGGAATTAAATATCTGCTACTTCAGAGAGCGGAAATAGTACATAGTGCAATAACAACTCCTTGCAAATTGTCCTTCATACAAATGATATTCCAAATATTGCAGTTGCTGTAAACAATGCAGTAGCATTAAATAATGCTGTAGTGAAAGAGACCAAGCGATAAACCGAAGATGTTACATGAGGATACAAAAACCAGCTAGATACAGGAGGAGCTTTGAAAGGACAGTGTTGTTACCCAACAGAGGAGAGGAGCAGCAGCAGTTTGGTGCCAGCTGAGGATGTGGTATCAGGAATCCTGTGTGTCCCTGCAGGTACAGAGCTCTGTTGATTTGTTCCTATCAGCACGTTTCAGTTCATGCTCTTAAGGTACTTTGTAGTCCAGGATGAAAAACTCCAGGTCATTAGCCAGACTAGGTTAAAAGAGGCAGAAACATATAGATGTGGCAGACAACCATAAGCAATTGAGTCACTGCATCTGCAAGAGTTATGACTTCTGGAGATGCTCGTAATCACTTCACAAGTCAGATTCTCTCTGAGTTCTAAAAGCAGCAAACAAAGTGACTTAATGTGGCCAGGTTCTAGTTTAGATCCATAGTGCCTTTGAACACCTAACTTTTGCTTGTAAGCACAGTCAAAAGTCTTTGATAGTTTAGCAGGGCGAAGAGCTGCAGTGACACGAGGATTATCTAGGAGGGAATTTTTGGGAAGGTTAATGAGAAAATAGTTTTCCAACCCATGTGTCAGGGACCTGGAGTCTGAAGTTGTGGGAGATTGGGCTAGGGTTTCTGCCAAGGAATGGCAAACTTCTGAATGAGAGAGGCAGCTGTGCACTCCTCTGGTTTCTTTAATATCCTTTTTGTATTACTACTTCTATTGTGAAAAATTAAAAATGATTTTGTTGATCCAAGATAAGTTTGGTTGCGATATTAGGCGCTCATTAGAACTCCCAAGTGAGCACTTGCAGACGGGTGACAGGGTTGAGCCTGCTGCTTAGCCAGAGGCATTTAATCTCATTTAATCCTGAGAGAACAGGATGCTTCCCTTCCAGGCAGGTGGGGGAAGGAGCACGCTGGCTTCCAGTGCAGCTGCTGCTTGGCGGTGCTTCAAGGCGAGCTGTCTGCCTTGACTGAGGCCTCGTCTCATCCTGGGTGCTGATATGGTCCTGGTAGGCTGCTCCTGAACTCTGCCTACAGCATGGAAGCTCTCAAGCTGCTTGCTTTCTTTAAAAGCTGAGGAAATCACTATGTGGCAAAATTCCTTGAGGGGAACTTTGAGAAATAGTGTGTTACTGTGGTTCCAGGGAGCTACGTTTGTCATATGGCTGCCATTGGGTCACTGCTAGCCAAGCAGCGTGATGTGAGCTGAAGCTTTCAGCTGTGTTTGTCTACAGAGGGAGACTTAGAAATTGAACTCAATGTTCTACCTGCTTAGTTCAAGGCTAGCCACAGGTGACAACGAGTGCCACTTGGCAAATGCAAACAAATGTGGCTTCTTTTTAAAATTACTTTTCAAAAAGAGTGCAAGACCAGTAAGTAAAACAAAAAGCCACAAAGGATTCAGCAAATGAAGGTCTGAGCTCAAGTTCCAGGGAGAATATTTTCATCAAGACTCCATGTTAATGTGCAGTGAGGAGTTAAACAATTGCTTGTCAGGTTGTCTGAACTGAGGCTTGCAATTATTCTCAGTAACTCATTACTGTGAATCTGAGTTAAATCAATACCACAAAGATGCAGCGATCCTGCTTAATTTGTGTTGTTTTCACTATTTTGGAAAGACTTTGTGGGAATCCACGGCATGAGCTTTGATCTCTGTTGAAGATGAACTGGTTTGCCACAAACTGAAACTTCTTGAGTAAAGTGAAGGTGTTTTTGTGTAATACAGAGCTGTGATCGTGAAGGTGAAGACGTGGAGGCTCAGGTAGAGTTGTTTTGGTTGGAAGGAAGCCCCCTCTGAACATATAACCCTTCACACAACAGTGTTTAATGCACAACTTGTATTATTGAGAAAGGCTTTTCCAGATATTCTGATCTGTTCAGGAGGCTTGTGCTGCATCTCCATGGGAACATGGCTGAGGGGAGACAGGCAGGTTCTTGAGCAGAGCTGCTCCTGGTGCAGCGTGAGATGCCTGGAGTTGTCTCGTTTGTGTTTGGCAGGAAGGGTTGTCAGAATACTCTCCAGGTAAAGGATTTAGAGCCATGAACCTCAGCTACTGTTGGTGCTGATGCAGGTGGGTGCTCTGCTAACTCCTGGTTAGTGAGGCCTTTCCTACTGCATCGAATCCAAACATTATGTGTGTTGCTTTTTATTGCACGTATTAAAAAAAGAAAATCTCCTCTATAATCTGCAGATTACAGTCCTTTTATATTCCCTATTGATTGGCATTATTAGTGTTGTATTTCTATCCATGCAAGTTCTGCAAATGAGAACTTACTTGCAGACTGTTGTTATTCACTGCAGTTAAAAAGAATAGATGTGGAGCCAGGCTGCCTTCCTCATGCAGTTGTTCAGTGCAAGCTGTATGTCAGGCACTTAACCAAAAATACTCTTCTAATTCAGTTGGACCTTTTATTAAAGCTGGCCCTGAGCTCTGCAAAATTATTTTTGAAATAAAAGATTTTTGCAAGTCCAGACTGACGAGTTAATGAGGTTTCACATGAGGAGTTTATAGGCAAATGAAAGCTGGATGAATAAATTCCTGTACATCCCATTTTGCGTGTGTATTTGGGGTAGATTGATTGACCAAATCGCTTCACAAATGGAATTGCATCCACCTCAGGCCGGGAAAAAAAAAGATGCTGGTGATAGAAACACAGATGGATGAATGGTGCACCTGAATTTGGTACACAAAACTCTTAATCAAACTGACTGACAATTTCAGAGCTCTGCTGTCTGAACTCTGGGTAGCTTCATACTGACTGTCTTCATGTGCAGTCACTGTTGTGAGCTGACATTCCAAATGTATGTTGCAGCTACGTGTAAGGCAAGCTTAAAGGTAGGACATATGGATTGTCAATCTTGACTGACTTAACCAAGAAGGAGAACCAGCTATAGCAGAGAGAGGCAGAAATCAGAATACAGTTGGTGCACTTTGTGTTCAGATCTGTGTGTCTCTTGCACTGTCTGCAATAAAGCAGTCGGAAGTTGTGTTTGGTGGTGCATCGTATGCTGATGTTATTGTCAGTCCCTGAAGGCATAAACAAGCTGTAAGAGTAATTTCACAATTTTACATTTGGAGGAGAAGGCTGCAATTGTCTGGACTGCCTGAAGAACCTCCTTATGTGAGGTTATGGTGCTCCTGAAAAGTACAGGAAACCCCTCCAGCCAAAAATAAACGAAGTTTAAAAGCAGCTCAGACTCAGGAATTTTAAATGCACAGCTGTGTGCACTGGGACCCACGTGCAGCAAGATTGTCAGTGCCTGGGAGTAAATGCTTGACTCCTGACAGCTGATTTTGTGTTGGGTCAGTTGCACATTTAAAGTGTTTATTTCCAGTGTATGCATTTTGTGTTTGTGCTTGAAGGTCTGGGGGTTTAAACTGAGCCAATCCCCTGTCCTACACTTAGACTTCTCTAACTAAACTGAGTTTCAAAACATTCCTGGGTTATCTGAGAAAAATCTGAGCATTGTTATGCATGTTACTGCTTTTCTTCTGTGTCGCCTGGTGTGTATTGGTACTTTTACTGCAGCTCTGACATCTCCTGCCTGATGACACCAAGCATCCACTTGAGACATCACGTTTGGAGCCTTGGAGTAATGAGAGGGAGGTTGCAGATACAGGATGAAGGAACATTCTGTTTACAAGTACATTTTCTTGGCAATCACTGCTTGTTAGAGAGGAAATGCAAATAGTCTGTTAGCAGTTACAAGGGGTCTTAATGAACTCATCTCTTTCGAAATTTTCAGAGGTGGGGATTTGTAAAACAAGTGCACCAGTAGATCAAGCACAGACAACAGCATTAAGCTCCCATTCAGGCGGATATAAACAGGTCTGTGATGAGGGCAGGGTGTTTTTCTTCTCTAAGTCAAGTGCAGTCTGGTTGTATTTTGTCAATTTTGAGGAGCCAAGGCTTGACCAAAATAGCCTAGATGTAAGTTGATTTACATCTTTGCCCACAGTGCAACTCCCTAAGGAGAGTGCAAAGTGACAGCTGTGCAACGCATTCATTGTGTGAGCAGGTTTATAGCTGACTCTCAAAGGTGTGCATATCTCACTGCTGCAGGTATTGGAGGAAATGTTGGCACAGGGGCATTTCTCATGTACACATGTCCTGAATGTCTGTATGCACAGGGAAGCTTTCTGCTTCTTTGTCCGAACAGCTGTAACCAAAAGCCTCGTGCTCAGAAGAAATCCTTGCAAAAAGGATGCTCATATATTTGTTTGCCCTGAGGCAAACCAGCACCAGGTGAGACCCTGCTCATCAGCTCGGGGTCCCTTGCTGCCTGCCCAAGGAACCAGGCTGCACTTTGGGGCTGGCAGCTCATCCTTCTGCAACATGCCTTGCTGCTTGCAGCTCTGTCCTATTAATCTGTGAGCTTGTAAAATATTGCTGAGTGCTGAGGTCATATCATAACTCACATGAGAGGCTTCCAAAGTAAATACAAAATGCTGTGTGACATGGTGATAGGTGGAACCCTTTTCTTTGTGGAAAACAGATGTGTAACAGCCCAAAGTTGTGCAGGCTTTGCTTTAATCCTTTCAGATATGTCGTAATGCAGAGACATTGAGCAGCACAGCGAGGAAGTGTTTTGGCATCCACAGTCTGCAGGGAGATTCCAGGCTGATTCCAATAACCCAGTTCTGCCGTGCTGAGATCTGCTCGCAGGGTTTGTCTGAGAGTGGTGCTTCCCTCAGTGGCTCTGTAATGCAGCTCTGCGAGGTGTCTGTGTTTAAGGGATTGTACTGGGGTTCTGCTGTAGCAGAGGATAGTTTCATAGATAGTTTCATGCCTTTTTTTTTTTTTTTGGTGATGGATGGCACACACCTCAGGAAAGCAGCCTGGAGAGCACTTAGGTTTTCAGAGTCTTGGCAATAATGGGTGTCCTGCAGGCAAGGGGACCACAGGGACATCCTGAGTGACTGAAAGGTTTCAAAATGACCTTGGCACATCTTGATCTCTGCTGTGCTAAGAGAAAGCCTTGCGGATACTGGTGTCATGGAAAGGAGAGGGTGGGGAACCCTGTCTGCTGAGGGGCCTCAGCTCCGGTGTAGGGGCTGAGTACCGACCTCTTGTGCAGCACAGTGAGCTCTTCCACAGCAGAGAGCGGATTTCTGAATGCTGAGAAGCAGGCTGGCATCGTGGTGACACGAGAGGAAGTCATTTCTCCAACTGACAGCTCTGTTATTCCTCCTGGAGCTGTGGTTTCCCAGCTCTGCTCTCCGAACCACAAAGCGCATCCCAGCAGCGGGGCTGTTGGCCGTGCTGCCTCCCACCTGCACCCAGCACAGTGCTGTGCTGATGCAGTCCTGGAGCAGCAGTACTTGCAGTGCTGAGGAAGTGGAGTCAGCATTTCTTTAATTAAATAACTGTGGGTTTTGAACATGACATGTTGCTCCCGGCCTCCATCACCTGCCCTGCCTGCAGCGTTGGCTCCTCAGGGATGCTGGGCACCATTCCCCTTTCCTTCCCTCCCCAGGAACCCCGCTCCCCCCATGCATTGGAGTGCTGTCACTGTGACAGAGCCTGGCTCTGACACTCAGCACTGGAAATGGCCACATGCTCAGGAGTGTGACAGAAGTGAAGGGCCCTGTGTGACTCTGGTTGTGCTGGGGGAAAGTTTTCCACCCAAACTCTATTTTAAAAGCAGAAACACTGTAACAAAAACCTTCTTCCATGTTTTTTTTCCACACAGACCTTGCTGTTAAATATACAATGAGTGTGTTTTGTTTTTGTTTTCTCCTCCGCAGGTTTTGTATGCAGAAGAGTGTCAGACTGGTGCCGGGAGTCACGCTGGATTTGATAGAGAAGTAAGCCAGATTTCACATATATATATATATATATATTTTTTTTTATCTATTTATATATTTTTTCCCTGTTGCTCTTATTTCCTGGCTATTTTCAGCATTTCACTTGTTTATCCAAGGGGAAATTTCTTTGCAAGCCTTGCACAGGGTCCCTCCCTGATGGGTTTGCTGTCCGTGTCCCATTGCAGCCAGCTCTGGTCATGGGCACCTATGGGGCAGACGTGCCCACCCAGCATCACCAAAACCACCACGAGCAGAAAAGTGCTCACCAAAAGCATTGCCTTTCATTTCCTTGCTATGCTGTCCTGTTATCCTTTCTCCAGCAGTGTTATGTTTCTGACTTAACACTGAAATGAGCTATAATCCTTCTACTCAAACAATATTTGAGCGTAATTACTGATTCTGAAGCAGCTGAGGGAAGAAAGCTGTTCGTAAATCTCCTTCAGTTTATACCAACAAGCTGGCCTTTGAAATAATAATTGCCCACCAGGGTCCATGCTGGCTTTTCACATTTTTTTTTTTAATGGGAAGCGTGTTCTTAAAGTCAGGGCAGTGGATGCAGGCACTCTGTCCTCCCTGTGGATGATTTTTGAATATCCTATTCTGGGAACATTGCTACACGCGCACAAACCGGGAGTAATTAATTAAACACTGTTCAATTTCTGAGGAGTTTGGATGCTAGAAATATCATTGTCAAGATGAATTAGAGCCTGCATGTCTGCTGTTCTGACGTGTGGGTGCCCACAGCCCGGTTACCATCCTTGGTCTGAGACAAAAGCTGTGGAACTGAGAGGCATCCTGAAGGGGCTGAGGAAGCAGGAGCAGGGTAATAAGCTTTTAAAAGGGAGAGATATTTCAGACTTTCTTGTTTTTCTGATAATCTTCCGAATGGTGTCACAAAGTACAGCAGTGGCTCGTTGCTCATGCTGCCCATAGCAAACTGTGGGTGATAGCAGAGGCAAACTGTGGGTGATAGTGAGGTAAGGTAAGGTTGCATCAGCTAACATTTCTTGTTCAGGTTTTGCTTTAGCGAATCGTTCCCTGTTGAGTAACTTACACGTTTCTCATTCTGATGAGGTTAAAGATGCTTCTCAGTGCCATTAGTTCTTCCACAGGGTGCATTTTAAGCATAGACAGGCTTATCAGGAGAATCTGGGTATTTAATCATGGCAATTTTACACGTGAAAATTTGATTATCCTCTCATCTCAGTTGGAGAAACAAAGCATTGATTCTGCAAAACTGTATTTCAGCGGCACTAGTCTTAACCAAAATTAAAATCATTTCTCAGCTTTCTAAAGCAAACACGAGACCTGGGAGGCTGACAAGCAGATGGTTTAAGCTGTATTTATTTCCAAAGTTTAGTTGCTTCCTGCCCTAATGCAGTGTCTGGTTATTCAAGCCATATAACCACGGGCTGCTAAAATAGGATCTAGACGTAAATTGCTTCCAAACCTAAACCAGTATGGCCCACAGTGGGAGATGGTTTTGGGGATCATTTAGGGAACTCATTTGAAGAAATAGGGATGACTTCTTTCTGAACCAGTGGGCTCACCATTGGTGCAGGCTGGGGTCTCTTTGGGTCACAGAATAAATGTGGTCCAAAATAGTGACTGTGTTACGTTAACTGTGATTAACAGACTGCTACAAGAGTGTGTCAAAGCAGAGAACATATGGCAGTGTCAGCGACAGTCTGAGCCAGGTAGCTCAGGAGTTGGCTTCCTTCATGGAAAGAACCTTCATGTTACTGAGGGTTAAAAACTCTTCAAATAATGGTTTACTGAAAAATATAATCAATATCCTTGTTGATAAATACCACAGCGAATGTGGATTCTGTAGGGTCAGAGAATCATAGAATGAGCAAGGTGGGAAAAGGCCCTCAAGGTCACCAAATCCAGGATTGTTTTGAAGACCCTCTTCATGCAGGCTGCACTAGAAATAGGTTCCTGTAGATATCCGGTATTTAAACCCTCACATAATAATATGCTACGTATCATCAGTTAGAGAAAACACATGTTTTTTATTGCAGTCCCAAGATAGCACTAGAATACTTCTCCATTTGCCTTTGTGTATATTGTAATTTATAATTTAGTTGTCTTTAGAACTGTGGAGAGAGTTTATATTCTAATTAGGCTGCAGACTTTGGGACTAAATTAGCCTGCACCTTCTTTGAAGGGCCCAAACTAATAATTATTTAGGCTGAACCGGCGTCCTGATGAATAAATGCATGGTGCATCCTGATGTGCGTTTCTATTACAGATCTGCTGAGATAAAGGTAAAAAAAAAAAACCCTCATTTAGAAATAAAGATGTTTGCTGGAGCCAGGCAATGAATTGTAAAGGAAAAAAGGAGAAGTTTAGGTCGGTGGAGTGCTAAGAGTTGGGGCAGCTCTGGCTGTCCCTCGTGGCAGCGCTGATGTCAGGCATCCCTGCTGGCTCCCTTGGTCCCTTCTGCTCGGTGACAAGTTGTCCTGTCATCTCACAGCTGGCTGTGGGGCTCCTGAGTGCAGGGAACCGAGGCTTTGTTCTGCCTTTAGACATTTTTAGTAATTCCCTAAGGGGCAGTATAGCTTGGTGTATGGGCTGTGAGCTGGGTACCAAGAGCTGGGGCTGTGTGATTGCAAGGCTGCCCTGCATTGCCGCACAGGCTCTCCCTCTTGAAATCGCGGTCTCAAAAGAGTGACAACAGTATATTGCTTTCCCAGGAGATTTTTGCCCAGATCCATTTGGTGCCTGGCAAAGGGTGAGAAATCTTGTCCCCTGTTGTCATGCTTTGTTACAGAGGGCCTGTTCTGGATGTCACGTAGGCAGGAGGCCGTGGGAGAGATGTGTCTTGCTGCAGCGCGCTGCTGCTGCTCCCGACGCAGAGCGCCCATCTTGGGGCTGTCACTCACCAGCACAAAATCTATTTATAACAATCACTAGAAATAACAAATTTGGGACTAAAATTAATTTTGTTTCCATTTTAAGCATTATAGACTGTCAGGGCCCAGAACTTATTAATGTTTGAGTGCCTATTGATTATTGATGGTGTTCAGTAGGAGCCTGTTTAAAGACAAAGTAGGAAAAATAAAATCCCAAGATATCACGCAGCAAAGGTAATGCAATTGGAGAACATGTAGAAGTTTTGCTGTCGTGTAACAAATATCTCCTGTGTGTGCCCTCAGAACTTAATCAGCTGTGTCAGAATGGTAAATTGGGGGATGGGCTGTGGAGTGCAGCTGGTTAATTCCTAATTCTTTTTCCAGGTGATCTCAGCTGAAATCATGTGCGATGTGAAGTTACAGTTCAACTAGTCCAATTTCTGCCATTCTGCAACTTAGTTTTTGTAAATGATTTTAATTAGATTTATACTAGGAAATCTTAGTTTGCCTTTAGGTCTGACTTAGGCAGCTTTCATTCCCTTTCATTTTCTTCTGCAAAATTCAATAGAAAGCATTAGAGCATATATTTCAGGATGTCTTGTCTTAGTCAGTGCTGTGAGGATGCTGTGCCATGCTACCTGTCTGCAATGGGTACTCGTTGGTACTCGAGTGCAGGGAGAATGCTTCTTTGGAAGGCACTGAAACACTTCTGTTCAGTAGCAAATCTGGTTTTACTGAAACTGACTATTTAATTTGATCACTCTTGTTACAGGGAAACAGCCTGTAGTGTAGGCAAAGTCTATTGTATATACAAAGTGAAGATTACACTCAACAGGATGGTTTTCATGGCAACACTTCTTTCGTATCTTTGTGCAGAACGACGACAGGATTGAAAACTGGTGTGCAAAGCCTGACAGAAGTCTCCAACAAAAATCATTGGAGAACTTCAAACGTTTTGTCTTCCTCAAGGAGTTTGCCAAGGTTTCAGGAGCTGCATCACGGCGGCCCTGTGCCATTGGTGTGATTTGTGATGAGAGCGCGTTGTCTTTGAGCCCATTAGCTGTGCTGATCACTTCTAAGCAGCTCTTGCCAGTTCAGGAGATTGCTGCAGCACATATGCTGTGTGCAGAATTGTTTTACCATTTCCTGTGATATACTCTCCTCTGTTTTTTTTTTCCCTGAGGCTATAAAATGTGAAATATACTTACTTATTTTTCCCTATGCTAAAATTATGGTGAATGTTTGCAGCTATAAATCAACGCCAATGCGTTTTGTTTTTTGAAGTCTTCAGTATCATATTGCTTATCTCACATTGTATGTATTACAGTACAAAAATAGAGGTAATGGTGGAGCCCATCCAAAGGGAAAATCTGGCATCCTTTGAAGTAAATGCTTCCCCTGTAATTAAAGTGATTCATAGGATTTTGCTAAATTTCTGACAAGGACATTGATGTTAACACCTAGCACGAGCTCCTTAGTGACCCTGACATTTTGTAGTCTTCCCTTCTCACAATAGACTGCAGTGATTTAGGTCTTTGTAAAGGCGTCTGTCAGGAAGTTGATGGAAGAAGCAATCGAGAGTCCAGAGATGTTAAATTGAAGCCAGCAGCTGAGGCAGCCTGCCCTTTTTTCCTTTTCTTCCCCTCCCTCAAAAACAGTTTTTACAAATGAAGCCTGCTTTGTGCTTACTGTCAAAGGCTCTCTGGTGATCGTCAAAGCGTAATGAGAAAGACATCAGGAGAAGTGATGCCAAGATGATAGCAGTGTTCCTTGTGGGGGAGAATACTTCTGGGGCGTTGCAGCCTGCTGGCTACGTAGGTGCCTGTCCAAATACAAGGTATTAGAAACTTCAGTTTAGAATCACAGGACAGGTTTGGAAGAGCATCTTGTGGAAGAGAAGTGTGCTGAGTCTCAGACATGCTTCATCTGAAAATTTTTAGAGTGAAACTCTGAAAAGATTGCAATAGTGAAGTGACCTCTACTCCTCTGAGAGAGGTGTAGATGGTGAGTTTAAAAATACAGAACGGAAACCCCACGATTGACTATTTGAAATAAATCTGTGGTGATCAGGGTCTACTGACACTGAGCAGCACTGTGTTAAACCCCCGTCGATCACTCAGCTCTTCATTTGAGCGGTACAAGCTGCCCTCTGGTTTCTGGGATGAGAGTTTGAGCAGTCCGATCTAGGAGCAGAGAACACGTGTTGATTTTCATCTGTCGATTTATCGTACTGACTGTTCCAACTTTAATCGATTCCTGTGTGCGGCACAGAGAACAGCAGTGCTGCCAATTTCATCCTAATGGCTCTTTCTAGCTCTGCTTCAAAATCGGAAAGCCCTGCTACGGTTTGGCGCAGTTATTGAAACGTATTGCCTTTCATTCTGGTGCTATTCCACACTCTCTACCCTCACCATTAACACCTAATGCATAGGTTTGCAAAGCGCTGAGCACCATTAATCTTCGCAGTGCTGGAGCTTGTACCTTCCTGAGTGCGTATGGGGGCAGAGAGGAAATGAACTCACCTGATGACACGGCAGATGTGCGAATGACGTCCTGTTAATGTCTGCTTCGTGACTGCAGTCCCTACAGGCAGCTCTGTTTCTATGAATCTGGCAGCTCCTCTTAGAAAGCACGGTTGCTTGGTGCAAAAATACCAAGTGTATTTTAACAGCCAAACTAGAACCTGTATTAAACTAACAAGAAGCCATTTTTAGCCTTTCAGTGCAAACAGTAAGCATGCCTTGCTCCCTGATAAAGCAGATTATTCAAATGAAAAGAGTTTCTAAGGTTGTGCTGCTAGCATCAACTTTTGGTTTCAGCCTGTCATTCCTGCTTAGTGCCATCAGTAAGATAATTATCAACACACAATTTGCATTTAATAAACAGAATCTAGTATGAACTGTATGCAGAGCTCTCCATCTGCTGTAAAGATTCAAACTCCACCATGAAACGCTATTTCTCTTTGCACTGAAAGCTGACTTGAAAGCGGCCTTTAGAAGGCTTAAGCTCAGCATTTGGCTTGCAAGGAAAACCTCAACAAGGAATGCTTTGGTTTCTAATTAATAGCATTACAACTTATGAAATGCTGGTATTTTGCTGCAGAGGGTGTTCTGCAATGCAAATATTGATGTGAAATCCTCCTAAGAGCGGTTGTGTGGCCTTGTGTTCCCTCTGCTTGCTCTGGGGGATCAGTTAATAAACACTGTTTCAGAGCTGTATATTTTTCCTCTGATATCAAGACAGACAGGAATTTTTTATAAGATGTTAATTTCTATCTATTTCAGAAATGTATGCAAGGGAATGTGCTTCATCTGAACCTGCATAGGGAATGCTACTGCCATATGTATCAGAACAACTCAGCATAGACAAAGCTTTGCTCTTCATATAGATTGTCTTGATACTTTCACTATATGAATTTGTTTTTCCCAATGCAAAGCAACAAAGCATTAGAAAGGATATCTTAGAAAACTGAAGAGGATGGAGCAGGAAGCTGAGAGACCTTGAAGAACAATTTACAGCTTCTTTGCTTTCCCTGAGTCCTGAGTGGATGTTGACATGGTGCCCAGCAGACCTCGGGCTGCTCTCTTGACTCACAGCAGACATCACTTGCAGGTCCTGCAGCTCCTTTGGACTGTTGTTATGGCTGAGCAAATACAGCACAAGCTCAGCTGGGTGAAATGAATTTGAGCACCTTCTTTCAGTTCACAAAAGCGAGGTCCTCCCAGGTGGCAAACAGGACAGCTGCTTTCCCTCCTTCCAACATGAAACGCAGCTGGGCAGTGCTGTAGTGTTTTTTCAGTTACAACCAAAAAGCAAGCAGCTTGATGTAGCTCATGGAAACACTTTCAGATTAAAATCTGTCCCTCCATGGATCACAGACTGAATCTCTTAGGTTTGCATTGTGCTGGCAGGCTGCAGTTTGGTGCTGTTCTGCCGTGCTGAATCCCTGTCAGGCTGTCCCTGGTGCATTGATGCCTGGAGTAACAAATGGGCAGCCCAGGGGGATGGGATGTTATCTGCTCTGCCCTTCTGCCTATCTCTGGCTACAGCTTTCCACCTGGCTGCTCCTCAGCAGAGCTAAATAGCTCGTGTTCCTCTGAAGCACGTGTGCCTGAAACCTTTAAAAGCATTCAGTTGCTTCCCTTTCTTAATGATTAAATGCTCTTCTTTCTTCATCCACTAGCACAATGTATTTGTTAGCATGAGGATTCTTCCCTCTGATGAGTGTTCATCCACAGTGCTCAAGTCCTTCTCTGCTGTAGGAGTAACCTTAAATTTCTCACTCCATGGCGTCATGAATGCTTGGAGGAATCGGTTTGATTTGCTTCTGAAGAGAGGGGACGTAGCTGCTGTAGTCACAGTAAAGGCCTTCGCTGTGACAGACCGAGTGCCAGCTGAGTCCATTGCTGCTTGTGTGCTGTAATGGGCCTCTGGCTCCGAGGAGGTGTGCTTAGAAGCAGATATTTAGTAACGTGCTGCTGTTTTATTCCTGTAGAATCACTAGCTGGTCCCCTGCTTTTGCTTTGTCTGAGAAAGGGAATAGATCTGTGAGTACTTCAGCTTTTTGGAGGATTTGAGTTATTTTTTCCTACCTAAGATAGAATCTTAAAGACAATCTTGCTCACTTTCAGTGCATGTCCTGTGTGTTTGCAGTGCCAAGAGTCTTGCTGTTTGGAAAGCTGCCATCCCAGCTATTGATCACTGCCACTTTTTTTTTTTTTTTCCCTACATCAAAATATTTGATAAAATTAGCAATTGGATTCCTCAGCATTTTTTGTACCCCAAATAGACTCCAGATATGTATTGCTGACAAGATGTTGATATTTTTAGGGTTGACACAGCACTCCCTGTTGCAGCCTGGGTAGTTGTGCACACTGAGCAGATGGAGGATGGCCGTGAGCTCCGGTGTGAGCCTGAGTGCAGCAGCAGAGGCAGTGCTTTGTGCTTCCCTTCATGCTGTGCTGGCAGTCTCCTGGCACTCTGGGGAGAAAGGAATTTGTTCTCTTCAGCAGAGAAAGAATAATAAAGCAGAATAGGAAGAAATTATTACTATTTTCTTATGTTATGCTTTTTGTGCATATAGGTACCACCGTGACAAGTGATACAGTTAGAGGGTGACTGTGTGCAACGTGTTTAAACAATAAAAGCCCAACTAATAGGGAACGTCCTTGTTCCCCCTTCCCTTTTTCCCCCACAGGATTCCTGGAAGGCTGAATGACAGGAGAACTCCCCTGGGAGAGCTGAACTGGATCTTCACAGCCATCACAGACACCATTGCGTGGAACGTGTTGCCTAGAGGTACGACTTGGGCAGGCAAAGCAAGTTTTCATCAGGAGGGAGTGTTGCTGATTCAAAGCAGGATGAAGAGTGAGAGGAACGAGACGCTGAAATAAGGAGAAAATTAAAGCTTAATACTGAAAGAACAGCTCAGGCATGATCTTGAGGCTACTTAAATTTTTTATATTCGTTCTTCTCAGCAACAATTTCAGCAACATGATAATTAGAAACTAGGAAAGCTTTTTCCAGTGCTAATGTGGTTGCTTTAGCTTGAATAATTTTCTTACTGTATCTGGAAAAAGCGATCTGTTTTCTTGCAGCCTTTGTCAGCATCATGGAAAAAACAACTTTCTCTCTCTTTGCTGATAACACCGTGTATCTTTTGCCAAGTAACTTCACCCCATTTTTCAACCTCTGTTCTGCTCTGAGTTCATTCTCTAGAGCGTGAGCGGCCAAATTTGTATACATTTGTATGCTAATGCTCATTGCTGCATAAATAGTTCTTTGCCCTTCTGGGAGATAGTTATCATTTGTTATCTTTTACTGTTCATGTTGGCTTTTCGTGAGCACATCAAACTGCCAGTTAGTACTGCAGTTCTTTATTAAATGGTACACACAGGTCCTTTTCTCCCTTACAATTTCCAAATCACTAGAAGTGAAATTTTGTCCAGAAAGGGTAAATCCTGCCTGAGGTAGACAGTAGTTACTTATTTTCATGTGAAATGCAGAGTAATAGCGATGTTTTAAGGGAACTCAGGGCAGATGTCCTTTAAGAGTTGGGATATCCTGCCACTGAAAGACTGTTACAGATTCTTTTGTTGTTGTTTGAATAAAATATTTACGTATTTTTATCACTTAAGTGATTTTTACATAATACCTCGGGTACTGGAGTTACAAAGGTGCTCATCTGTGCTATCTCTTGACAGATCTTTTCCAGAAGCTCTTCAGGCAAGACTTGCTGGTGGCCAGTTTATTTCGTAACTTTCTCTTGGCAGAAAGAATTATGAGATCCTACAACTGTACCCCAGTCAGCAGCCCCCGCCTGCCCCCCACGTACATGCATGCAATGTGGTAAGTCACAGAGTTCCTGTGCTGCAAAGGCTGCTGCTGCCTTTGGGAGCTTTGCTGGGGAGCTGCCGTCATGAAAGATTGTTACTACTCAAATCTGCGCCGTGCTTTACTGATGAAGTCTGCGGATCAGAAATGAAAGAGCATGTGGCAGTGTAAATACCCACCTACAGATCTATTTCTTCTCTTTGCATACGTGCACGTGATGCAATTCTGTAATGCAGAAGGTTCTATTCGGCTATGTAATCGTTCATGCCAAATAGGAAGGGAATGGGACATCACCTTTATTTGCACAGAGCAAAGCTGATCCCCTCTGATTGCAAAGGGTGAGGGGCATTGGGGGCCGAAGGGAGAAAATCATAACTTGCATTGTAGAGTTCTTTTGCTGCAGAGTTCATCTATTGTCACTGTTGCTTTTAAGATGATTAACAGAAATGGAGGTGGCACAGTTACATAAAGCCTCTTAAATGTGGTTTTGACTATCAAACAAGCATTCCATGAACAACAGCAATGCAAATAATGTTAACAATAACAATAAAAATGCTTGCTTTGATTCTAGAACAGTGTAAAATTTGGCTAAGTACAAGCCAATACAGTCAAGCTAATGCAATTCCTTTAGGAGAAAAAGATAGCTGTGTGACTTGCTAAAGGCTGATAGCACGGCAGGTAAAGGTGACTGAGTGGGCTTAATTTGCCTGTATTTTCAGATTCCTTTGGTAAGTTTTCTTCATTAAAACATAGAGGAAAATAAATGTAGTGGTGGTATGAGGTGATAACGATCAGTGCAAACCTGATCAGCATCAGTAAGTTCAGATCGCATTGAATGTTTCCTCTAAAAAAGGGAGATGGGGTCATAGAGCCCCAGCAGCTTCGTGAGGTGCAGGCAAGGAGTTGGCATTTGCTGGTTGAGTTAAGCTGCTTTCAGGATTGGAAAGCTTGGAGGTGATAGGATAGACTCTGGATGGAACCTTTAGCAGGTTGGCAGCCTTGCTGAGTGCATTGTGTGTTTGTATGTGGCAACGTTCTCAAGTGCTCTGAATCAACAGCTCTGGAGGAAAATTACTTCAGTTGTTGTAAATATGGGGATGGTCTTATCATTGTGTGCTGAACCACAGGAGTGAACCTCAGAAGTCCAGGATCCTGTTCTGTCTGTCACAGACTTGCTTGGTCCAATGGTGGATTCTAGAAAGGCTTTTTTCTCTTGTGTTCTTCTGCAAAATGGCACTAAAATACCATTATGAAGTCCTTCACACCATTCCACAGGGTAGTTGCATTGTTGCTGCTTTTTAGGGTTTACCAAAAGAAGGAATTCCTTAGGAAAAGGCTTTTCTCCTTCTGAATCCCCAACACTGGCAAAGTTGAAAGTGAGTGAGTGGAGAGGTTTTGGACACGTTTTTCTTCAGTGTCCTAAAAAAGGTGCAGTTTGAATCAAATCTACCAAAGGGGAAAATTCCACTTTTGTCAGAGGTGGCTCAGTTCTTTATTATGAACTTTCAGAAATGACAGATTTAGAAACTAATTTAGGCCTTGCTTAAATACTTTCTAAAAATAATCACCTGCTCTTACCTATCGCTTTTCATTCAGCGCTTTCCTGCTGGATTCCAGATCCTCCAAACCCATTTTTATTTAGATCAACTGGCTGAAAGCAGGGAGAGCTGCTAAACGGGTGCTGAAAAGAACTGAAACTTTGGAGTGATTTGATCATCTGTGCTGATAAGCGGTGGAGGCTGCGTGGACGATGCACGATGTGGCTTCTGCTGGTGGTGAATGTGACTGGAGGCAGTGTGTCTGTCGGTGTTCTTCAAGGATCTGACCTCAAACTTCGGGGCTTCCCCACTCCTCGTCCTCTTCTTCCTCTCTTCTGTGCTTTCTGGGCATTGCTTGTGTTTATGCTTTGTACCTTCATCTGTTCCCATGGAATGATGATCCTGTGTGCACCAAGTGCACCAAGGTCCTGGCTCAGGTTTGGCTTTGTTGCTTGTGGCCTCAGCGTGGCGTGATGTTTAATTTCTCCAGTACAAACATGTATATATTCTCTCTTGCTTTATCCCCTGGACTTTGCTGCCCATTCACAGTGTCCACGTATGTCTGCTGTTACTGATGTGAGCCATTCTTCAGATTCAGAGCTGGGAAGCAAAGTAAAACGGGATCTACATGCAGACATGATTTGTATCCCAGCAGAAGGCTGACTGGAGAGGCCAAGTGCTTTTGCCTTAGTGTTACATTTTGCACCATCTTTTGCAGGAAAGGCGTAAGTTGACAGCAGCATTTTGCTGAAGTAGTAAGGCACACACAGACCCTTCTGGACTGCATGTGGTACCCTGATCTCAGCAGCAGCAGTGGGTGTACCCGGGGTGCTCCGTGCTGCCCTGCAGCTCCTTCTCTCTGGGAAACCCTCACAGTCAGGGAGAGGGGAGCAGAAAGCCCCTGCAGCTCCTTAGAGGCCTTCTTCCTTTCACTGGCATGCTGTGTTTTACCTGCATTAGGTGTAAGCCCTCCCAAGCACATGCTGTTGGTATCTGTGCGGTGCCTTGTGCTGTAGGTCCCTGGCTGCTGTAAGCACTGTTATAATGCATGTATTAATATTAATATATATTGATTAACTGGCTGAGCTGTTCAGCTTTGAGAGTTGTTTTGTCTATTGTGCGGTACGAACAGGGGCCTGGTGCTCTGTCAGCATCTTGATCTCTGTTTTGATGGATTACAGTTTATACATTGCTGCTGTTGGCAGCAAGTTATATTCACGGCCTTTGAAAAGACCCAATAATGTATTTAGAGATATTTCCTAACCTGGGACATAGATTAAAAATGAAATACCTTAATTACACCGTGGAAGAACTATGATTTGCCCATAATGGAAATATTGCAATAGTACATAAAGCAGGCGTGAAATTGTAGTTGAAAGAAAGTCGTAATGTACTGCAAATAAAATACGTGTGGAATTCCAGCTGAAAAGGAAGTCATAATACAGCAACCCAATTACAGGTGGAGAGGAGCAGCAGTCTTTGTGGCAGCCGTGCAGGGCAGGTGCAGCCTGCACCCTGATTTCTCAGAGAAATGACTCTCTATTTAGGTACACGGAGCTCTCAGCATCTCAGGAGGAGGAAAGTGATTGTTTGAAAGGGTATTTGGAGCCGTTTGGCATTTGAAGGATGAGTTTAATTCAGATCACGCTGTTGCCCTAACCAGATTTTTTGTTTGCATCTGTGTTAACATCTCCCAGACCCATTTGTGGACTGCAGATAGTTTAACAGGGAGAAATATAGGACCAGAGCAGCAAAGTGTGTGCTCTAAGCTGTGGTTGGAGTAGGGGAACACAGTGGCAGAAGAAAGCAAGCTTTAGAGTTGTACCAGATATTCATAGCAATAAGTATTGCTTTAAAAATAGCTGTCTGAGCACCTGCCCAGCTGGTTCCTCTGAAGCAGGCTCAGTGGGTGCACGGTGTCACTGCTGAGCAGGTGAGCTTAGGCTGAGATGTGTGCATTCAGTCGAACAGAACACGTTGTTGAGTTGTACTCGCAGAAAAGACAAACACAGGAATCTTACCCAACGTATTTGATGCAGACTGAAATATTTAACAGTTCCAGAAGTCCAAACTCTGAGCAGTAGCCCTGATGCCTGAGCCCTACACTGCAGACGGCTTCAGCTGCTCTGTAGCTGCTCCTTGGTATGACTGTCCCAGCAAGAAATATCATTTATCACTAATATTATGTGTGGTGCAATATAATATGAGCCATCCCCAGAAAAGGACATCAATATTACTTTATTAAAAAAATGTGACGTGAGAATTAAAAGCATTAGGCACTGACTCAGCCCAAGTGGAATGTAAGAAAATCTGCCTTGTGCTCTGCCAGCTGAGGTGGTGCCTGTGGGTGAAGAAAGGCTAAAGCACGTCTCTGTAAGCATGTTTCATTTATGTTGTTGGGTATTACTGTGAGCTTCCAGTGCTGAATGTTTCATGGGTTTGCACAATAAAACCATTGCTGAGCAGAGCTGGCACGCTCTGCCTTCCCTTCTTTGTGCAAAAGTCCAAACTTTGCAGCACCTTGGGGGAAACAAAGTGAAGGCAGCTGGGGTGAATTAGCATTAGAATTTTAAAAGTTTAAACAGTCCTACTGCAGTGAGATTGGTGTTAGGAGCGGGCAGAGGTGGAGTCCCATTAGCACACAAATGGGAACTTTGTGCTGAAGGGCTGAAGAGAACTGGAGCTGAAACATAAAGACAGGTATGAGTATTTTTATAATGGAGAAGAGCGTTTATGATTGAATTCAAGGGGGCTCTTTCCCTGCTGAGTTTTTATTGTGTATAATGGAAGAGTAATGTCTTTTCCTTCTTAATTTTCATACACTCTGAGGTGTTGTATCCTGTCCTGGGATGATGGCTGGCACCCTGTCTGTTGAGAACCTTGTTGAAGGGATTGAGCAGTGCACATAGAGACGCAGGGCGTTGTTGGCTTGTTTTCTTTACAGGCTGTTTCTGTTGGCAGGTTCCATTGCTTCATCTGTATTTCAGAAAACAAAAGTACATTGCTGCCTTTTTTTGTTGTTTCAGTTGAGTCAATCTTCCAACTAAGAGAGAATTTAATATACATTTATTCCAAAATATACACAGGAGGTGCCAGCATCCAAGCATGCTCTGCTCAGTTTTGGAACCCAAGCATCTCCTTTCCCTTCCCAACACAGCTCAAAATCAATAACTTTGAATCCTTTCTTTCATAAGACTGCTTCACAGCACAGCGTGGAGGAAACCACAAAGTGCTCGAGCCCCTTTTGAGACGTGGTTCTGTGAAACTTGCTCAGTCCCCAACAAGGACACGTGTGGCCCTGCTGTGAGTTGTTGTGTATGAAGCTTTAGAGCTCGTGCTTTGGTGCTGGCAGCCTGCTGGCTGGGTTCCTCTAGGTGAGATGGAACCTTCACGTCACCTGCATCACTGGCTTCAGCCTGCAGGAAACGTTTGGCACTCAGGGATAGAAATGAGGACCCTTGAGGTTACATATGATCGTGTTAGGAGTAAAGGCGTGCAGGGCCTTTAGTAGTAGTGATACAGGGACATAGAAATAAACAGCTGGGTTTGGAGAAAACAAGCTGAAAATCCTGTTAGTCTTTGTAACGTGATTTTTGACATATCAGTGGTGTGTATCACACCTTCTGTTACATGTGTGGTGGCTTCTAATTTAACAGCAGTGTGCAGAGAGCATGTCTTATGCTTTATGTACAGAGCAATTAGGACAGTGCAGTGTAAAATCCTCATTAAAGTGCTGTTTAGCAGTGTGGTGAAGCTGGAACACGGTGATATTTCAGGTGGTTGGAGCCATTGGCTGCATCATGGTGTCACCCTGCTTAGTTGGGGCTGAGGGGGTGATGGAGAGAATGCAATGGGGGGGGGAGAAAGGGACAGTGCTGAGGTGTTCAGGCTCCTGTAGCTGATGCTGGGATAACAAATCTTCCATAGTACTTTGCAAACAGTAATCTCCATGAAGAAGGAAGAGAGGCAGTGATCTTCTGGGCTGGCTCTCATAAATCACTTGTAGGATGCGGTGGCACCCATCCCTGTGCCCCTGCTGCTCCTTAATTTATCTCCTGTTTGTGTGCTAAAGTGTAATATTAGTTGAGGGAGCATATCTACAAACTGCCCACCTTTCTGGATCCCTTTGGCATATTGAAACAGTCAATCACTTCCTACCCATCGCCAACAGCCATTATTTTCGTGTCTCTACCAAATATTTTTTCCCCTCCTGTTTCTCTTCACTTTGTCAGTCCTTTACCTTCTTTTGTGGCTGATTTTTGACTCTTAATTACTGCAGGGCCTATTTAAAGCAGTTCTTTATTTTGCCCGTGCCATGAGTTAGCTATGTGACATCTCATTCATGAATTATGCAGCCCAAAGTCTCGCAAGCGACGTGTAGCTGCTCTTGTAGTAGTTGGGAGTAGCGTGATGTTTACTTCAGGCAAAACTGTTGTTTCCTGGTGTGTCTGGGTGGGTGGGCAGGTTTGCTGTCTCGTTTCTTACGGAAAAGAAGCAGAAACAACATGTTGGGCTACTTGGGAAAGGCTGGAGCATCATTTCAAGTAGTTGAATCGATGAGAATCCCTTAACGCAGTTGATGTTAATCAGTAGCTCTCTAGACTGTGATGAGCAGTAACAAGATCTTATATTGCTGGTTGCACTCTTTTAAAAGATTGAGTAACGTTAGCTATGTGGCTGCATTGATTTTTAATGGCTTGTTTTTTGAAGCGTAAAAAGAGATTTTGTTCTAATCTGCTTAAATCGCTTTTTAAATTTGGGGTTGTTCTTTCTGATAACATTTAAAACCTTTGGGAATTGACCCTGCAGGGCTGCTCCAGACATTTTTATAGCAGTATTAGTTCTTCTTACCTAAAATGACTTTGGAGCTCAGCATCTTAGTTCTGTGCCCCTGCAGTATAATGACCTACGCAGGATTCTTTTATGGGCAGCCAAAATCAGACCGCTTGTCTCTGATCTCCAAACCCTTTTTCCTCCCACCTCGTAAAACTCCTCTTGAAGGCAGTATTTATTGGTGTTTTCTGAGGTCTGACAGAGTTTCTTCAGGTGATATTCCCCATTCCTCCAAGCACTTCCAAGTCAGAAATGTTCATCCTTTGCTTGTAGCAAGATAATCTGTATAATTGGACTAATTGACTTTTCCTCCTCCACAAATAAATATCTCTCATCAGCTCCACACAAACATTTTGTCTCCAGCATGGGTCTTTATTGAGCATGTGGGAAGCATTTGTTGCTTGTGCTTTGATTATCTCTTGATTATCTCTTAATTATATTGGCAGCATACTGTCAAGTGGAGAAGGTGAATGCTGTGAAGCAGAGGGACGAGGTCTGGGACAACTAAAACAGGCTGCAGCTCTTGAACCCATGGAAAAATGCAGGATCCCTGTGGTTTATCTTTCCATTTAATTGGAGAGATTGGTTTTAGTTAAGAGTAGCTGCCAGTGAATCCAGTGGGATGGATTTGCTTGGTGGTTGTTCTAATGGGAGGCTTTGTCTGACTCCAGGCGAGGTGATTTAAGAACTTATTAGAGCAGGTAGCTGAAATAGGCTGCATTGATTATCACCTATGGCCTTCTGTCTGCAAGTGTGCCTGGGAGAAGAAAAATTGCTTAGCCTATTGATGGTAGCACATGATGGCCACAAGTCATTAAAGAGCTAATGTGTCTGGAGAGTAAATTAGTTTCTTTTGTTTAAGAAACCCATAGGGTGGTGGTTTAACTCACTAGCCTTTCAGAGTGCATAAATCCATATGCTACAATGAAAAGTGCCTGGAATGTCTACATATAGAGCAGGGATAATGGTTCCTTGGGCAGTATGTACCTCTTTCACATACTTAGAGGTGTTTCAGGGACTCTGGAGATGAAATCCTTTTATTTTAGTTTGCTCCTCTTTCAGTTTGATTGTGAGCATTTGGAAGCAGATTGGTACCAATCTCATTTGCACTGCATCTACCACAACAGCTTCCCTTGCCACTGCACGTGGTTTATGTGCTGTTAGTATTACAGATCACCATAGTTCAGCTATTCCATAGCCTGGTGGAGAACAGTAAAAACAGTTAGGAAGAGGGAACACTGAGTGTTGTGCAGCCGATCTGACAGCACTGCTTTATCCATATTCTTATATGGTGTTGCTTATGAATAACTGCTGATAACTTCTCTTTCCTCTTCCACCTCTTTCTGTAGGCAAGCGTGGGACCTTGCTGTTGATATTTGCCTTTCCCAATTACCTACAATTATAGAGGAAGGAACTGCGTTTAGGGTAAGTCACGTAATGTATCAAAATGTCTCCTTGTGTAACCCATTATTTGAAGCCTCAGCTCAGCACGTTGCTTTTTCTTATTGAATCTTGAATATTTTTTTTTTTTTGGAAAACTGTAAATCCAGGTTCACCTCACTTAGAGAAATATATGTGGATTTGGAATATTCAGATCTAATTATAGCAAGCAGCAAGCATCCTATCTTCAAACATGAATTCACTGCTGCAAGTGTACCCAAATAGATTCTGTAAACAGCTGCCATCTCCATGTAGACAGAAGTGAAGTTTCAGAGTTTTCTGGAATGCTTTTGTGATTGAGTTGGTTCAAAATTGGAAAAAAAAAAATCTGCCATAGCCATACATTTTCTACTTTTTAAAGAGGTGTTCTTAAATTAAATGACTATTGCCACTGAAACAAGCATAAAAAGAAAACCAGACATCTGCTTTGTGCTTTTCTTCACAACCAGCACTTCTGGTGTGGCTGATTGGGCAGAAGTGTGGGATGTCAATGGGTAACATAGAAAGCCCAGAGCCCAGCAAGAGGAGAACGTTGTGTGCATTGCCCCCTGCTCACAGAGCAGCTGGGGAGTGTGGGGGGGTACCTTTACAGCCTTGTAAATGCAATTGGAATAGAAGCAATTTTACTCCGACGTTCTTGTCTTATATTTACGATACCAACCTTCAGAAAGGCTTTCTGGCAGTGACTGCAGATGGTCTCCAAAGACCCGAGTACAGGAGGACAGCCAGTAACTTCCGCAAGCATGGGGTTGATAAAGATGCCCTTTAATTCTCCCACCTCTTTATTTCACCTGCTCTATGTGCTGTATTTTAAAATGTGCATGAATACAACTCTGCCAGCCTGTTCATTTTTACATCAGGTATCTGACAATATCAGTTGGGTACCTTTATGTTAGACCTGGATACCATCTCTACAAACACGGTCATGTGAGTTGAAATTTACCAAATTTATGTGTATTCAGGGATGGAAGGAGGCAAATACTTGACTCAAAGGATCAGCACATGTCCTGCCTGGTTAATACTGTGTAGGTCTGTGCCTGTTCTGCAGAGAGAGGACCTGTTGAAGGTCTCCATCAGACACCTAGAGAAATAGTAGGAAACTTGGCTATTAGTTTAGGAGGAAGTGGAAGGGCTCAGCTTTACACTGTGACAAATGCTTGCAGAAGACAGGCAATTGCACATCTTTGATCTGTTCCTTGTGTTCTAATCAAAGTTTCGCCCTCACACCTTTGATTTATGCCAGCAGGAAGCGGTGTTTATCAGCAGAGGTTGGCAGCTGCTGGGCAGCAGTAATCTGGGCAACAGTGGTAGTTTGGGGTGAGGAGAGCATTTATGTTCCTGAGGTCAGACCACCATTTCATAACAGGGCTGCCCGGTGAGTCACAGCATCACGTGCTGCCAGCTCTCCCTCCATCCCTGCCATCGCTGCAGGCTGGGTGCCTGGGCTGGCCTGGTCTGGATGAAGCAGCTGGTAATCTCTTCAGGGCTGGTTTGTTTCAGCAGCACATAATAAACCACGTGCTCCTGGCTTCTGCTTATTGTCTAGCTGTAATTTGCTACTCAGACCTGCAAAATATAATAACTTGCTGGAGCCAAGCCTGCAGACTAATGGGGGAGTGGGCTCCTGGCAGCTCGGAGTGGGCATGAGTTCCTGATCCCACCTCCTCCCTGTCTTCACCCCTCAGCTTCATTTCCATCTGGGTTTGGGGATGGGGTCAGTGTTCTCTCACACAACTCTGTGCAAAAGGAAGCACTGGGGATGCTGCCCTGGCCAGGGATGTTGCTGAGCCCCAGGGCTGTCCAGGAGCACACCGGGAGCTCTGGGGACTCTGTCACATTATTGACCACTCACCATTGAGTTCATCTCCCCAAGAACTCTTCATTTCATCAGCCAGTGAACCTGCCTCATCAAAGCAAAGCCATAGCTGCATCGTGCTTTCCAAAGCCTGCGGTATTTTCTTTTCTCCTGCATGTCTAGCAGTACCACAAGCCAATGTTACAGGATTTTCCATGGTGCTTTTCACACTAATGTGTAAGCACCAAAGCCCAGCTGAGGGGTATTAGCTGATGCTGGGAGCTCATCCCACCTGATGAACTTCAGGAGGGCAGTGTTAAATGTACTGAATGCTGCAGCACTCTGTGTGCTACTTTTGTGCACGTTTACCCACACTGCCAGGACATCTCTATTGGTGGATTATCACTCATTATATTAGTGGATTCAGTACTGTAAGTAAACTTTCTGTTCTTTGTTTGCCTACACAAAGTGCTGGGACTGTGTTCACTGTGCTGGGCAGAGGCAGCAGTGTGTGCCACAGGAGTGAAAGCTGCCTCTGCAGAGCAGATGAAGGCAATTCTGCTGTGGCTGCTTCTCGTGTGGAAGGGATTAGCTGGATTTCCCCAAGAGCTTTTGTGATATCTTATCCAGTTTCTCTGCTTTTTCCTTCTTTTTCAAACACATTAGTTAAATGCCAGTATATTTAAAGGGAACTGCATCTGATCAGTCTCTGGGGAAAAAAAAAAATTACATTAAAAAGCAAACCAAGCAAACATCTGCCAATTACTGTTTTTACAACCAATACACCGTGCGTGAGCCCACAGATGCTAAATCTAGTTGCTTTCCTGGGTTCAGAGTCAAACATGCCATCTGTATCCTTGTTCCAACAGCACAGCCCCTTCTTCGCAGAGCAGCTGACTGCATTCCAGGTGTGGCTGACGATGGGTGTGGAGAACCGCAACCCCCCGGAGCAGCTGCCCATCGTCCTGCAGGTGAGCAGCCCTGGCTACAGAAATGCCTGAGCTCCTCCAGGGTTACCGAGGGCTGATGACATGCCTGCTAGATCTGTGCAGATGAGGACAAGGTGCTTTTCTTCCCCCACGCCTTCCCTTTCTGTTGAGCACAGCTTGCCGTGGCCTGTTTGTGGCTCCAGCAGTATGGGGCTGTGCTGCCCCCGTGTTTTGCTCTTAAGTAGCAAGACTTTTTTGCAGAGTAGCACATCTTTGTTGTTTTCTCCTCTTATATCCCAGCCATTTCAGGCAGAGACTTTATCTTCTGCCTGCTTTCACAAAATGAACATTACTGCAGTGTAAATAGCTTGGAAATAGATTATTTTTCTGTGCTGCTGGTACAGCCTGGAAAGTGTTGTCTTTAATGGGATGCTGAAATTTTGTTGCAAGAACATAGAAACAAGTCTCTGAAGACCATGCCTGGAAGGAACATAGGGTTCTGGTAGACATCTGCTTAGATGAGATGAAATTCATTTTTAGAAAGGAGAAGTAAATCCAGAGGAAACAACACCTTATTTCAAGTCACCTTTTATCCAAGAGAAATATGGCAGTTGTTCATCTGTTCTTGCCCTCCCCTCTCCACCTGTTTGCATTGACAGAAATACAAACCCTTACTGAGATTGCTGTGGTCTCTTCTCAATCACGCAACAGAATTTAAAGTCTTCCTGTTTAAAGAAGTACGATTCCAATCACTTATCCAGAGACCTGTGATTTCTTTCACTAAATGTGAGAAGACTTGCCTTCCCTGTTAGCTGCCAGCTTGTTCTGTGACTGACAGCACCATCAATCATTGCGAGACCGAATCTTAATTTCCCCGAGCCTTCCAAGTCTTGAGAGATCAGCTGGATAAACAAATGTAAGGTTTATCTCGGTCACTGCAATAGGAGAAGGCAGGCTTCTGCTCCAGCACCAACTTTGCTGCTTTCCAGTGGATTATTTGGCACCGGAGGGCTCTGCAGCAGCTTAACCTTGCAGTGGAATTGAGAGGTCATCTGGCAGAGGAATCTGCTTTCCTTCCTGGAGCAAAAATGAGCTAGGACAATGTAATTATTCTTTCAATTAAGGTATGTGTAGTTGTAGAGTGGAATAAGGTGACTCGTTAACAGGTTTGAGATGCTTTGAAGCAGAGTGACTCCTTAAGAGAAGGGAGGAATTATTTCACACCTCTTGTTGAGCGTCTTTTTGCTTTGAGCCCCTGGGAGCACTTATGCCGTGCTGCTGCAGCCTGAGGTTGATTCTGTTTTCCCATTTTAGATGTGCCACCAGAGAAAGATGGTGTTTGAGTGCCAGGGGCACAGTGCCAGCCATGCAAAGCTTGGCACTGTGATGGGCAGGGAAACCACTCTTCGTACACGGCCTCCATTGACTTCAAAAAGTTCCGAATTGCATTTCAGGTTTGTGCTGTGCTTGGACACAGGTGACCTCCTGCTGCAGGGACAGAGAAATCATCAAAGGCAGAAGATAGCAGCTGCAGATCTGGTGGAGGTGCCTTCTGCTATGGGGTGCTGGTGCACATGGCCAAGGCTATGCCCACTGCAAGCCCTGGAAAGCTGCTGCTGCAGTCCTCTTCTTCCCTCTGTGTTTGTTAGGGAATTCCTAGTCAGGGAGGGATGTGATGCAGCCCTGAGCACACAGTAGCACAGCACAGCGACTTAATTTCACTCCAATTTTTAAATTGCGCATAGAGTCCCCACGTCCTCACCCAAGTCTCCAGTGTTTGTGTCAGTTGTGGCCTCAGCTTATTGCTCAAATCAGATTGGGAAGTACGAAGTCAAAAACCTGAGAGTCAGCGCTGGCTTTTTTGTTTCTGAGAATAATGAAACAGAGCCTTTGAAATAAGGCAGAATTCGGGTTGGTTAAGGAGTCTTGTGGGAAGTCAGTGCAGCCGAGATGTGATTTTGTATCTTCACCCAGAAATCCTTTTCAATCACATCCATTTATTTCCAGCTACAGCAAAACGTGTGGCCTTCCTTGTTTGTTTTTTTTCTGAAGGTCAGATAATGGAAGCATTGCCAAATCTCTCTGCCCCCTGTGTCTGTAAGCACCCTGCACCTAATGTGCTCCTTTCTGTTGTTTCAGCTCCGCCCCAGCTTCCATCATGCCCTGGTTTCTCTTGCTGCTTTAATCTCAAACATCTGGCCCTGTTATTCCTGTGCTGGGCATCTTTAAAGCACATGGTCAGTTGCACCAAGTTCTGTAGTAAGTTTATGGAATAAGTTGGTGCCAAGTAGGGCAGGATGACCAACTTTCTTTCTTTTATGTTTTGGGATCTGAGCAAAGATACTCAGACACGAAACAATCAGAGGGATTAATACACCCTCCCGTGTAACTGTCGTTTTCCTCTGGACTTTCTCTGTACAACTTCAGTATCTGGTGTCAGTTGACCATGGTATGAGGTCTACGCCAAGTAATTTAGTTGTTATTCTGTATTAAACATGAAAGATAATTCAATTTGCATATGCATTGTGGGAAGAAACATTGAGACAGGGATGAAACTGGGAGCTAAATCAACCAGTCGCCTTGCCTGAGATCCGTGCTGAGGGATGGTGGTCAATTTAAACTGAGGATTAAATGTTGCATTCCAATATCTTACATCTGTTAAGGAGATTAAGAACTGAAAGTCTGTCTGTTAATATTTCACACCAGGGTAGGTATAAGCCAGTAAACTATCACCTCATTATCGTTGTCAGACTCCATTTTAATGAGATTTTTATTAATGACTAATGTGACCTTTTGCTTCCCTCTTAAGTCTCTTATATTGATTTGCTGAGGAAGCAAAGCCTCTTTTTCTGCTTCTGAGCTGTTTTGAGTACTGGCAGGCTGCTCCTTTTGCTCACCTTCGAATCCTTCCTGCAGATGCAATCCCGTTCCTCCTTTTCTGAGGAAAGGCAGTAAGATGAGACTGTTTGAAATCCATAGTGGCTGCTTCCACCTAGCAGAGCTGAGCTGCATAAGAACCATTGCACTTGAGAGAAATATTAACAGGGAGAGAACTGGAGCACCACTTGGAGGCTGAGGTTAACTGCATTCCGAGGAAAAGATCTGTAAGTGTCTGCAAAACTTCATGGAAGGGAGCTCTGCTGGGCAGTGCCCCACTGGTGACACTCTTCAGTAGAGTAAAAGCTCTTAGCAGCCAGGGTTTGTCTTTTCCATTCAGATCATCAGTGTTTTTCTAAGTTACACGAGGTCCTCCTCCGTTTGCTCTGCAGTCACAAGGAGCTTTGTTCCCTGATAGTAACTGCTGTCCCTTTCCTCTGCAGGTTCTGTTGAGCCAGGTGCATCGGCTGCGAGCTCTGGATTTGCTGGGAAGATTTCTGGACCTGGGGCCCTGGGCAGTTAGCTTGGTGTGTTTGTGCTGCATTTTGTCTTGTGAAAGTCAATTAGACTCTCAGTATAGGTGATAAATACAAATGATGATTTATGCAAGGAAGATGTGGAAGGTACTCCCCAGATTTGACGAATGGTTGGTGTTTTTTGTAGTCATGCATATGGAATGGAGCAAGCGTCTCTAAAAGAAAAGTGGTTTGTATTAATCAAGAAGGCCGAATAGCTTTTCATTTGTGCTGTTATGAAGAGGAGTTATTTAGACAAAGTTCAGTGTAACATAATGGAAGCTACAAAACAGAAGGCAGCATCCAGGACAAATAAGGAGGTTTGTCATGTAAAATAAATAACAACAAAAAGCCCATATGTTCGTCATCCTCTGCTCTCCTCAGCTTACTGGCTGCATCGTTTCTTCTCTTCCTTTATCTATTTGGTCTCTGGGTTGTGTAAGCTCTTCTGAGAGGAGGCAGCTGCCTTCTGTGTTTTGGGAATTGGCTTGCATGGTGCAGGTAATAAGTAAGAACATAGCAGAGGAGCAGTTTAAAGCACTCTTGTAAATGGATCTGTTTGTTGATAACAGTGATGAAGACAAACCAGCAGCTGGCGGTGGGATACCTCCAGGATGGGGCTTCTTGTTGGCTTTCTTTCCCTCCCATTTTCATCTCAGACAAGGCTCCTTCCTGCACCACAGACAGCTTAGCCCACAGCAGCACGAGGAAAGTATGATCTTAAGCTTTCTAGATTAGAAACTTTCATGAGGGTCAGCACGTGGTGCAGGGCATCCATAATGACCTCTGCTGCAGCTGTTCTGCTCCTCGTTAACTGCAACAACTCCACTGCTGTGTGGTGCCCTGCTGCAGCCCAGGGAGCCCCCTGAGCCTCCAGCACTGGCACATCCCCTCCTCCTCCTCATGCTTCCCTCCCATCGCCCTTTGGGAAGGGATCTGCAGTCACGGAGGGGTTCTCAGAGATTTAACGAGTTGTGTGTGCTCCTGTGAGCAAAAGGCTTGGTAAAAAGTCTGTATAAGCGAGAGGCCTAGTTAATTTCCAGTGGGAAGGCTGTAATTATTGAGCTTTTGCAATATGTTTACTTGTGAAAGCAAATGGCCCCATCTGAGAAGAGCACAGCATATCGTGAAGCATAAAATAGCACAGGCTGTAACGAGAAGGAGCGAGTGCTAGATTAACTCTGAGTCTCACCGGGCCAAATGAGTCTGAAAATATCTGGTGACATCCACGATTAAAATGAGCAATAGAGGGATCCCTTCTTTGCTAGAAATGTATGAAATTGCATTCTACCAGGTTTTTCATGTGTCATTAAGACATGCTCCATCTCTGCAAAGCGGGCAGCGCTGCCCCAGTGCAGAGCAGTGCCATAAGGCTGAGATGTCTCTGAGCATTTGCTCTTCTCTCTGGCTCCCCAGGCGCTGTCTGTTGGCATTTTCCCGTATGTGCTGAAGCTGCTTCAAAGTTCAGCTCGTGAGCTGAGACCGCTTCTTGTCTTCATCTGGGCCAAAATTCTCGCAGTGGACAGTGTGAGTACTTCTCAGCATGGCTGCTTTCTCTGGTTTTCAGCAACGTGCCTTTATTTTCCCATTTGTTTCATCCAGTTGCTTTGGAATTTAGAATTTCTCTTGAGGCGCTTCAAAAGGATGCTGTATTATCTGAGGACCGGCGTATCTCCTCATTTGTTTATTTCACTTGTGTGCAAGCTGGCTTCTGCAATTTTGTGAATGTGAAATCCCCATTCAGGTACTGGCAAGCTGGACTGCCCACCTTTTCATGCATCTGTGAGATGAAGGCATGTTTGCTCTGTGCGAATGCTTCAACGTCATGTTAATGTTCCCAGCTTTGGGAATTGGCTTGTGTGTCCTCTGGGTCAGTGCCTGTTTCCCAGCTTAGTTCCTCCTTTGGTCCTATGGTGCTCTGGCCGTCAGATCTCCCTGACTGCATCTTTACTGGGTGGAGCACTGCTGCTTGTGCTGAGGGGCTTAAAATGCCCCTGAGTTCCCCTTCAGGCCCTGTGTTCTCACCTGTTCCCCCTCGCTTTTTTCATTTTAAATTGTTATCAAACTTATTTTGTTCAAAACCATTTCTGTAAGTGTCAGAACAGCCCCTGCCTGGTCTTCAGACCCTGATCCTTTCTGGAAATAAAGCAGAACTCATTTTTTGGTGACTTGCATTTAAGAGTCCTCTTCCAAGTCCCCTGCGATAGTACTTACGTGCAGTGCTGCACTGAACGTGGTTGGCATAGCAGTATCTGTTGCCTAGAGAAGACAGTTCATTCCTATCACAGGTCTGTGATTCTGGCTTTCTCTGCAGTATTTTGGCACCTTTGGGCTAAAGCTTAAAAACTGAGCCCTGTTATTTTATTTTTGTTAAAGATGGCCTTACCCAGAGCTCTGGGTATTGTTTTGTCTTAAATAAATAATTAAGCCGAGAAATAATTATAGATAAATTTGTACAGTCACATGTATGGCTCTGTGGTTTGTGAGTACAATTAGTTAAGCAATTTAAAATTATTAAGAGAGGTACACACAGATAATTGCAGGCACAATTGTAAGCTGATATAAAATTGTCTGAACTGCTTGTAGAAGTTGGCTTTTGCTTATTTTGGGGTTTGTTTTTGTTAGGTCTCTTCCATTTCACTATGGAAAAATAATGCTGAATGTGTTGGAATCTTTCCCTACTGTTGATATAGCATTGTCGGGTTTGGTTTTATAAATACATTTTCATTAACATCCTGAGAGGATTTTGGAAAGCAAAGAAAATGAAAACTATTCATCTTAAAGCTACTCTTGAAAAGCTTATTTTGATGCATGCCCCTCTGCAGCTCACGCTTCAGCCCCAGGTAACTTTCAGAGAGGGCTCATGTATAATTCACGTGGGTGCTGAGCCATCCTTCACTGTCTCTGTGTTGAAGCCAATCTGAGAGTGCTTCCTTCCCCTGCCCTCTCCTGCCACCATCAGTGTTGCTCCCTGCTATGTTTTACTGCCCCGCTCCTTTGGTAGACTGCTTTAAAAAATAAAACCAACCCAACAAACCAAAAACACACCAAAAAAACCCAGCCAAAAGACTTGGCTCTTTGGGTTGCTTTCCATTATTTTTTTCATTCCCAGCTCCCAGGCAGTGGTGTGAGAAAGGAGAAGGCAGTGACAGCAGGCAGGTGGGATGAGTGCTGCTGAGGGAGGGGACAGGGCGCATGTGGTGATGGAGCAAATGTGTCGTAATAGCAGAAAGCTAAGGAGGAAAAAAGACCCAAAAAACAATTGACAAAACCATGCTGAAAAGAAGTAAGTGCTGCTAATGTGGGACAGCAAAGAAACAGATCTCAGCACTGCAAATAATTGGCTGAAAACAACAGAAACCAAACATTTGTCACACTGTTCAAAGGGCTTAAGAGGCGTAAGTAGCATCCCTGCTTCCCAGCTGTGACCTCTGCTATCAGGATGCTGATGCCAGCTCATGCTGCTGGCTCTCCGTGTGTTTCCCAGGGTCTAACAGTGAGGGTTAGATTAAATGTATTGGTTCCATAGAAGCTGCTGCCCTGGAGCTCCATGTGGTGGGCAGCAATGGGAGCACAGTGAGAGCGGTGTGTCCTCCGGGTCAGTGCCTGTTTGCCTCCTGTGCAGCTGAGAGATGTTTGTGTTTTTTCCTGAGGAGTAAGGAGTGTTCATGCCCAGAATGAAGTGGAGAGAAAAAAAGCTTCTTTTTTTCATTGTGTGTGTGTGTGTGTGTGTGTGCAGCATTACACAAAAGTCAGGGAAGCCTCTCGTAGCTGCAGCCTGGCATCAATCCATTCCCTCTGCTCTTTGGTCTGCCAAAACCAGCATCTCTACTCCCTTCAGCAATAAAATATTCTCTTGCATCTCTGTCTTGCCATCCCTTTGCCTTTCAACAATTAGTTTCCTCCTTCACCTTCTATGCCTGATAAAAAATACATGATTCTGTCTCTGGTGTGAAGCATACAATAGAACTGCTGTCACAAGGGAAATCGAATGCCAAGTCAGTTTTCACTCGCCTAAATTTTCACTTTAATAATATGTATTTTCTTGGTTTGACCCTACTATGTCATACATGAAGCCTGACTTTGTATGTTTGCAAAAAGAGCTGTGGGAGGGAGTTCTTGGTGCATGCTGTGCTGTGGGATCAGGGCCGTGTGCTCCACTGCTGGTGCTGCCCCAACAGCTGCATCCCTCACCTGCAGAGCCCTGAGGACAGTGATGTTCCTCCATGGGCTCTGCCTGTGCAGCAGGACATCGTGTCACCGTGTGCTGGTAGTGCTCCAGCTCAGCATGCCTCAGCACTTGACCAAATGATGCAGAGATTAGAGACGTGTGTGCGATGAGTTGAAATCTTCTTGTCAAAATACAGTCCCGCCTGGGCAGGGGATTGGATGGAACACAGGGAACAAATAATTCCTTCTCCATCCCCCTGCAGATTTACTGGTAATCGCTCGCTGATGTGGGTCACCGTATGCAAACACGTGCTGGCTTTGTTCAGTGCTGCAGTCTGAGTTGTCCTGGTGCCCAGGACGGTGCTTTAACTTTCCCATAGGTGGTCCTACATCCTGGAGCAAAAAAGTGCTCATTGCCTTGGCACCAACATCTTCTGATCACATTCCTCCGAGGTTTTGCTTTTGATGGCTCTCAAATAATGGTGATGGTGCAATGTGGGTCGGAGATGTCAGGTGTGCTCTTCTCCCCAGTGAGAGGGCACATCTTCAGTTGTTTGTCTGTCACTGCTGGAGGTGAAGCGTCTGCTCCTCTGCCCCCTGCTCTGTGCAGACATTTGGCCGCGGCTCTGACGGAGGGCTGGCTCTTTCCTTCACTTCTCACATGAAAACTAGATTGGAGAAAAATGATTAAGGCATGGAATATGCATTGCACCATTGGAAGAACGAATATTTTTGCTACTGTACTCACTGCTTTTTCTCCTTCTGTCTTGTTTCAGTCATGTCAAGCTGACCTCGTGAAGGACAACGGTCACAAGTATTTCCTTTCCGTTTTGGCAGATCCTTACATGCCAGTAAGAACAAATCATCTTTATTCAGGCTCTAGCAGCACTTGCTCAGCTTGTCAGGGTTTGTACGCTGCTTTCTGACACGGTGCTGCTAATGAGGGCTGCTCCCACCTCCAGCTCTGGGACCCACTGCAGCCACTGCCAGGGGAGTTTGCGCTGCTGCCGGGCTGCGTGATGCAGGCAGACGCCAAACAGGGAGCTGCAAACTTGCCTAAAGATATTTAAGCACGAATTACTCAGAAAGATAGGAGCTGTGGGCTTCTGGGGGCTGGGTGCAGAGGCAGGCTCATTTCGCTGTAACTTTCCTAATTCTCTCTGCCAAAGTTTTTTTTTGTGGTTTCCCGCAATGAGTATTTGTATGCCTCCTCCAGAACAATACCCAGGGGTTGGTTGGGAGGATCGTATTGGCAATCTGATGATACGAGATTATGAAGTGTCTGAGGAGTGTGACAGAATGACAGGAAAATCCTGGCTTTCTCTCCCTTCTTGTTCTTTTAATGTGATAGAAACCATACTCAGAATAAGCTCATGTTTCAGGAAACATGGAAGGTTGTTGTTCTCTGACCTGTTTTGTAGATAACGATTAGTTGTGTGTTGTTTTAAGGCTGAACACAGGACAATGACCGCTTTTATTCTGGCTGTAATTGTTAACAACTACAACACAGGACAGGTGAGTCCCAGCATCCTCTTTCCTTTTGTTGTTCCTCCTCTCTCTTCTCTGCACTGCCTTTTCTTTGATGAACATGTCTTGGCTCGCATTAGTGCACAACCCTGAGCTGGAGAACTGGAATAGAAGATAGCTTTACATTAGGGTTGGGTTTTTTTTGAGTTTTTTTTTGGTGGAGTAAAAGAAGAATTGGCCTGGAGGTGTAACAAACACACAATGTAGATGTGGCTCCTGGAAGAGGAGGTTAAGGACACACCAGCTGCCCTCCAGGCAGTGCACTGATGTAGAGAAATAGCACCTAGTTCTGTCAAGTGAGAATGTGATGGCTGTGATACAATTCTTGGGAAGGATATACGGAAGGAGCCATAAACCTTAGGGCTCTGACAGGTACAAAGGAGTACTTCTAATGAGGAGAAAAACTTTATGCATTACAGGAAGTATTTGCAGTGCTGAACTATTTAGCTAGTGCAGCATGTAGTTGACCTTGCCCTTGTGCTGCTTCCAAATGGTGTTTTGCAACAGAATCAATACATAACCAAAGGATAATTATTTTCTCTTGGTTTCTGGTCTACTTCTTCTTTTCTGATGATGAGGTGGGAAGCTGTCAACCAAAATAAATGGCACTGATTTGTGTTTTAGGAAGCCTGCCTTCAAGGAAACCTGATTGCTATTTGCCTGGAACAGCTGAACGATCCGCATCCTCTCCTGCGTCAGTGGGTGGCCATTTGTTTAGGGCGTATTTGGCAGAACTTTGACTCAGCCAGGTGGTGTGGAGTGAGAGACAGCGCTCACGAAAAGCTCTACAGTCTCCTCTCTGATCCAATCCCAGAGGTAAGAATCCAACTGTTTAAATAAACACCGACCGAATTGTCAGAATTGCGGAAGCAGGCTGCAGGAATACTTACAGAAACAGTGCCTTCAAGGGCTTTGGGATTGCGTCTGGCTCAGAGAAACATCTTACTGCTCTTCCTTCAAGGTGGTTCAAATCACACGAGTCCTGTGAGAGAAGCAACTGAGGAAATGGAGGGGCTGTTCATGCAGCCCAAGTCTCAGAATCTTGGAGCTGGCAGAAGGAGGCACCCCCTTTTTTACTTCCTTGCATATCAGAGGCTTTTTAAAACAAGTGGTCCGAAAACTCAGTGTTTCAGAAAACCCTCTCATCTTTTTTATCTGAATCTGAAAACTGTTCTTCTCCTGGTATGTGTGAAAGTACATCTTTAACTGAATGTGTTTTACTCTCGTGACCGAATTTCCCAGAGAGCAGAGATTCTTGTGCAGAGTGTGGCTGTGATTGACAGAGCCTGTCAGACCCTGGTGGGATTACGTGGTGTGTGGGAGAAGTAAGCCTGGAGATAAACACCACTGCTGACTTGCAGTGATTAAAGATTAGCTTCCCTTTTACATCCAGTCTTTCTCTCCTGTACCTTCTACCTCCTTTCTCTTGCCTCATCTTTCCCACATTCTGTAATCCATATTTGTGCAGTGGTCGGGTTGACCTGTCTTTATGACACATCTGCACCTCTGTTTGAGAAGCCAGGGTGATCGTTTCTGCTCTATGAAGCACATCCTGCACTTGCTGATTATACTGTATCCCCAGTTTTTGCTCTCTGCCAAGGCAGGCTGTAAGTTTACCAAGCCATCTGATCCCTCTGTTCTTTGTGTAATCTGGCAAAATCTACCTTGATTGCAGTTGCTGTCTCTTTCTTTTTCCCAACTCGTTACCTTTCTGCATGCCCTTAACTGAAGGCTGGAGTTCAGCGCTTTGTTAAAGAGATTTGCATGCCAACCGTAACTCCCTGTATGCCTTATTCCTATTAATTAATATTCTAGGCAGTGTCAACTGGAAAAATCACCCATGGGAAGGTCACTGAGTATTCTGGGAAATTAAATGTACTCCTTCATCTGTGAATACTTATAACTCAGCGCTTTGATGAACCTGGTTTGGTTCTTAGTCTCTGTGGGCTTCCATTCAGCCCTCACTATTTACTTGACACAGCAGCCCAGGTTTCCAGAGACACCATTTGTGGGGATAAGAGCTCCCAGTGGCAAACCTCAGGGCTGGAGCAGAGAAGAAAATAATGAGGATTGTTTCCCTCTCCCAGGTTCGCTGCGCTGCCGTCTTTGCCCTGGGAACATTTGTGGGCAACTCGGCAGAGCGGACCGACCACTCCACCACCATCGACCACAACGTGGCCATGATGCTGGCCCAGCTCATCAACGATGGGAGCCCCATGGTTCGGAAGGTACGGGCAGGGCTGCTCTGCAGGAGTTTGGTGGAGCTGTGCTGCCAAGCTCTGTGCTACGCTGGACAGAATGCATTCTTTCATGGACTTGTTGCTGATTTTTATTTTTGCTGTTTTTAATTTTAAGAGAATGCAGCGATGGAGGTAAGGAAGGAGAGCGGTATCGCTAAAGGACTTGTCTGTTAATGCACTTCTGTTGATTCCTGTTTTGATTGAAAATTGTCACGTTACACGGTCTCAGTGAAATCGTGATCTGTTGCTGGAAACATGGAGAATGCAGTGATCCTAGGGGAGGAAGAGAGGGAAACAAGAGGGCTGTGAGAGAAAATGAGAGCTCACAGACAGATCTTGTTGCTTTTGGAAGCCATAAGGAAGGATGACAGATTGGTTCAGAGTAATTCTTCAGGTTCTGGAGTATTATTTTCTGATGCTCCATTGTACAACAATAGCACGTTCAATACTTTTTGATGGTTTCAGCTGTTCTTGATGGGATGCACTTAGGTGTCCTAACGCTTGTGTCTGCTTAACCGGAACATCAATACCCTGACAAGTTGTCACCAGCATTGAGAGGATTAATTTTTGCTGTCTTGTTCTAGCATTTATCAATTTAACTTAAGAGAGAACTGCGTGTCCCACTGTATGCTCTCTGAGATTCATAAATCTCTATTTTGGAGATTTGTCCTCTGAACAGAGAACAGCAAGAAATGCCGGTTCTCCACCTCTCCTTTTTGCCATTTCCACACGCCCAGCAAATGCTGCCTATCTGCGGGTCTGAACTTCACCACCTCCTCCTTCCCCGTCCCTGTAATTCAGGGCTCCTAAGCTGCACCTCTGGGAATGAATTGGCTGTGAATTGGCTGGGCTGTCCCTTGTGGGTGTGCAGCGTGCTCCTCACATTGGCTGCTGACGTGGAGGGCAGGGCAGAGCTCCGAGGCGGAGAGCTGAGCCGTGTCCCCAAGGTCCACATGTCAAATTCTGTTTCCTTCTGCTCAGAGCAAATGTAGGACAGGCTGTGGGGCGAAAGCTTGGCTCCTTGTTTGTGTGGCACAGGGATGGGGTCATGCTGTGCCACTGCAGGCTGAGTGCACCCATGGCAGCTCACTGCTGCTCGCATGCACGGGAGCTGGGCGTTAATTCAGTGCTTTCTGGGACTCAGCATCAGCTTGACAATATCAGGCAGAATCAGGGAGCAGTGGCAGACTGTTCAGGTAGAAAAGACTTGTTGTGAAGAATTAATTTTGAAATGGAGCATTTTGCCTTTTTTCAGATCATCCCCTTTGTGAAGCAAAGGGGAAATGGATGCTTCTCCCAGCCAACCATAAAAAGTGTCCTCGTCTCCACTTGGTGACAGATGGGTGTTAATTTTGTCAAAGGGTTGGTTTCACGGGGACCTGAGTCTCCATAATTTAAGAATAAAAAATAAAAATAGAAAGTCCTTGCAGAATAGAAGGCCATTCCCAGCCACGTTAACTCAGAATAGAGGTAACTTGCTAAATTGCCATCATCTTCATCGTCGGCTCACCTCTTGTGTTTGGAAGGTCAAGTGGAGTTTTGTTCTTTCCACTGCACAAGGGAAAGTGTACGTAGGGCAGCAGACCCACAGCCTCCTGCCCACTGCAGCAGTGTCTATTTGGAGAAATGCCCCTTGGCTCTTGGGCAGTCTGGGGGCTGAAGCACACTGCATATCTCCCCTGTTGAGGCATCTTGCAGGCAAAGAACCTGTGTGTTCCTTTGCCTCTCTTCATGAACTTCTCTGGATCTTGGGAGAAGGCAATGTGCTCCGTCTCGCTGGTGTTTACCCTCTTGGAGAAGTTCTGATTTTGTTTCTTGCTGTGGTGGCAGAGGATGTGGGTATGTGTGAAGCAGATCCACAGGAAGCCAAAGCAGCTCATGAGACAATTTGCTTATTGCTAATGAGTGTTCCTACATTTTTATTTCTTCTTGTTGCTAGTCTGGATGGTTGCCCAGTCATATCAGTAATAATGGGCATATGGTTCTGCCTTTTCCTTTTGTTCACTGTTTCTGACCTACACAACAGTGAAATACCTTTTTTCACTCTGCTCTTTCCATAGGAGCTGGTGGTGGCTTTAAGTCACCTGGTGGTTCAGTATGAGAGCAATTTCTGCACTGTCGCCTTGCAGTTCATGGAAGAAGAGAAGAATTACCCTCTCCCTTCTCCAGCTGCCCCAGGTTTGTGCTCTGTGTCTTATGGCAGACAGAACAGGTGGATCTTATTTGAGGGCTTTGCTTAAGACAGTGAAATTCTTGCTGGTGGTGATTTGTTGAACAACAGCATTGCTACAAAGCTGAGGGACGTGGCAGGTAGGTTTGTCCTGGAGAAATGCATCCTCAGCTGAGTCTCCATCTTACTTGTGGAGATTGAACACCCAGCCAAATGCAAAGGGACTCCTTTCAGATCAAAACTGAAGTATATTTGTCAAAGGGCACCCAGGCGTACCAGACTTCTTATTCTGAAATTATATCTGAGCCTTCAGTTTTGTGTTGACCTAAAGAGGCTGATAGGAAACCTCACAGCAGAACAAAGAACTCAATGAACCCCTTTCTACTGTAGGCTTTGTGCCTGTCGTCCTTTTTTTGAGTGTTGCTTTACGTGGGGAATGAAAAGCCCAAGTGAAGTTGTTGCTGACCTCTGATTTTCCTTAGATATTAAGTACATTTGAAATAATCAGAGCTAATGGGACTGTTGCAACAGAAGCCTGGAGGCAATAGCATGTGTTGTCTCTGCAACAAGTCGTTTAATCTCCGCATTGGCTGAATAAATTAATCATATTAGAAAATAAGTTCCACATTTGTCTTTGCTGCAGGAAATAAGCATTATTTACCATTTATGTAAGTGCTTCTCCTTATCCAAAATGATCCTAAAGTACTCTATAAGTAAGATGTACTGCAAGTGTTGCCCCAGCACCATAATGCAGCCACCTCTGCTTTGGAATAAAACAGCTATTCTGAGAAGTTGTGACACTGTGTGTGTATTCAGGAATGAAAATGGAAAAAAAAAAAGGGGAATTATAGTTTGGGTGAAATACAAGTTGTAACTAGGCCTGAAATTTGGTCAGGAAGCTGATATTTCATAAGCCTTTGTAACAACAAAAAGAAAAGAATCCAGAGCTTTAATGAGCAGGAGCAGACGGAAGCCTGCAAATGCCATCTACTAAATGGTGTCTGCTGTAGCAGTGTGTCCTAGCACAGTGTCTGGGCAGTGGCCCAGCATCAACCTGGAGGGAAGAGCCGTTGTGTCTCTGGGCAGCCTGCAGGCACTGGCAAGGCTCATCTCACCGGAATTTATTGCATGGAATGAAGTCACAGCCTGAACAAGAGCAAACTGTGCTCCGTGCTGGGTGCGTTCAGGGAGGATCCCGTGTACCTCATTCTGCTCATGCTAATGGGTGAATTCTGTGTTGGTAATATCTGAGCTCTGCCTTTGCTGGGAATCCACCCACAGGCTGTGGTCTCTTTGGTCACATCTCTAATGGCTAAATTTTGCATCTGCAGAGGGTGGGAGTTTGACACCAGTGAGGGACGGTCCGTGCACACCTCGGCTGCGCTCTGTCAGCTCCTATGGGAACATCCGAGCAGTGACCACAGCCAGGAACCTGAACAAGTCCCTGCAGAACCTCAGTCTGAACGAAGAATGTAAGAGATTAAAAAATTCTGTCATTTTTCTATACCAGCTCTTTTTTCTCACCCTCTTGCAAGCCGCCATGTGCGAACCAATGCGTGGTGTGAAACTTAACTTTTGTGCCTAGATTATCCAGCTGCCAGCTCCAAAGGATTAGGTGAGGAGCCCTCTCCTAATTAATTTCAATTTATTGGTCATTAATATTGATATATATATTTTTTTTGAAGCGTTCAGGGATCAAGATGGTGCCTTTCAGTTTCCTGCCATACACAGATTTTTCACTGTCAGAATCGTTTCTGACTCTTTGATGCTTGCTCTGTATTTAAACATTCCGTTTTTAAAAGGGGACTTTGTGGATTTGCCCACACCTTCACTGACCGTTGTAGCATTTGGAAAAGCACTGTTACGCCCGGGTGAAAATTGCTCTCCTCAAGTCCCTGTTTCAGCAGCTGCCTGCCTTCCTTTTGGCAGCTGGAAGCTCTGTTGCGTTTTCTCCTGGGAATCTCAGCACCAGCAGCAGCGCCAGCAGCACCTTGGGCAGCCCTGAGAACGAAGAGTACATCCTGTCGTTTGAGACCATTGACAAGATGAGGCGAGTCAGCTCTTACTCCTCTCTGAATTCACTCATAGGTGAGTAAAGGCTCTCCCCCTTCCTTTGGTGTCACCTTTCTCTGTATGTTCGCACCAGGTTTTAGGGAAGGTTTGGATCTTAGCTCCTGCTAGATCTCTAGCAAGAGATCTCGTAGCAGCAAGCTGTTCTTGCGTCTGGTTAGGCTATATGCAGAGCAGAGCCCCTCCTGCTCTGAAGCTTTGGCTTCTCGCTGTGGCAGACAGCAATCCTCCTAGGAATATGAGCACAAAAATGTCACACATGAGGGGATTTTATGTCCACCACGGTTTAGTTGGCTAGATAATCAAAACAAAGACTCTCCATCCCATGGATGCAGCAGCTGGGCTGTCTGGCAGTAACTTCCCCCGATTATTTTTCATGTGGGTTGTATTTCTGTACAGCACAGCCATTTTGTTGTGTTATTCATACAAGAAAGCCTCACCTAACTAATTTTCCTTGCACATTCATATGCACGTTGTTAAAACAGGACATAAAAAAGAAGAAATCCTAGGCTGAGTCTCAAAAACAGACTGATAGTTTCACATAACTTGTTTTTGCACAAAAACTCTGACTGATCCCACTGCCTCCAGTCCCCTCTCCATCATTTCCTCTTGAACAAGCAGCTCCAACAGCAGGAACTGCACCAGACTTCTCAACACTGCTCAACAGTCCTTTTTCTGGGCATCTGGCTTTGTGGGTAACATACATCTTTCTGCAGAGTGAAGTGCTGTGGCACATAAAGAAGGGAGCTTTTAGCTGCACTTATGCAGTGCGTGGCTGATTTGCATGTAATGGCTGATCTGCATTTCTTTTGTGACACACAACTGGTGTTTTTGTGTTGGACTACTTCCACTCAGCTGTTTTTTCTAATAGTGCTCCCAGTCGTGTTTGAGTGCTACAGTAGCACTGCTTTAAACTGGCTGTGGCTTTCCAATCTGAACCATTTTGGGATGGTAACACAGCCAGCGTGCAGAAGGGCTTAACTTCTGCAAGAGCCTCCATCCAGGGAGCACAGGAGGCAGCACATGGCTGAGAAGTGTTGTGGGAAGTCTGCAAATCTATGTGTCAGCTTTGTGAGGTATCCATGTGCCACGTTTTTCCAGCCTTCAAAAACCAGTGCAGAGGCGTAAGTCTGGAGTCCCCCTTGATGCTGGGCTTGTCTTGGCTGAAGAAGCACTTTGCTCCCTACATTTGCTGGAAAAAGTGATGATGGTTTGACTTTCTGAAGTGAAAGATTCTGGGATTGGGATTTGTGAGACCTTAAGGCCCTGTGGCAGTTTAAAGTCATTTGTTCCTTAGAAGCTTGATTGATTCGTTTGCTTTTGGTTGTAGGTAGTGAAACTGTATTTTCTGAAAGTGTGGCAGAAATGTTAGGAAATTTCTCTTTCTCTTAAGCTCGAGAAGCTGGTTTTCCTCCGTTCCTCTGGTGCTAAGTGGTGTCTGCTGGATGCCTCCTGCAAGTCTCACAAGGTTTTTTTTTCCAAATGTGCTGGAAGCTCTAGAGATCAGCTGGAGGTGCATCAGGGAAACCTAAAGAAACAACAAGAGCAGTTCTCTGAAGCCTGTCTCATTCCTGTTTAATCAGAAGAGCTCATAGCCAGCTGGAAACGAGAGAGCTTATAGAAGTGTTTAAAATTCATAACTCACAGAGAATCCCATTACCTTCAGCGTTTGCTTCCCGAAAGCCAGGCTTTTTTCACTCCTACTGAAGAAGCACCATCTCTCAGCCTGCTCTCTTCTGGTCCCCAAGGAGGGAGTTTTCAAAACCCCATCAGCTCCAGCCACCCTTGGTGCTGCTGTGCAGTCAGCCCAGACTCAGATTAACACTGCTGTGGGTATTTGTCACTTGCAAGTAGCAGCTGCAGCTAGCCTGTAACATTCCAGAAGTGCCCATCTGCCTTGGGGTGAAGCTCTTTAAGTTCTAGAAGAGAGTGGAATCCTGCTGTAGCTCAGAGTTGTCACTGGATGATGGACCTGCCCTGAAGGAAAGAATATTTTGCTCTGCTCTGTATCTCCTGGCAGAATTAACTGTGATTTGCCTCTGCAGTAATGTCTGTGCCCCAAGTGCTTGGGACAGAGAGAGCAGTAAAAGGGATGCTTTGGGCACATGGGTAGAATCAAACCAAAGCAGAAATCCAGTCTGTAGTAGAAAAAGGAGAAAATGTCAACCACAGTTTTATTCTGCATTCAGTGCTCTGCATTCCCTACGTTGATTCACTGATGCTTGGGACTTTCTTCCCCTCCTGTGGTTTTAGGAATGTGTCTCTAGAAGGAATTTCCTGGATCAGCCTATCCACTTCATTGACACTGTGGCATCATATAATTCTTCCCACAAACCCAAAGAAAACCTCTGTGCACCTTCTCCTGCCATTTTACAAACAGCTTCCTAGCAAACTACCAGCAAAACATGACCAGAAAAAGCAGCAGATATCTTTGTCTCTGGGTGTGCTGTTTTCTGGCAGACCAGTCCTTGCCCAGGCAACCTTGGGCTACCAGAAGATTGCTTTCTGGCCCTCGTGTGGCTGAGCTGGCAGCAGCCAGGTTTGGTTAGTTAACATACAACATGCAAACACCAGTTTGGATGGGAAGCTGAGCCTCGCTTCTTTTTCCGTAAGACAAGTCATTAATCTTTGCATTCTGAATTTTTTTATTTTTTTTTTAGTTTTGCTTAGTTTTAAGATGGGAAAAGAAAAAGTATTGAGATGAGGGCTTTGCATACCTTGAAGGTGATTATTCATATTTAAATTGTATGATTAAAAGTCTTTGTCTTATGGAGAGCATCACTGGAAAGATTATATTAAGGAATGATCAAAGGAAGAGGAGGAAGCCTTGGAGCAGTGAATGCAGGGGAGCATTTCTCTGCTTCAGCAGGAGAGCTGGGGGCAGGAAGCTGTTTGCTGGGTCACAGGAGCCTCTCTGAAGAGCTGCCTTGAAGTAACACCCGCAGCAGGAGGTGACTGCAGTGAGGATGACGAAGGCAAGAGGTGTAGGTGGGCAGTGAGCTGCAGAGAGGAGGCTGCTGGGACAGGTAGAGCCTCCTCTCTCGCTAGGCACTATATTTGAATTCAGTGCCATGAGAAATAATTGGCTAAGCAGTGCTATTTGTAAGTAAAACTTCACAAAATGGCAAAATACAGGGATCTGAGTGGGCTTTGGAAATGGACGCTTGTTGCAGAGGTTGCCTTCAGCTCGTCCTCTTTGTCCTGCACTGTGGAAGCAGCATGGTGGAGCCAGGGCAAGGCCTGGGCACTGCTGCACAGCCCTGCATGAGGCAGCAGCTGCCCTGCATGGCGTTGCTGAGGCAGTAGGGAACCAGGATGGGAGAGAAATCCCAGTGTGTGACGGTGGGCAGCAGAGCAGCTTGGTTGGCTCTGTGGCTGTGCCATGCTGTGCCGGTGTTTGCCCTGGCCTCGCACTCCCTCTCTGGGCACAGGCAGGGAGCAGTGGCGTGGGCTGGCTGTGGCAGCTTGCAGGCTGTCAGCACTGTGCACAAAAAATCAATTTGCCATTCCTCTGGGGAGTGAGCTGCTGTTCGTGGTTGTCGAGGTAGAGTACAGAAAGCTATCTGAATTTCTGATGTTTTCTCCATTGGAGGAGCTCCCGCAGGACCTACAGTGTCACTCTGGGAAGAGGAGAAGCATATGGGATGCTGCCTTAGAAAGCATTGGGATCAGCATTGATGGGAACCAGATAGCTGAGCCCTCAGGTGCTGCTCGGTGTGAAGTATTCCAGCTACATGCTTTCACCACACCAATCCCAGATGTGCTTTTCCCTGCAGATGGAACACATGGGAGCAGAGCTGCTTCCAGTCTGAGGCACATGACACGTGTGCCATAGGTCAGCTTTTGCTGCTGTGCTGGGTGGGCACTGCATCTTCCAGAGATCAGGGCTTACAATCACTGCACTGATTTTTAAAGGGGGTTAGAAAGAGACACCATCACAGTTTGGTGAAACAGAAGGGGTAAACAGAAGCGTTGGTACAACGTGGTCCTGAGCTTTGTGTGCTCGGTGACCTCAGCCAGGTCCCTTCCTTGGGGCAGTGATGTGATGCTGGCTGTCACACCGAGCTGGGAGCTACGTGCATGCAAACGAAATCAAAGGCGTCAGTGAAGAAAGGCAATTTATTTTTGACGTTCTTAGCTGAGAGAAATCATTTTGTAAATCTATACTGCAAGGTCCATTTAACTGGCTTTGAATCAGTCTGACTAATTACAGAGCTGTCTGCTTAAATTAACACCCCCGTCCCCCTTGCACGGCCCTTTGTTTGCATCTCGTGGATATTTTCCTCGTTTCAGTGCAGTACATGAAATCAAGCTGCTGCTCCTGCTGCCGCCTCTGCTGCCTCCCTTTATCCCAGTGAGTCCACATTTTGGGTTCCTGCAGGAGCTGTGTCGGATGTGTCACTGGGCTGAATCAGTGCACAGAACAGCATTAACGGGAGGGGGGCAGAAAGCAGCAGTCCTTCAGCCCCGGTGCTGAGCCTTTGTAGAAATTCCCTCTGTTCTTTTCAAAGGCTGCGGAGCGAATGAGGAATTGCACTGGCGCAGATCTGTTTTAAATTTGTTTTTCATGACGCTCAGATGTATAAAAAATGTTATTGGCTTTTTCCTTCTTCATGACTGCGTCATGAGTGAGGTGGTTATCAGAGAAACTGATGAGCACCTCCTTGCTTTTCTTTTCTCCCTCTTTCCTTTTACTGCCTTTCAAGGGCTCTAAAAAGGTCCACACCATTCAGATCCCCACCGCTCCTTGCGTAGCTTCCGGCACAGCAGGCACAGGGTAGGGATGCTTTGCTCAGCTGATGTGGCACTGCCTGGCTTGGGGCTGGGGCTGCTGTCCTCCCATAGCTCTGTGTGCCTCCAGCTTTGCTTTTCCTGCTAACATCAGCTTCCAGAGTGAACGTGCGGGTTGCAGAAGTGGGACCCAAATGGTCAGAAGCCCGAAAGGACAGACAGTGTTACGTCGCTGCTTTTTCTGCCTGGGAGGCCCATTCCTCTTCTGCACAGGGAGCTTATTGTGTGCTGACATTTTCAAACACGGATAAAGAAATTGTGAAAAAGATGATGACTTTTGCCAGCTGTGACCACAGCCAAAACCTGAGGTCGGATTTGCACTGTTCCAAGTCAGTTCTGCTGAACCCACACACGCTGTCCTTGCGTGTTCCTTGGTTCCATGCCCTCAGCCAGCGTAAACCACACACAACAGATCAATGCCCTTTGACTGTGCTGTGCTTTGACAGTGGTATTTTCTTTCTGGGATCATCACCCTGTGCCCTGCTTGCATTGGAAAGGTTAGGCTCATCTGCAGGACCCTGCTGTGTGGGTCACCCACGGCAAACAGGCAGCGCTGCCTGAGTGGTGCTGTCATAAATACTCATCAGTGGGGTTGCTATGTGAAACTCTGAGAAATCCTTTGCATATCAGCCAAGTAAGAGACCCTCTGTTTCACGGGTCAGGTGGAGGGATGGAGTGAGATTATCGCCTTTGCTTTTTGCAGAACGTTTGTCACACGCTGGGGTGTTTTTCTGGCTGAGGAGGATTCGATTGTCTGGTGCAGGCAGCCATATGGCAGTGCACTGTGCGTGCTGCTGAAGTTTATAACTGCACACTGCTTGCTTGCTTCAGCTTGAGTTCAAAACCAAACTGTCCGCGTCTGTTTTCTTTTGGCCCGAGCATCGGGTTCAGCTGTGAAGGTGCTTGCTGACCAAGGAGCCCTGTCTTCACAACACTTTATATTTAGATGCCTACAGAAACACGGAAGGAAATGCAGTAACAGCTTGATCTGTCATTTACCATTGATTGTGACTCATCTGAAATCCCTATTTTTGTTCCTTTTTTTTTTTTCTTCTTTTTTTATTAGTGCAACTGCTTTAATATTGTCCAAATGGCTCAATTCCTAAAAGACAGTGTTGTACCTATTACACTCGGTGGGGGTTAGGAGAAAGAATAACATATTGAAGATTCACCTAAAAACAGCAAAATGAAACATTTGCTGGGTTATGTGAGTTGTTACCAAAGCTTATTAATTTGATTTGTACTCAAATCCGTCAGTCCCTCCTGCTGAAATAGCAAACTGCAGATATTCTCATTAACCAACAAATTGGCAATTGAGGAATTGACACAAATGTCAGCAGGAGAGGCTGAGTTAGGCTCGCTGCTTCACAAGGTACAGTTCTTACAGCTCCACTTTAAAATTTAGCACTTAGTAAACTTGTAGAATACTTAAAAGCCCTGAACAGTCAAGCGGAGTATTAATCCTTAAAGCAGCTATAAAAGTAACCATCAAAATATAAGCCTCTAACTACATTCTTACTACATTTAGTGTTTTAGCTCAGGAGCTCCAAAGGCTCTGTCTGCTGTTCCATTTGGCTTTTTCAGTTTAGTAGCTGCAGGGGCACAGCAGACCAGCAGTTTGATTGAGGCTTATTCAAGTAGTCTTTATTTTGCTTTACGCCGCTCTCATTTTACCAACTCTTGCAGAGTTCACAAAGAAGGACAAGGAAGAGGCAGAATGCCCACGTAGGGTGTTTGTGAGCTCTTCTCTTGATGTTTTCTTAGATGTCATTGTGATGTGCAGAGTTCTAATGAATTTTCTCACCTAAGATGAAAGAATTTGGGTTGATGGGTTGTCGTGTGCTCTGGGGGTTTGTTTTTTGGTTGTTCTTTTTATTTTTTTTGTTATTTTAGGTGTGAGTTTCAACAGTGTTTATACCCAGATTTGGAGAGTGCTCCTTCACCTAGCTGCTGATCCCTATCCCGACGTCTCCGACTTGGCAATGAAAGTTCTCAACAGCATTGCCTACAAGGTATGCCCTTCTGTGTGCATGTGTGTCCGTCAGACTTCTGTGTGCTGAATTTCTTCATGTTTAGGCACAGGGTAGGTAGGCTGAGCTGCACGGGGCCATTGGAGGGGCTCTGGTAAGCAATCCTAGTTCAGTCTGAATCTGTTTCTGAAGGAGCTTGTAGTGTTTCGAAACGATAAAACGCTCAGGTGAAGTCTTGCTGACGTAGAATAAATAAATGGGGGAGGGCCTGGGATTGTAAATTAGGTACAGACAGTAGGTCTTGTTTTCAAGTGTACTTATCTGATCAGTCCCTGGGAGAAACCTTCGATATCCTTCATTAAATTATCCGTTTGCAAACCGATTTAGATTATGCAAGTGGGACTGGCCTGCAGACTGAAGCCACAACGGCTCTCCAATCCAGGTGAACTAGTACATGTGAGTCAGCATGCAGACACCCCTGCCACTACTCACCTCTCAGCCAGGCCCCCCCGCCTAACCACCATCCTCATCACATCTCATCCTCCAAGGATGACAAGATGTCCCTGGAGGCTGCCGTCACTGCTGTTGGGAATTGACAGCTTGGGGAGCTGGAGCAGCACCCTCACCTCCTCCCGAGGCGAAGCACCAGGCCACCCCAGAACATCTTCTCACCAACTGCCTTCCCCCCGCCCAGCAGCGATGTCAGAGCTCTGACTGCAGCCCTTTCCCGTGCTTGGATTCCACCTGTAGTTGCTGTAGCATCCAGACCATGAGCCATTCCAATGCGAGATGGCGTCTCTTACTGATGATTGCTAATGAATAACCCTAAATCTTCAGTCGAGGCTTCTAAGCTGAAGTTCTGCAGTAAGAGATGCCAGCATTGTGCACTACCATTTTTACGCCTTAGAGATTTCTTGCTTTTCAATCTGATTTTCCCTTGAGAAAATAGTTACTTATTTAAATTCCTCCCTTTGTTTTAAGCGTACATGTCAGCCAGTTGGCAATGTCTGTGTTTGGGGACAGGGAATGGTTTTGACAGTGGGGGTCCTCCCCTGGTGATTCTGTTGTACAACGAATTGCTGTCAGGCACAAGGTTCCAAATGAAGGTGAATAAGAAAAGTGAAAAGATTTCCATCTCGGCTGGAGCTGCACAAAGCTGTTTTGGTGTTGAATGTTGGAAGGCTCTTTGCAAAATGAAACGTTAGTCTGACTATGGGATTTAAAGGGCTATAAAAGGAAATGGATCTGCTTTTTCTGACTTACCTATTTTTTCAGGAATGACTCCTTTGCTGGTGGAAAGAAATGTATAAATATTAATAAAGGTGCAGTTGTGCCCTGCAGATGTCTTTACCAGCACTGCTGTGGTTCTGCTTAGCCAGCAGGAATGTTGATCATTGTGCTGTGATGTGCGTAGGAATGCTGTGACTGTTTGATAAATTGGGTGCTGGTTCTGAGAAGTCTGGTCCTAAATTCTTTGCACAGGAAGGAATCCAGAAGCTCAAGTGGATGCATATTGCACATCTCATGCTCTGCTTCTCACACAGCTGCTCTCTGAGGCAATGGCTCTTCAAATGGTTTTGTATTCGAAATAATAAAAGCATTCCCATTTATGGAGATTTCTATCTGGGGTCACTCCAGTGAATGAAGCTTATTTGTTGTTGTTCTTAGCCACATTTGTTCTTCTGTTAGCCACAAGTGGCATGAGACCAGCATTTAAACGTGCACTTTGTCCAATGCTTTGGGCAGGTGCATGTGTGGCTGTCTCTTTGTGATGCTGTGCATTTGCTGTTGCCAGTACAGCAGCCCAGCTTCTCAAATGGATTCCTCCTGTGGAATCTTGTTAGCAGCCCTCCAAAATGGAAGATGAGGCTTTGGACCGTAGGTTCCGATCACAGCCAGCGCTCTCACTATGAGCAGTGCTGCCAGGGTTTACAGCCCCAAATCCATCCTGCTCTGCTGGCGTGAGCCTGGATCTGCTGTAGGAATTGCTGTCACATCAAGGAGGTTATTAACCATGACCTTGTGTCGGCTGTACGCCCAAACCTTTCCTTGGTGCTCGTGGAGCTTGGGCTGCAGGTGGCTGGGAGCTGCCTGGGTCTCTGCCCCTCCCAGGTTCAGCACATGCAGATGCTGTGTTCCCATTTGGTTTCTGAATATAAACAAAAGTTGATTTCCTTGATTAAAAAAAAGCCCTGTTTCACACTAAGTAAAGCACTTGGATGTTCAGGGGTTTAATCCTATTCTTCTGGTTGATACAGAATTTAGGGAAAAAGGCTTCATTTTGGAGCTTGGACATCTGAAAGTTTCCTCTGTTCACAGAACAGAATGCTGCAATTTGTGTGGCTTTGGTGTTTCTGCTGTTTTTCAGCTGAAGGAGCTTAACAAAGTAGCCATGGGCTGACATTTGGGAATGGCCACTGGTTACCCACATCTTCATTCTTGGTGAACTGTTTAGCTGCAGAACGTTGCCAGGCTCTGTGCTTTGAGTCCTCATGATTTTCCAGTATGTTTTGTACCGTGTTTTGTACCAGGCATGGAAATCAGTCACCCTGAGGGCTGTGCAGGCAGCACCGGTGCAGCATGAGGCTGTGAGCAGTAAGCACTGCAGCGCTGTGACAGCAGGGCAGTGCTGTGTGTGATGGGGTTGTGCAGGAGTTCAGGTTGTGTCTGCATTTGTAGAGCAGTTGTTTTTGTTTTGCAATGAGGCAAGTTCTACTCAGTGCAACGGAGCCAAGAGTACAGCTCTTTATCTACAGAACTCCAGTGGTCTTTAAATAGGGCGATGTCTTTCTGAGCAGCTGGTGAGTAGGTTGCACAGACGTGCATGCTTCCTGGGTTGGAAATGTGCAGTTTTATTTCCTGGGCTGATTAGACATTGCTGGTTCTCCCACAGATTGCTGCTGAGTTGTGATTTATATTCATGATGCAGATTGGAGTGATACAATCTCATTCCCAGCCTGATCTTTTAAAAGTCCCAAGCATGGTTTTTGTACCAAAGCAAACAAACAAACAGGAGCTGGTAAGCAGCGTTGGCCTTTTAAGACCTTCTGAAATCAAAATTAAGTAAGGAAAGTTTGCTTCCCTCCCAGATTGCCTCACCCAGCTGTTTTTAATGGAAGCCTCGAGGCTGAATTGTCCCAGCAGCTCTTCCTCCACTGACATCACTCTTGGTACAGCTTTGCCGTGCAGGAGCGAGCGATTCTGACAGCACACTCCTTTTTTTCTTTCCTCTACCGGGTGTCAATTTGCAAAGTTATGAATTACCATTTTCCCCTCCTGAAAGAGGTGATGTGACGGGCAGAGGAGCAAATCCCTGGGAAACGGGCAGCCGCAGCCTCCAGCAAAACGCTGTCATGTCACTGAGCTGCAGCTCGCTTCTGGCAGAAAAGAAATTCCTCTGCTGTTTCCCCAGGAAGAAGGAAGGCTGCTGCCACGTTCCCCTCGGTGAGCCCCTTCAGCACACTGTCACTGGCTCATCTTGTCCCTCCTCTGTGACACGAGGGGACCGGAATTGTTTCAGGTGACAGAGATCTGACTGCAAGAATCTGAAAACTGAGTCTTGTGTGACTAATTAGAGCTAGCAATGAATAATTGTGACTAGTTGTTAAATTGCTTCTGCTTTCCTTCCGTTCTCTCTGATTTCACATCCCAGCTGCTCACTGAAGACCCCACTGCACTCATGACTGTGATGAGTGGTGCTGGGGCCTCTCTCACCTCATGTGGGAAGGAGGAAAGTAGCCCCAAGTCAGCCAGCCTGTTGGAGGGGCTGGGCCAGGCTTATCCGAGGCCGTGGCATTTGGTGTGTGCCCCTGGAGCCAAGCAGGTGGTGGTCAGGGCTCGAGACCTTGAGCAGGTGGAGCTGGAGCTGCATGCTTTGCTCACTGCCATCCCCTGGCCTGCATCTGGGACCTTTTCTCAGAGGAAGGACAGATGTTTCTTTCAGGATTAGGTCTGTGTCAGCCTGCAGGAGGGCCTGGCTGTGCTGGGCAGAGCTGTGAGCAGCCCAGCTATGCAGACCTGCTGCCTTCCTATGCGAGTTGGTGTGGACTGGTGTGTAGGGAAGGGGCATCCTGCAGTGACTCCCACGAAAGCTCCCATTAGGGGAGTTGCAGAGACAATGGGAGGCAGATCTGTGCAGCTGCCAGATGTGCAAGGGCAGTTGTGACCCAGATGCAGAATCAGGATGGGTACTGCAGCCATGGGCAGTGGAGCAGTGCTGGGTGGGAGCTCCGTGCTGTCAGCTCACCTCATGGTGCAAGTTGTGCTGTGGGTCCTGGGCTGTGGCTGCTTTCAGAAGAGGCTGATATGTTGGTCAGTTATGTCTCTGTAAGCAAAAGAATGATGCTGTCTGGTAAGTGCTGTCAGACTCCAAGAGCAGCAGAATTCTTACGTGTTGAAAACTGCACAGGGACTTTTCACGTACATTTTTAAACACCCCCACACACACTGATAGAGAGCTTAACTTCATTGAACCCCAGGTGTGCAGTTGTATCATATAATAAACCCCTGCAATTGCTGTTCTGCAGTCCCGATCAGTGCTCTATTGTGTCTTTCCCTCTAGGCAACAGTCAACGCTCGCCCCCAGCGCATCCTGGACACGTCCTCACTGACGCAGTCAGCGCCTGCCAGCCCCACCAACAAGGGCATGCACATCCACCAAGTGGGGTAAGTGGGCCCAGAGCTCCCCATCAGGGGCCCACCGGGGTCTTGTAGCTTCTTGGTTTAGTGCTGGTAAGAGGCTTAGGAACAAAAGCTCTGGGGACAGGTGGGGAGTTTCTACACGTTACTCCTTTTAGGGCAAAGCATAATGAGGCATGCTGGTTATCTAAGGGTGAATTGAAGGGGCGTGTTGAATGTTGCTGATTTTACTGATGCACTCTGACCTGAGGTATCCGGATTTCCCATTGAAGTCTGATCTCTTTTCTCCAGTTTCAGCTAAAAGCCAGGGTTGCCTGGTCGTCAGCAAGCGATGCCTAAACTCAGTGAAACTAAGGCAACAGTGTGAGCAATGCTAGGCTTAGAAATGTGATTCCTTCCCAAAGGATGCTGTCCAAGGGAAAACACCTGGCTTGAGATCTGGCAGCCTCACAATCCATGTGCAGCAGTGAGATTCAAAGTTGGAAAGGAGGCCTCTGAACTGCTCAGTGATGCTTTTAATGTCTTCTGTTAGCATTATGCAACCGTGCAATTGCACAGATCTCAGTTTGCACGCAAGTCAAAATGCTGCCCTGTGGTCTCCCAGGACTCCAGTCACCACATTGCTGGTCATTGTGCCATGGTCACAGCCATTACATGGGGGTGTGTGACTGCATAACCTACAGGTTCCCAGAATTTTGCTTTTCTGAGTTGGCTCAGTCAGGATTCACTGCTGAGATTTGTAACTTTTTTGGACTGTGTGTTTGGATTGTAGAGGAAGCACAGCAGTGAAGATAAGTCTTGTCAGAAGCAAGCAAAGTAAAAGAAGTCATGTAATTCACATGCAGGAGTTAAGGCAGCAGAGCAGATAATGGCAACGTAGTCAGTGTTAGCCTCTGCCCTCGTGTTTGGGGGTTAGCTTTGTTTCTGCTGTGAGAGGGAGCATTGAACTGCTTTCTGCTTGTAGAACCGGGCTGATTCTCAGAGGTGGAAAGCATGTCAGGACTGCAGTTTAGTGAGACGTGCCAGGTGTCAGGGGATGCGTATCAGAGAGGTTCAGAAAATGAGGGCAAGTCACATGTCTGCTGCTATCTAAATCCTTTTACTCTTTTGATCTGTAGAGGATCACCTCCAACCACCAGCACAAGCAGCTCCAGCCTGACAAATGATGTGACAAAGCAACCGGTCAGCCGGGACATCACATCTGTGCGACCTGCCAATGTGGGCAACATGGGGGTTCAGTACACTCCCCACTCCCACCAGTTCCCCAGAACAAGAAAAATGTTTGACAAAGGGCCAGAGCAGGTAAAGAGACTTTGCTTTCAGTTCTGATCCCCTGCTCCACTGGGTTTTGTTACACTTTCTGTTCTTTGTGTTTTATTTCTGCATATCCTTCATCCTTCACTTCTAGCTGCTGCTAACACCAAGGTAGCTTCTTTTAACCAGTAAAATAAAAATGGATTAATTTTTTTCTTCGGGATATGTTTTATGACTCTGATATAGGACATTACTCACTTCTGCTGCCACCAAGGAGCGTTTAATCCGAGTTGATTGTTTATTCTTTCACCAACATTTGTCTGCCTGAGCGATAGTGCACAGCTGCATCTCTGTCAGTTGCTTTTCCTCCAACCTCAGCAAAGCATGGACAGAGGCTGACAAAGGGACAATTCTTCCTCCTTTAACATGCAGGCAGATGTTTCTCTTGAGACACTGGGAGATGCCCTTGCAGCAGCAGATTCACCTCCTTTACTGCAGATTCGTTCTGTGCTTGGCAGCCTCTCTTTGCTAAGCACAGGAGCAGATGTAAGCCCAGACTGGCACTGGGAAGACCAGAGCTTTCTACAGGTCACTGCTGGGATACATCTGGCCAGCCAAGAGCTGTGGTGTCTTATTTTCAGCATCAGGCCGATAGGGGGGTTGCACCCATGTTAGCATCCAAATGACAGTCATCAGGTACTGGGCATTTTTCCATTTAGAGAAGCATGAAGAACTGATTTGGTGCCAAGTGGAGGAATGCAGTAATATGCACAGTGGATTCTGAATGTCACTTTCAGTTGACTTTAGGTGAGTTATCTCAGACAGGTATGGTTGGGTCCAAACACACTCAGGTGCACTTGTGGCCATCACTCAAAGGTAGCAGTTGGCAGTGATCATAGAATCATGGAATGGCCTGGGTTGAAAAGGACCACGATGATCATCTAGTTTCAACCCCCTGCCATGTGCAGGGTCGCCAACCACCAGACCAGGCTGCCCAGAGCCACATCCAGCCTGGCTTTGAATGCCTCCAGGGACAGGGTATCCACAGCCTCCTTGGCAGCCTGTTCCTGGTCAGTGCCCCGGATCCAGCCAGCAGACAGTGGTTTGATGTTTGCCCCTCTCTTTACTTCAGAGCATTTCCAGGATGTTTCTGGTGCTTGCTCTGTGAGAGGAAACTGGAAAAGGCATTATGGAAGGGGAAGCTGGGAAGTGGCAAGGTGTGTGTTTGGCAAGCCACAGGCCGAGAGTACATTGCAGATTCCAGGTTTTCTGACTTCTGGGAATGAACTGTTCTTTATTAAAGTAGCATTTGCGTAAAGCCAATGCTTCTGTGTGATTCCAAGAAAGATTTGTCAAAGCATTAATAGGAGCACCTTCAATTCTAGCAGGGATAGCAGCAACAGCATGGCTCAGAGTTCAGAAAACCTGAATGAAGCCTGGGTCAATGGAGTGGTATCTCTTTTTTTTGTTTGTTTTTTCTTCTTCTTTTTTGATGTCTTATGCTTTATAATAGACATTTAATGCACACGTGGCCTTGATCTGAAGGTGGGTTATCCTGAATCACCTTCCCCTCACCACTGCTTCTAATGCCAGGTTCTTGTGTAGACCACGAGAAACCTCACCCTGGGAAGTTGGTTTTGTGATGCACAAACACTTGGGTTCATGATTCATGCTGTAGCCTGGCTGTGTCGTGTGCTGTGCAGAAGAGATTGTGTATTTCTGAACAGTTAATGTAATGACAGTGGTCGTGGAGCTAGACACAGAAATCTTGGTATCCTCAGCAATGTTTTTGAGGGTTTTTCTCTGCCACAGGCAGTCTGGGTATCACTGTGTGTACAATTTGCCCGTGCAAGTGAGATGGACGTGGGGTAACATCCTGTTCTCTTTCTGGACAGACCACTGATGATGCTGATGATACCGTTGGACACAAAAGTTTCATTTCAGCCACAGTGCAGACGGGGTTTTGTGACTGGAGCGCGAAGTACTTTGCTCAGCCTGTCATGAAGGTAATGTTTGGTTGTCTTTCTGAATCATGACACTGCAGTTCCTGAAAGGTTGAGGTGCTGGTTCTTCTCATAGGCTAGTGGCCTCATCTGTTCACTTTGCCTTCTTCTCCTCTTCTGGCTGAGAAGGGAAAGGAATGGATGTATTTCTATCATCCTGCTCTGGTGAGCTGTGTGACCACTGCCTATCACAGAGAGCAGGAGAGGCAGTGAGAGCCAGAAAGGTCAGGTATTAGTAGGGACAGAGCCCAAGCAAAAGCCTTGCATGCATAGAATGCTTTCAAGAAAGAATGTAGAAATGAGGGGTTCTTGAGTGGAGATGGGGACAACAGAACACACCTTCCCCTTGAAGTGAGGCATGGCTCTGTACTCAAGTGTGACCTGGGAGCTGTGCTTACGTGCACCCAGTCTTGATTCCTTTACCTTAGCGAGGAGAATGGCTATTGGAAGTCTACAGGACAGCATGGGGAAAACTTCAGAAGAATCATTATTCTTTTCAAAGTTCAGCAACAAAAACAAACTTACTACAGCAAAGAATGAGGGTTGTAAGTGACAAATCTCCATTGAGATCTCTTTAGAAGTGAGTGCTTTCTGGTAACTCTAAGTTGGTTTTACGTGAAGTGAGAGGTGCACAAAAGCTTTATTCTAGGAAAAAAAAAACAAAACAAAACAATGAGACAAAACAAAGCTCTTCAGAGATGAGCAGAGATTGTCAATGACTGGAAATAAGCACTTACATTCCCAGAATCTTTTAGCCAAAGATCAGGTTTCAATCTTAAGCGTGAAATCAAAGTAAGCATCAAACCTTGCCTTGGTATTAGCAACCACAATGAAGGTACCTTGGGATTCAAGCAGCACAAACTGTAACAGAACTTTCAGCTTAACTTTTGGAGGTATTGCAATTAATGTGAACTATAATGCCTCGTTTGTATTAATGCCACCACCTGAGCGACTCAGCAGTGGATGCTTTTATGCAACCGCTGATGTTTAAATCTTCAGAATATGCAAAGAAGTGGCACATTTTACGTGCTGCCTCGTCTAAGAATTGCCACTGAGCCATCTGTTACTGCTCCTTTCCATCTTTAGGCACGTTACATTGTTAGGTGTTGAGGTGAGGTAATTGCCCCCAAGTTTAAGGCTATCAGAAAACCGGTTACATGGCAGCGAGGTTTCCGTGTAGCTTTAATTTGTTTAGAAAATCACCAGGAGGAAAAACTAGATGGTAGAGCGACTGCCTGACGCTTCCTGAGCTGCTAGTGAAATTAACTTTCTTCTGATATCATTAGCAGAATAATTCATTAGGAAATACATCTGGCCCATGGGGCTCAGTCAAGCTTTATAGCGGGGTTTTCTCGCATCAAGATGAGTTTCAGTTGTCTCAATTCAAGTCCAGAGGAGAGTAAAAGAAACACAGGAGGATGTTCTTCCATCCCTTAGTTCTTATTAAAGACATTTGTCTACTTTCTAAGGAAAAAGAGGGGTGTCTTATTAATGCAATAAATCACAGTAGACAGCCAATCAAAATGCAGTTTAAATGTGTAGATGGGGAGCTGTGTATGTGTGTGTATATATATATATAGATTTAGTACTCCAAGTGCATAAAATTAAGAAAATTGGGGGAGGAAAGAAAACATACGGAGTGTTCTCATACTAATGCATAGAAGCCAGGGAGGGGGAGTCCTGGAAATGAAAATTTCAGGCTTTCCTTTCACTGTAGTGAGTCCCAAAGAGTTCAGTGTCTCGCCGTGAGAATTGAGATGCTCCAGGCTACATCCCTATGCAGAACATGTGCACAATGATCTCTCTCTTCAGCTTTTACTCTAAGAGCAGGAGTAGCAGTGTGTATGTTCTCTTAGTTCCCGTGGTTTGGGTTGGTGACATTCACTGCCTTGGGTTGCATTTTCTGAGCACAGAGCATCCTCAGCAGCAGTGTTTTAGGTAAGGTTTGCTCCAAACCTGTGTTTCCTAATGAAATGAGGAAGTGAATTGATTTGCCCATTACTTTTGTAAAACAGCCTCAAGAGGCCAAGTGGAGGTCTGTGTGCCAAGAAGTTTGCATGTTGTACTGACTGCTAGGGAACTGTATGGGGCTTTGTAATGAGTGGGTGGTACATGTGCAAGGGGCAGGGGGGCGTCCCTCTACTACAGCTTCCTTTGGCACATCTCGATTGCTGCTTGTGTAACCAGGCAGCCCTGGCCATGCTGTAACTCGAGTCTTGGCTGAATGTCCAAAGATTGCTCCTTTCCTAGAATCTGTTCCTGCAGCAGTGAGGAGCAAACAGCCATGGCTTGCAGCTGCTGTCTTTTGAGAGCTTTAGCCTCATGAAAAAGGCAAAGAGTAAAGTCTGCAGAGTGCTGATGGAAAAAGATGACGTTGATGTGCAATTCCAATACTTCATTTGGAGATGCTGCCTACCATCATAAACAGGGAAAGATAAGACAACTATTCCTGTAATGAATAAACATAAAATGACTGTGAGTGCATCTTAGTCATATTTAATTTATGAATTCAGCTTTGCTTCATAGACCTCGCTATGAGAATGCTTTCGTTGGAAAGATGGAGGGATTAATTTCCAGCGTAAATCAGTGGCTGGGATTCAGGCCATCATAACTGCCTTTGATTTATCGATTATCTAATCAGATACATGGAGGAAGAAAACACCGCACTGTAAATTCTCGGTGTGCCAGGAAAAGCAGTTACCTACCACAGCCCTGATCTCTGCAGAAGTCGTTCCTCTTCCTAAAGCTGGGATGGCAAAAGGCTGTTCTGCTCACCATAGGCAGCCTTGGACCGCGTGGCACAGGAAAGCCTTGTTGCCAGCTGTCAGGAAGCCCTGAATCGAGGAGAGCAGAGCCAGCATCTGCTGCTCGCAGGGCTGGCAGAACATGCAGGCAGGAGCTGGGAAGGATCCTGGAAGGTGAGAATTACATAAGGAATCCTTCCTGAAAAATCCCAGCCCTCACTTCAGCGCTCTGTGCTCTCTGTCTTGGCAGTTGCTCAAAGTCCTGGTGGAGGAGGGAGCCCTGTGTGCGATGCTGCAGTAACACTGTGCAGGGACAAACTGTATTTACTACAGGAGCAGACTGCTGAATTTTCCCCTCTCCCATCCAAATACCGACTTCCACGCCGACGTGGAAGGATGCTGTTAAAAAAGAGCTTGGTTGGCTTTCAGATGACACCACTTGGTGGGAGGTTTGGGGACGGTCGCTGGTTGATGTCTGGGTGGAAGCTCAGAGATGCAGAGAATCGGAGCCATGTCATGATCCTCATCATGTAGCACAGTTTGCTACTCCCACGTACCTCTGGGAGCTCTGCTCGGAGGAGAGCTGAGCAGCAGCCAAAGCCCGGCTGTTGTTTACTAAAATGACTTTCTAATGCTTAAATGCGAGCTGGATGGGAGGGGAGACAAAGGCATGAATAATGAGCCTAACTAGCTTTTTCTTTGGAATAATAATTTCTGGGTTTCCAGCCAGAAGCAGCTGAGCTGGAGGTCACTGCTCTATTACATGCATGTCCTGACATAATCCTGTGCTTCTGCACCACCAGAAGTTCCCTTGCGATGTGTTCTGTGGGGTTACAAAATCATCACAGAATCACAGCATGCCTGCGTTGGAAGGGATCCCACAGCCCTACCCCTGCTGCGAGCTGATTGCCAGCTCAGCCCAGGCTGCCCAGATCACATCCACAGCCTCAGGCACCTCTGGGGATGGGGCACTCACAGCTCTGGGCAATGCCGTGGCCTCACTGCCCTCTGGGTAAAGAATTTCCTCCTCACATCTGACCTAAGTCTCCCCTTCCTTTGTTATTGCACCCAACCCAGCTCTGTCCTGCAGGCTGCTGGGAATGGGAGAAGTGCTGCATTGCACTGCGTGCTGCAGCTCTGTGCTCACTGCAGTGCTGGTCTGGGGGCTCGGCTGGTCGGAACCACAAACAGAACCACAAACTCTGTCACCTGCAGCACACCGAGCTGAACTGGTACTGAGCACCTCTGTGTGGTTACGGGTACTGGCAGTGATAAGTTGAGTTCAGCAGATCTCATTGCAAGAAGAATGTGTATTGCTGAAATCAGATAATAAAGCAGCTTTCAGCTCAGCCTCCACGGAAGAGTTCTTTTTCTTCAGACCCGAGAAGCCCGGCAGCTCCTTTGATCTGATATTCTTCATCTGCTAGAGAGCATAGCGGTGCCTCACTCCTCTGCAAACTGCGTTTCTTGGCCCTAAACTGAGACAGCTGCTGGGTGCCCCCCTGCAAAATGTGCTGTTGTTGGTGCCCTGCCCATCCCCTGGCCTCCTCCTAGGTCCTACTTTAATTTCTTCCCAGAGAAGCTGGATTTTCATTAAGGTGTAGCTGTAATCTCCGTGCTCTCAAATGCACTTTGATGTATTTTATCTTAGGTTTGTTTATTGCTGTACATTATTGGTCGTTTGTCACTGCCTTTCTAATAGATGTCATATTCTTGAAAAATTGAAATGGTCTTTTTTTTTTTTCCCCCAGCAGAAAGGGTGGGTTTCTTATTTTAAAGCAGCAGCAATTCAGCTCCGTAATGGTTGTTTTCCAGGGCATAATACATTTTGAAGATAGCGGATATAACAGTGGCAGGTGATTTAAGTACTTTCTTAGTCAGGAAAAAAGAAGTGTGTGTCTGTGTGGAAGGGGAAGGAGCAAAAGAACTTTGTCTTTTATGTCACCCTTCTCCAAGGCTCGCTCTGCCCAGAACAGCATCATTTCCTTCATCAAAGGAAGACAGCTCATCTTCATCGACCCAGAGGTGTTTCTAGAGCAGCACTGTTGCTGGTTTTGGTTATTTTTTTATGAGTGAAGCAAAAGGCACATTATGCTTAACCCTGCAGTGGGCTGTGCGTGACATCAGTGGGCTGTTCCTTCCAATGCTGTGCTCTGGGTGTGGATATGACCTGCAGCCTGGCAGGAGCTGCTTTTGCACTCCATGGGCCCCCTGGCTGCAGGTGGGGTCCTGCAGGAAAGCCATCAATGGCTCTGGAGTCTGAATAAAAGCAGTAAAATAGGTCAGAGTGGTTACATGCTGCTCAGGGCTCCCATTCTAAGTGAAGGTGTGTGTGTAACCAGACCTAGGCCACGCAGGGGAATCATTTTCCTGCAAATGAAAACAGTTGCCATTAGCAGTGGATGTCATGCTGGTAATTCACACATCTCAGGAATTAGGGAATAAAGCAATGCATTTTTTGGCCTGCACTTCTCTATTGAAAGATAGATTTTAATGCATTTGTAGCTTTCAGTCTGTATCAAAGCCGTGCTCTCTCTTCAGTCTCAGGATTAGGGCAGCAGAAGGAAAGGGGAAGGTTTCACAGATGATGGGAAGGCTGAAATCAGAATGTCCTTTGACTTCCTCCACGTACTGTACGGAGATGCTAAGGTGTCACGGCTTGGTCTGATGTGAACACACGTGTTTGTGAATGGCGATTCATGGAGTTCTGATTTACTGTCTTATGTTGTGAACACGCTGATGTGTGGAAAGATCCCAGAGGAGCACGACCTGGAGAGCCAGATCCGCAAGGAGAGGGAGTGGCGGTTCCTGCGCAACGCCCGGGTCAGGAAGCAAGCCCAGAAGATCATTCAGAAGGGTGAGTGCCCCTCTTCCTATGCTGCACGCAGCTCCCCGGGGCTCCCAGCACCACGCTGGGCTCTAATCCCCATGAATAGCACCTGTGCTGAGCCTCAGAGGCAGAGGTCCCTGCTCTCAGGCAGGGTGGCAGGGGCTCATGCTGCTCTTGGCTGTTTTGCTGCTTGTCACTGTCCTGCAAGCCCTCAGAACCTGGCACAGGCTGGATCCCTGCCTGCATCCACTGGGGCAGGGCCCTTCTGTGGGTGCTGTTCCCCCCAGGATGGGAACTGAGGTGCGTGGAGCTGGAGAAACTGATGTGCTGAGTGCAGGGCTTGGTGCTGGAGGCACAGCCTGCTGTGGTGCTTCGCTCTCTGGAGGTTTGCTGGGCTTGACAGGGAGTTTAATGTCATAGAACTGCAGAGTATCATAAACCAGAATAATAGAGAATTAAAACTGGAGCCCAGGAAATGGCTTGGGGGATCTTTTTGAATACAAAAAAAGGGGATTGTTTGTGCTCGCCTGAAGAAAAACCTTTATCTAGACAGTATTTATATTTGCTTGCTTGACCTGAGCAGCTGAAGTGCCAATATTCATTAAAAAAAAAAAAGACAAAAAAAAACCAGCTAAGTCTGAAATATTAAAAGGAATTAGAATAGACTTAGGATCCCTTAATGAAAATGAAATTAAATGGATGCATGCTAAAACTAACCAGGATTGAGGGAATGTCTCTTGAGCTTACAGTTCTGTGTGATGGATTCACGCTGTGCTAAAAAATGCAGTTCCAGGGGTTACCAACACTGTTTGCAAATCATGAGGTGCTCTAAAGAGAGGGGGGAAAGGTCTGCAACCAGCATTTGAAAGTCTCAGTGGAAAATATATTTTTGATTTGTAAATTAGCCTGAAATCTGAAAGATCTGAAAGAACTGAAATGAAAGGCTAAATAAATAATCCACGAGCTAAACCGGAGTGCTGCAATTCGAATAAAGTGGGTTTATTTTGTTTTATTTTGGCAAAAAAAGAAGTGGATTTCTGTATGAGCACAAGCTGGTACTTCATAAAAGCGTGGAATAGTTGGGTTGGGAACTTAACCAGTTTCAACCAAGCAATCTGGGGGCCCATTGCCACCCATTTCTTTGGTTGCACATGGCTGGGTGTGCTCTGTTCTCTTCAGTTACCAAAATAAAGGATCCCAGCGTTTGTCATCTCAGTGCTTAGTTTGTAGCTTAGGCTGAGATGCGTGGCAGTGCAGAGGGGCTGGGGCTGTGGGGTGCCGTGGTCTCTGAGTGCTGCTGGGGAGCTCTGCAGCCCCATCCCTCTGTGGGGCCGCTGGGGCACTGAGCCCATTGCCTGCTGTCCCCCCAGGCATCTCCCGGCTGGATGATCAGATCTTCCTCAACAGGAACCCCGGCGTCCCCTCTGTGGTGAAGTTCCATCCCTTCACACCCTGCATTGCTGTTGCCGACAAGGACAGTATCTGGTAAGGGCTCCTCTGTGCTGTGGCTGTGGGGCACGTGGGGCTCGTGCTGCTCGTGTTGGTGCTTTAGTGTGGCACCAAGTCCTGCAGAAGGAGCACGTGAACCTGGGTTGAGATCATTCCACAGCTGGGCTTGTGCTCTCTTTCTTTTGCAGAAGGTGGGCCTACGTGGTTAACGAAGTGAGGCTGCATATCAAAGAAGAACAAATTGAACTGCTATACAATGCATGCAGCTTTTAGCTTAGGCAGAACGTAGATTCCTTTGAGAGCTTACACAGAGAGCCAAGAACTGACCTCGTATTCTTTCCTCCCCCAGCTTCTGGGACTGGGAGAAAGGGGAGAAATTGGATTATTTCCACAACGGGAACCCACGGTACACCAGGATCACAGCCATGGAGTACCTGAACGGGCAGGACTGCTCCTTGCTGCTGACTGCCACAGGTAAGCAGTGCAGCTCCCTCCATGTGGCAGGGCAGGACCTGGGGAGCCTTCTCAGAATTCAGGTCCATGGGAGCTGTGCTGTACCTCCTGCTCTCCCTGCTCTGCATTTGGCCTTTCCCCTTGCCCGTGTGGTTTTGGTTGAAGCACGTCCAAGATTGAACTTGAAAATTGCTTCTGGCAACATTGAAATATCTGAACAGCTTATGTAAGTGCTGCAGTGTTCTCAGATAGCAAACAAATCAAACCCTTGCTGAAACCATTTCCAGGCGCAGCTTTGTTTGTTATGGCGTTCTGAGGTAGAACCTGGCATGGCAAGTTCACAGCAACCTCCTGTGCCATTTCTTGGGCACTGTGCTCCTTAGCTGGTTAAAAGCTGCTTTCAGAGCTGAAGGGAAAATCGTGCTGCAGCCAAAGTATGAGGAACCAGGTTTGGTTGAGTCCAGAGCAGACAAGAATTGCTTTAGGCACTGAACTTCTCCAATAGTTCTGAGTTTATTGTGAGTTTCTAGTCCCTGTGTCTCAGCCAGGGAAGCAGTCCTCCAGAATGCCCTGTTGCATCATGTAAGGAAGCATGAAGAGCTTTTTCTCATTCACTGGTCTGTAAAGCTGTAAGAAATGCTTCACTCCCAAGGAACCATTCTAAACCTGTCAGTCTAAGTGTTTTCAATAGCTTTTCAAACTTCATGCTGAAATGTACAGGTTGGGTATAATTAAGAGAGGTGGAAGAGGATTTGAGAGGGCCTTTAGGACATTTTTCTTTCAATTTATTGATTCTTAGCACAGAAGTTTCACAGATGGGGAACAAATTGAGAAAAATACATGATGTACTTGAAAGATTTGCTGCTGATGGGCTGGGCTTTGATTCAGCTTCTTTGTGGGGCTGTATTTTGTATTTAGGAGGGTATTTATGTGGTTCTTAGTGTAGGAGCAAGGAGGACAGAGACAGTTCTAGAGAAAATTGGTCAAAGAGATGAATGACATCTGATGTCAGGTGTTTAGGAAGGAGAAGAGTCCCTTTAGAGCAGTTCTCAGCGGAACAATCCTTCAGACTTAATGGAATAAGATTAAAGGAAAAAGAACTCTAATAAAAAGTATTAAGGTGAGGCTCTCAGTTCTGGAGTTTGCTATGAGTACAGTGTTGCTTCTGTTCTTTTTATTGTGCACAATTACGAGGGTTGCATTGGCAGTGATGTGGCATCGTGTTCTCTTCTTTGTGCTTCCCAAGACGATGGTGCCATCAGAGTGTGGAAGAACTTTGCAGACCTGGAGAAGAACCCAGAGATGGTCACAGCATGGCAGGGGCTGTCAGACATGCTGCCAACTACACGAGGTAGGTCCTCTGCCTGGAGGAGGGGAATGGGAGGCCAGAAGTAATTCGTGTTGAGATGGTTTTTTTCTCAGGATGAGTGCAGTAAAATGGGTTTCTTAACATCAGCCACCAGTAACGTCCTTGTTTAACAGTCTCTGCCTTTCTGAAATGGCCTTTGGCCAAGTTTTGCGTTTGTTTCTCATAAAACAAACCACCAAGGCTAAAAGCTCAACACAGCAGCCTCTCACACGTGCTGAAGAACAGCTAGAGCAGCCTCTTACTGGGGTGCAGAAGGGCACAAAGTTCCTGTCCTTCACAAGCCTCAGAGCAGCTGTCTTGGCCAGGTGTTCCTCTAGCCTGTTCCTAAGGAGAGATCTGTAGAACAACGATGGAACTGCCCTGCTCCTTGTGGCAGGAGTTTGTTCTTCCCTTCGGGGTGGGATGGTGGCTCACATACTGCCTCTTTCCTTCTGATGGGATGCTCAGCCTTCGCACAGCTTTGCATGTTGCACCTCTGACTTCATTTAGCTCAATTCCAGCATTCACTGTCCACTGCTCGTTGTGGGTCAGGAGGTGACCAGAGAATATGCAGTCCAGATCTGGCGCTTGCACGACAGCACAGTTAAACATCAAACAGCTTTGGATGCTAGGAAACTTAGAAAAAGGTGTAAAAAGAAGCATTGACATCCTGCTGTGCACAGGATGAAACCAGAAGACCAGTTTAGGTGATCCTGAAGTCTGTTTTAAGATATTAAAGAAGATGGACATTCTGTCCTTCTGAGACCTGATTATGTACTAATGCTCTAATGGGGTTCTTCTGTCACTTGAATAGTTTTAACCAAGGCTACAGGTTTTTCTAGATGTGCTGTAGTTCAGTCAGTGCTTGTGGGCTTAATGCAGGAATTGCTGGGTGAGATTCTCTGGCTTGTGCTGTGCCAGAGGTCAGACAGGATGACCACCATCACTCATTCTGACCTTAAAATCTGACAGTTCTCATTTCGGAGCTGGTGGCTCATCACAGGAGTCTGACACAGCTCTTTTAGCTATTCATTGGATTTTACCAGTGCTGCCTTGTTGAGCTCGTATTTGCTGTTTTCCTTCATACCTCCTGTTTCGTCTCTGGTGTTTTAGGAATGAGGAACTGCATTTGAGGTAACGTTAGGCTCTGTGCCTCACTGCAGTATGTGTGCAAAACTGATGAGAAGCTGCTGGATGTCTGCAGCATACTGAGAAAATTGCCACGGTCCAAACTTGCTCTTTGCAGAGACGTCAATAAAAGCAGGATGAAAACAGTGGCAATGCACGGCGCGCGTTCCATAGGCAGAGAGGAAAGTCTCCAGCAGTCATCTCAAGTTGCCCTTTGTGGTGTCATTCACTTGGTCCTTGTTCCTTTCTTGCCAACTCGTTTTCATGAAGGATGTCGATGAGCATTTACCATCCCTGGGCTCTGAATCTTGCTTCCTTGGTGATGGACTCAGCTGAACAGCTGATGTCTGGGAATTCCCCTGCACTGCTCTTACATCGCCTTCTTGCTGCATCATCAGTCGTGCTCAGGGAAGATGCTGACAGCTGTAGATTGAACTCCTTCAGGCTAACTCCATTTTCCTACCTTGCTTTCTACGTGTACCTTCTATAAGGACATAGCATTTGCTGACTTTACCTTCTTCTCTACAGGGCTTTAATGTAGAAGAAAGGGTTGTTAGAGAGCAGTGATGTTTGACGTTGCAAAATAGGTTAAGAGCTGAGCAAGAGCTGATTTAGCTCTAAGAGTTGAGAGTTTACACTTGCCAAAACAAGTGTGCCGAAACTTGAATCTGTTCTCTTAAGGTGGTTTTGCCTTTTTCTTTCCAGTAAGGTCTTAGGAAGTCTGGGCCCTGTTTCCCTTGCCTTTCACCTTTGAAGCAATAGAACTAGGTTCAGAAGAAGAAAAGGGCAGGTTTTTGTGGAGAGAGAAATAACTGTACTCAGTTCAAAAGAGCTATGTGGATCAAGTCCCCTTGGAAATGAGGCGCTCTATTGAACAGTTATCTTCTGCTGCCAAGACTTGAGTTGTGGTCCAGCGCTGGCTCATAAAACTGAAGATGCATCTTTGAAGCTGCAGAGCTCAGGAGTTTTGCTGGGGTTTGTGTGCTCCCACTATTGATTTCCTTCTCTCCACTCCCATCCTTTTCCCCAATGTCAGCCTCATCTCTGAATTTAACAGTCTTGTTGCAAGCAGAATACTGACTTGTAGGCAGTTTTCCCTCTTATAAAAGGAAGGAGGAATATGCAGCACCTAAATACATCCTTTGGAAGCTTGAGGCATCACTGGCTTGTCAAAGCAATGGGGTATTGACAATAACAGATGCCCAGAGACCGTGATGGGGGACGATACAGGGTGAGGCACAAAGCTTAACCTCTCGCACTCCTGCAGACCTTCCTTGTTCTGTGCAGCCCGAGGTGAAAGAACTGAATGCACCAAGTGCTGAGCTGGGTCAGATGCTCTCTTTCAGAAGTAGCTTGACCCCAGCTCATTGCACATCAGTCGGCTTGAGTGAGACTCGGGGATGGTGAATCTTAAACAGTGGTAAACTGCTGTGTGGGCAGTTGACTGTGTTGATTTTGATCTTAATTAGATCTGCGTCTGCATGCACGATGTGCCGAGAGAGCCTTTTAAAGTCAAAATTAAAGATGCATTGGAACCAGGTGCTCTGGTGTAATGCAGTGTTACTTCTCACATGACAAACACGAGAGACAGGAGGATCTGAAAAAATGGCAAAAGATGTTCTCAGTAGCCATAGTGTTTCAAAGCAGCATAAATTCTGCAGAAAAGCTGTAGGAAAAGCCAAGCAGTTCTGGAATCTGCTCCCAGCTGCCCTTGGGCTGCTCCCCCCGAGCTCTGTGTGATGCACCCACGCTGTGCTCTGTCAGTTCCATGGGAGCTGCAGCTCCCCACTGGTACCAGAGCTGCGTACCAGCTGGGCTCTGGCCCTGGCTCTCCTCACTCTCTCACTCAGAGCCAGCTCAGTGCAGCTCCCAGATCTCCTCGTTCAAGAGGAAATGTCAGACCTGCAGGCACGGTGTGTGCACAGCCATGGTCCTGGGAAGGGGCTGCGACCAAACTAATGCTGCTCGGGATGGAGGCATGTGCTGCTCTCGATGCTTCTGCTTCTCTCTCTGTCCTGACCTTTGCTTCAACTTGCTTTTTCTAATCCTGTTGTAAGATTTGTTTTGCTCTGGCTTGACCCGTGGTGTCACCCCTAATCCCTGTCTTCTCACAGGTCTGGCCCGAAGGGTTTCAATCTATCTTGACAGAAGTAAGCAGGGAGGTGAGTCCTTTCTTTCCTGTTCCTATGGCCAGGCGGGGTGGGAAGGAGCTCCTTGTCCACGTCTGGTTGGTTGGTTGGTTTTTGGAGTTGTTTGGAATGATTGTTGGGTCCTCGTGGCTCCTGGAAGGCTTTGCTGCTCCTCCCTCTCCACTCCTCATGCTGTGTGTGTCTGTGATGGCTGTGAGCAATGCAGGGACGGTGCTGTGAGCTCAGCCCAGCACTGAAGGAAAGGATAAAGATCCACAGGTCTGCATCATCTGCTGAGCTCTGCGCAGGAAGCGTGGGCAGTTTTCTGGGAGGCAGAAATCTCTCTTTCTTGGAAGATCTCAAAGCATCCCCAGGCAAAGGAGTTTGGAAGACAGGTTCCAAATGCAAGAGGCCATTAAGCTGATGTGGATTTTGCTGGGATTGTTTTGTAATACACTTCTGCTATAAAGATCACTTCAGAGAGAGAAGCTAAAGAATCTCACCTAGCAAGCTTAGGAGAGTGAGCTTAGTCCTTTGGCAGGGAAATGCCCGGTAAATGGTACAGGTTCTGTTCTATCCTGTGGCAGGGAGGTGGATGAGCCCCCAGCCTCCTGCTGTGGGACCCAGCGCTGCATGGCACCCAGCCTGACCCCTTCTTGCTGCTGGGAAGCAGATGTCTGACATGCCAGCATCTGTGTGCACACGCATACGTGGGTGAGTGCTGACGTGATGCTCCTGAGCTGCTCTGCAATTATCGATCTTTGCTGGCTGATGGGAGCCAAGCTCATCCATAGTGATCAACAGGACGAAAACGATGGCGGGGGTGTGCGATGCAGAGCTCTTTAGCTGGAGGTCTTTGCGGATCCCTCTTTGGAAGCGAAGCAGTGAAATTGAAATTAGCAAAGCTGATGTGTTGCTTTCATCATTGTGGCTCTGTGTTTCGCTCAGAAATCTATTCTCAAATGGAAAGGCTGAGATTAGCAAGGCGTGGCTGCAGGGAATTCCCTGCTTGGTAATGCAGGCATCCGAGCAGCATAAGGAAGGGCCAGCAACTCTCTTGTTGGAGCAGTGCTGCTAATGCCAAGCAACTGCACTGCATCCCTGCAACTGCAAGCAAATACCTGGGAATCAGTACGAAATATTCACAGTCTCTTCTCGCCTGCTAAGGAAATCTTAAAAGCATGTGAGGTTCTCCATTCATTTGGCAGCAGAATGCATCACTATTTCATCACTAAGGCACCAAAAATCCGTTCTCATTGCCCAGTCTTCTGTGGGGATTTTACTGAATGGAAGCTAAGGGGCTGTCTCTTCATTCATGCCTCGCTCTGCACAAATGGCTGCACTGCAGATCTCTGGTACGTTGGAGAAAGACCAATGGTTTCATGATGGTGCAGGTCACATCGGGCCACCGAGTGCAGATCAGCAGCAGAATCCCTCACGTCCGTGTGAGCTGCATTGCCTCCATCCCCAGGGCCCCCCGAGTGATACAGGGAGATGTGTTAACAAGGGGATGCATGTCCAACCTGCATGCACTCCCATCCATCGCTGCCTCGTGGGAGCTGTTGGCCCCAGTAGGTAAACAGCCGTCATCTGTCGTACCTCAAGCAAATTTCTACTTAAGCCAAGCAAGAAAGAAGAAGCACGTGCTTGCCAGCTCCCTGCTTCCTTCCTGCTCTCCTGGGGCTTCCCTAACAAAGTGAAGGACGTCAGTACCTGCACTGCAGAAATACAGGGCCGTGCCCTCTGGGGCTGTGCTCTGCTTTGAGTCACGCTGCTGCTCCTGCGCTCTGTAACCCTGCAGGTGGGAGAGGGAGAAGAGGAGGCAATCGGGGGGGGTCTCAGCAATCAGGGGAGGATGCAGCCAGCAAATAGTCCAAGGATCAGAATCACACTGAGGTCGTGCTGTAGAGCAAGGGGGGAAGGTAAAGTGAGCCCACACCTCCCAGAGTCTGGGGGTAAGTCCCATAGGAGCAAGTTTGGGAGAAACACCTGAGTTCTGCTTAGGGAAATAACATAATTGGAGATGTTGCAGCTCCAGGGGTTTGTGTGCATTTCCAGCATCGCAGGTCCTGCTCTCCCTTGCTGTGCGTAGTCCTTGGCATGAGGAGAGGGACACTGACTGAAGGATACTGTGAGAATTAGTGAGGTGAGGTCACGCAGCCCTCCCACTGCCTCCTGGAGGGGAAAGCAGAGCTGTGCCTCACTGCTCAGCCACGGGGGTCTGTGGTCAGAAACCATCCATCGCAGTGCGAGGTGCTGCTGTCTGTGGGCTGTGCAGGTGTTCCTGATGGTGCCTGGTGCGGGCTGCCCACGTTCAGCCATGATGAAGAAATAAGCACAGACACCAGAAGGCAGCTGTTTTCAACATCGCTGTTATTTATTGAAACTTATACAGGGAACAGCCCCCATGAGACACATATCTGATGCACGGGGGGAATCCTGGGGGAGCAGCCATAGGAAGTTACAGCCTCGAGAGCGGCTGCTCTGCTCATCATCTCCCATCACACAGCACTGCAAGCACTTGTGCTAAACGGCTCAGGAACAGCAACAGCCACCTCATTTTTTTTTTCCCCCTGCATTGTGGATGATTTATCACTTGTTACCTGGAAACATATCATTCCTTACAGGATAACCTTAATCTTAGCTAACGATGCTTTCGGGGAACTGCATTGCTGGGTCCCCGTCCTGCAGATGCGTGGCTTCAGGTGTGTCAGGGGCCGTGTGGGGTCACAGCTCGGGGGGCTGCATGGGGTCACCCCTCTTTGCCCCACTGCTGTAAGCACGAGGAGCTCAGGAGCAGGGCTGCAGGTACCCGCAGGATGCATTTCCTTCTGCCTCAGTGAGGCTGAAGCATCCTGCAGCCACCAGCCAGCGCTCAGCGGGTGAGTCCTGGAGAAGGACCTCCGTTAATTAAAAAGGAAATTGTAATTAGCAGTAAGTCTCTGTTTTCCCCTCATCCTAAAACACTACGATTTAACATGTAGACGTGAGCCAGCGCTCTGTCGTTCCCCCCATGACACCATTTGCCCTTCGGTGGAATAGTTCGGCTCTGTTTCGTTTCGCGCAGTTGGTGCCGTTTCAGCCGCAGTGTCGGAAGGCGCCCTCCCGCGTCACTCGCAGCCGAACACCCGCGCTGTGTCACAGAGGTTTTTTCTCCCCGCGGCCGCATTTAAGCCGCGGTTTCGCGCGCCCGCTGCACCCGGCCCTTCTACTCGGCGCCCGCGCGCCCTCTGCAGGCGGCACCGGCTGCTGGTCCTTGGTCGGCAAAGTGTTTCTAACGCTCCCATGGAGTGTTTTTAATGAACCAAAGCATCCCTGTAGCCCTGTGTAGCTTTGGGTTGGTCAGCCTTTGCAGCATAAACAGCGAAGGGTGGTTGGTGCATAGCTCTCTGCTTTTAGCAACATGTTTGCACGCTGTGATGGTCCAGAAGTTCCCTCTAATTAAATGTACAAGAATTGTTCCTTGGAGAGTTCCCCTCCTAACGAAGGGTTTTGTTGCATCCAAGCACTGCTGCGTTCTGACAGCAGTTGCTCTGTGTGGGCTGAGGGAGCTCATGTGGGGCACGTTGTTCCCTGACTGGAAGGGAGGTGGATTTGTCTCTGCAAATTGCCAAGCCAGCAAAGTTCACCAGTTCACACAGGCTGCCAGCCTGTCTGTGTGCAGATGCCAAAGTCAGCTGTACAGGGATATCCATTCTGTGCTGCAAGAGGCTTACGTGAGGACTTCTGTGTAAACTTCAGCCAGCAATCAGATTGTGCACTCGAAGATGAGGACCAAAAACTCTCACAGATGTATCTTCAGCAGTGTAATTGCCAAACCTGTTGTATAGCTAATTGGTTTTTACTCCTAGCAATGTTTAGTTCAATACCCTGCAGCACTGCTGATAGTATTTCTTGTTCCTTAGGCACATACTTCTATTAAAATGAGGGGTCACAGCAATGCAGAGGATGGCATGTTTTGCTGTGTGTGATGGCACCACTTTGGTTTGCTTTGGTCTCTGCTGGGTGCAGCGTTCTGTATGGGGTGGGTGGTTTATGAGGACCCCTGCCGGGCCGTGTCTGCCCCACGAGTTTACCATTCTGCACCCAGGCTTTCCTAAGCATTTCCTCCAGCCGAGAAGCAGAGGCCATAAACTGGACTCAAATCCAGGAGCACCTGCTTTGATCCCCTTTGGAGGTTGTGTGGATGTGTGTATGCAGTTGCAGATTGCCTGTAACGACAACAGATTCCGTGGCCTTGTGCTGCGGACGCTGGGCTGTAAGTAGTGCAGATCTGCCTCTGCTGATTTGAGTAATTTACACACCCTGCCTTTGTTTTCTCCTAGGAGCAGGAATGGTGGTCGACTGGGAACAAGAGACTGGGCTGCTCATGACCTCGGGAGACGTGAGGATAATCCGCATCTGGGACACAGACAGGGAAATGAAAGTGCAGGTAAGATCCATGCGTGTCCCCCGCAGCATTTCCCTCCAGGAACACTCCCACACTGCTGCCTGCACACAGGAGAGCTGCTGGGGCGTCCTGTGAGCAGCGAGCACACGGCTCTGCATCTGCAGCAGGTTGCTGAGTGAGGTTGCCATGCTGCAGAGAACAGGAAGGCTTGTTTCCAAACTTCCTAGAAGATAATCAGCCCTGGATAAAAGCTGCCATGCTTCAACCCTGCAAAGCAGGATGATTAAGCCTATATTAATCTTAATTACTTTCCCATTTTTTTTTCTATGTAAACTAGAAAACATCAAAATTCAGGAGGTGAAAGTCTTTGAAATGATGAGGACGAGTGATTGTGCTGCAAGCATCTAAAAAAGAGTTTCTTTTTTAATTACAAAGAGTGGTGGTGTTGAAATTGGAGTGGTTGGAACTTCCTGACTCAGTAACACTGGAAAACTGAAATTCAGCACGAAGAGCAGGAAGCGATGTAAGCTGAGCTAACAAAGGTGCTTCCCACTCTTTGAACTGCAAAAAGTGAACCTCTGGAAGCACTTTGGATGTAGCTGAAGAAGCGAGTACCTCATTTTCACTTCTGCTGCTTGTTCCTGCTTCAAAGACAAGCTCTGCTTTCAGGCAGTTAGCATGGCTGGCTCAAACAGCCCTGGAGTTGGGTGCTCCAGCCAGCAGCTCCTTCACTCAGCTGTGAATAGCAGCTAGGAAAGGTGAATATGTGCGACAGCAAAAATAGGACTGAAGTGTGAAATTAGCTAATGCAGCTCTAACGTGCCTCCTGATTGTTATCCCACTTTTGCAGCACTGCTTAGTTTTTACTTGATGTAACTGAAAGTGTTTTTCTTCATGCCAACCATAGGCATGATTCCGAGCAATTCTTTTGCTTATGGCAAGCAGAAAGAGGGAAGCAAACAGCATAGGAGTGAGAGTGCACCACGTGCTCCCAGCACAGCTCCTTGTGAGCTCCAGTTTTCTTTCTTCATGTCATTTCTTTCAGTGCACACAGTGTCTGCCACCTAACACTGAGTTGCTTGTCACTGCTAGGTGGCACAGCACTGTCCAGGGCTGTGTCTGCTTGGACACTGCTCCAGAGCTGCAGAGGTATGCAGACTGTGACATGCTTAGCTTTGGGTTTATTTGTGTTCCTGTATGTGCCGTTACAAGTTTTTGCTTTCTGCAGGTACTTTCTTCTTCCTTGACTAAAGTCCTCCAAACATTTACCACCCTGCCTGTTCTTCTGGTGGCTTTCACAGCTCGCACCTAACAAAGATGGTTCATGGAGAAATGACCCCTCTGGCAATTTGTTTTATCTCAATAGATACACTTAGTAGAGGATAATATGAACTTTTCCTTCCTAAAACAGACTGTGCCTTGCTTTTTACAAAAGCAGGTTTTGCTGGAATTCCTCCCCTGGGCTCTTTGGGCTGAGCTGTGGGGACACACAGCTCTATCACCCACAGCAGTGACCATCATCTCCAGGGCCACCTCTCCCACTTCTGGTCTATCCAGAGAGTCTGGAGGAAGGCTGCACCAGTGCAGTGCCACGGTTTAACCACGGTTTGGTTTTGAACTGGTGTACAGAATGGGGAAAGGAGGAGGAGGAGAACAGGGATGTGTCTGGCTTAGCAGCCTGCCCCTCATGCCTCCTCCTGGGGGCTGCAGGTGTGAAGACACACCTCGGTGTCAGCTGGGCTTCGTGTGCTCTCTCTGCAGGACATCCCCACCGGGGCAGACAGCTGTGTGACCAGCCTGTCGTGCGACTCCCATCGGTCTCTGATTGTGGCAGGGCTGGGTGACGGCTCCATCCGCGTGTTCGACCGGAGGATGGCTCTGAGCGAGTGGTAATCGCTGTGCTGCCCTGCTCTCTGCTCTCTCCCCGCCTTTCCCCCGCCCTGCCTTCACCACCTCTCCCCTCTCTGCTTATTCCTCAGCCGTGTCATGACCTACAGGGAGCACACAGCCTGGGTGGTGAAGGCGTACCTGCAGAAGCATCCTGAAGGCCACATCATGAGCGTCAGGTAGAAGAGATTTCACTGGTGGGGCTGTTTTGCTTTGCTGCTTGAAATCTGCCTCTGGTATTTCAGGAGCTGAAAGTGTAAAGAGTTTGACAGTTGCTTCAGTAATTAACTCCTGCTGCAAACCTGCTGGCGAGAAGGCAAAAAGAAACGCAGAGCTTTCTTTGGAAGCCTGTTAGTGAGGTCTGAGAGTAAACAAGAAAGTAGCTGTGCTGAAATCACTGTCACGAGGCGTGTGAGGGAGGCATCGAGTGAACCAGAAACCCAAGCTAGATATAGCATCTCATGTTGTTGTTCTTTATTGCCAGCATCTTTGTGGGGTCATTTGAGATGGAAGGCGAGAAGGAAGGAGGTTTATGTTGCATCTGTTGGGCATATTGCTGCGCAGGATTACTTCGCTATCTAGCAATTCTCTACTCATAAATCCATTTCTGCAGCCTGGTAAATGCTGCGTAGAGCAGCATATACTTATTTGGCCATTAAAGAACAACAGATTATAATTTATTGTCACGATGCTGCTGTTTGCACACAGAGAGGCTCTTTTTTACTTGGTTACAAAATGCAAACAAGGCCATTTTCTGCGGTGCAGAACTTTCCTGAAGTGGGGGATGGGTCAGCAAAATAATTACTAAGATTTTTCAGAAGGAGACTTAAGTGACGTGGCTGCCAGATTTGTCAGGCTCACGTATGAGAGTTTTTAATCTTCTTTTCCGTAATCTCTTTCAACAATCTCAGGGCTCAGGCCTGCATGCTTGGCCAGCCTGTATCTGAAGGCTCCTTTTTCCCCCTCCTCGATGTCCTTACCAGCAAATGATGCTGTTTCTCAGGATTAAAAGGGTATGAGAACGTGGTGTGCCTCAGCAGACAGGTCTGGTCTCGTTCTGGAGGAACTCTGCTACTTATGGCCAACCTCATTGCTCTCAGTTTCTCCCACTTCACTCTCATTCATTTGACAGCAAGATCCGTGGAGGGGGAACGACTGTTCTCATGGGTGGATAGTGATAGGACAAGGGGGAATGGTTTTAGGTTGGATATTAGGAGGAAGTTTTTCACCCAGAGGGTGGTGAGGCACTGAACAGGCTGCCCAAGGAGGCTGTGGATGCCCCATCCCTGCAGGCATTCAAGGCCAGGCTGGATGTGGCTCTGGGCAGCCTGGGCTGCTGGTTGGTGACCCTGCACACAGCAGGGGGTTGGAACTGGATGAGCACTGTGCTCCTTTGCAACCCAGGCCGTTCTGTGATTCTGTGATCCAAGGAAAGCAAACTCTAGATCACAGAAGGTTCTGGTGTAACTGTTCCCTAAGACATACTGTGAGGCATTGTATTGCTTATGGAGTAATTCTCTGAATAACAGAGAAACTTTTCATCTGGACCAGGGATGGGAGCATTGAAGACAGAATGGCTGGCTCTGACCTGGTCCTGTGGCCCTCGTTGCTCAGCATTGATTCACCACGTGATGCGTTAAATGAGTGTGCTGTATGTTTCATCTCTCTCAAGCAGTATTTCCATCCGGTATTCTGGATGTAAATTAACCTGGAGTTTAATTTGTCTTGAATTTAATTATGTGACAGCTGGAGTTGCAGCTTCTTAGGCTGGTATAAGTAATCCTGTATAGCAGCTTTTCATCGGTATTAGATATTCTGGAGGTAAGAAAACAGGAGGCAATAGACTTCTTCATGTTTTTTCAGTTGTTCTGATCTCTGTCATGTGATTCACAGTTGCACACAGTCACCAGGGGCTTCAGAGGGGAAAAAAAAGCACTTCAGAAATTGTGGTGTCAGAAGCCTTGGATGTGCTGCCAGGAGAGTAAGGTCAGATGAGGTGACACTGCCTTCAGTTTCCGAGAGAGATCTCTGTGCCTGTCCCTTAGTCTGTCCTAAGGAGCACAGAGGAGCAGATGAGCCTCCACAAAATCTTCAGCCCTCTGTTCCAGGGCTGTTAGGAGATGCGTCCACTTGTAACAGATGGAATTCTGCTCGGTTATTTTAGAGACATCACTTAACAAGAAATCCTTTGTGTTGGAAAAGTGCTCGATTCACCAAGCACGGCGTCTTGTCGCTGCTGCTATTGCTTTCCCCAACTTCTCCTCCCTCATAAAGCCACAGATGGGGCTGTCACAGCCCGGGTGTGAAGCAGTGTTTGTTACGTGGGGTCTATAGGGCGCTCTGGGCAGTGGGGATGTGCTCCTGTGTGCAGACATTTGGTGTAATGGATTGTACCAGCAGATCCCATCTGGTTACAGTTTTCTAATCCAATTTTCTACCGTGAAAAGGAGGAGGAATTTGGTTCTGACGTGTAGCTTAGTGCATTGGAGACGACATAACAGTAAAGGCACTTGTACTCGAGGCTGGGCTGTAAGTGATAAAAGTACTAACGGATCGCTCCCGAGGGCAGAGCAGAGCTGTTTGCACAGCACTTAGTGCTTTGTGGATGGTACCAAACATCAACGACATCAGTGGAAATTCAGCTGCATTGGCAGAGGAGGCAGTGGTGCACGTGTCTCTCTGCTAACCTTCTGCTGGAGGTGGTCGGCTTGCAGGCAGGCTGTGCTTGAGGGCTGCAGGACCCGGCCTGGGTACGGCCTGACGTTGTGAACCTCCTGTGTTGGCAGTGTGAATGGAGACGTGCGCTTCTTCGACCCCCGGATGCCAGAGTCCATGAAGGTCCTCCAGATAGTCAAAGGGCTCACAGCCCTCGACATTCATCCACAAGCCAATCTCTTTGCATGGTAAGTTCTTGTTTTGCCTCTTGCATCCCCGGAGTGAAAAGAGAGGATTTGTCTGTGCAACCTCACCCGTGGGTTAACTGGTTCTAACCTCACCACAAAAAATGCAGCTTTGTTCCCAGTTATTTTCTGCCTTCCACGCAGCAGCAAAACCAGAGCGGTGCTGTAGGGTCTCACGTTCCTATGGATGTGTGGGCACAGAGCAAGGACCCACTCTACAGCACATGTAAGCACAGCTCTCCATGTTTCCTGTCCCAATCCCACAGTGTAGCAGGTAACTGTGGTTCGAGCCTTTCTGCACATCTCTCTCCTGAGGTTGCCATGGTACAGTTAATGTTGGTCTCACTGCTTGTAAGAGCTGCTTGCACACCAACCTGATGAGCAGCTCAGCCTCAGCTGAAAAAGGGGCTGGAGGAAAAATATCAGTGTTACCACACTGCTGTCAATAACACCATCCTCTCTGTGTTCCTTTCAGTGGCTCAATGAATCAATTCACTGCAATCTACAATGGAAACGGTGAGCTGATCAACAATATCAAATACTACGATGGTTTTATGGGACAAAGAGTTGGAGCCATCAGCTGCCTGGCTTTCCATCCTCACTGGGTCTGTATTCTCTTCTTGGATTTTGGAATTTGCATTTCTCACTTTTTGACATTTGACATTAGTAGAGGGAAAAGCAGAGAGACCCCCCAGCACGGAGCAGGACCGTCCCTGTTTTCTGAATGTCTTTGAGCCCCTCTGCCCAGATCCTCTTCCAGTCAGTTCCACATGAGTGTGCAAAGGTCCCAGCAGTGCTGCTGCTTTATGACCCCCAGAGCAGAGCAGCACACAGCTTCGAGCTGCTGAGCCCTTTTGACCCGTGGCTCAGCTTGCTGTGCTGTCGCCATCACTCTGGGTCTGCAGCCTTGTGTGGCTCCCTGGTTCTCACCACAGAAATCCTCCATGGTGCTTTTGCCTGGAGCTGCCTGCAGAGGGACAGTCTCTCACTTCCAAGCACTCTGTGCTTATTTATTCCATGCCTCCTCTGTTGCAGACAGCAGGTTTGCCCGGGTGTCTCTGGGGCTGCTTTTACACTGTCACTTATGTAAGGCTGTAGGAAGACCGAATGCTGTGCAGCAAAGCAATTGGAGATCTACAGAAGCTAAAGGCACACGTAGGCTGTCCTGCAGCTGGAGGCTGGGGGAGAAGTGGCTGAATGTTTGTGTTGCTCTTTGAATCAGCAAACTCACAAAACCCTCTCCAGCCCAGGTGTCCTTAGCAGGGTTATTCCTGGCCCTCTCCCAGCAGGGATTGTTAATTTTCAGCCCAGGCGACCGTTCCTACCGAGCAGATTTGCAGCCATTTAGAGAAAATTATGTTACAGGTTGGCAACTAATAGCCACCATCATTTTCTTCTGTGGCTGGAATGGGCGCATAACTCTCTGGGACAACATAGGTGCTGGCAGAAATGTCGTCAGAGCTGCGTTCAGAGCTTTCCAGCATCTGGGCATTAGTGCTGGAAATGTCACCCGTTACCACGCACCAGCTGTACCCATTTATCCCCCCTTTTGCCCTTTCCACAGCCTCACCTGGCAGTCGGGAGCAATGACTACTACATCTCGGTGTACTCGGTGGAGAAGCGGATCAGATAACGGCCGGTGGCAGCGCAGTCCCAGCAGGCGGCGCCTGCCTCCCCCGCGGTGTACATAGCGAGATCATCGACTTGAATGTTTCGTGTTGGCTGCTGCTGCAACCCGTAACTTGAACGTTTTGGTTCTGACTTAGCTACTGATGATTTGGGCGAGGGGAAGAGAGAGACAATCTCCTACTATTGTTATTATTATTATTATTTTTTTCATCTGTATCCTCTCAAAGCTGCAGAAAAAGGAATATTTTATTTTTGTTTCCGGTGGTTGGCTGCTCTGTTAGAAACACAGCTCCTGAGCTTCGGATGAGGCAGCGCCCTCGAAGAAGGTTCTTTCTTTTGATCTTTGCTTCCTCGTTTTGCTGGAGCGTCGTTCAGAACTCATGTCAGGACTCGCTGCAGCTCTGTGAGTCCCAGCTCATAGAGGGACCCCTCCGGTGCCACCGCCCTGTGCCCAACAGCCAGCCCTGGGCTGCCTGCCTGCAGAGCTGCATGGCTCCTGCACTGCCCACGGTGGGCAGGGGATGCAGGGTAAAATCTTTGTTATGTGACCCTTGTTCTCATGTGGTTTCCCTTCCCCTGGAAGAGGCAGAAGACCACACGACAGAGAAGGAAGGCAGAGATCCTGAGGAATGGAGCTTGGGGAGAAGACAGGAGCAGGGCAGGATGCCACCGCACTGTAAGGTTGCACATCCAGGACAAGAGGGAAGAAAGCATGGCCATCCCTATCATCCCAGCCCATCTGGAGCATGTCACCATGTAACCACTTTCCACCCGAGCACACGGTGCAGGCTGGGGTATCTCAGTCACAGTTCTGCAGTCGTTGTCCTTTTGCCCACAGTGAACTCTGCAAACACACTTGCAGAACTTCTGCCCAGCAGAGCTGAGAGGAGCCGAGCTCAAACCACAGCTTTCCTCTCGCTCCATGTGCTAAAATTCAGCGAGGTGTTGGACATTTGCACCTTGGAAGCTGCTTGTATGCAGTACAGACATGGTGTGTGTGTGGCTGTGGCTTGTCTGTGCTCCTGCAGAACAGGGTGCAGAACCACACGTCTGAGCACAGAGGAATCACTAAAGAGAGGGAGGACAGCAAGTCTTCCTGCTTGGAGCAAGCAGCTTTGTCCCAGCTCCCCAGGGAACAGGCAGCTCTGTTATCTGCACCTTCTGTAATGAATGTTTCTATCCCTTAAAGCCCGGAATGTGTCTGGAGATCAGCGTGGGGAAGAGAGATGCAAAGCCAAAAGGCAGATTTCTTTCAAGTGCTGCTGAGGTGCAATTTCCCTGGCCAAGAACCGGACTTGCACCGTGCAAAAGTCACTGTGGCCACTGAGGTTGACTTCCTAAACCCCAAGTCCCCAGGTTCCCTTCGTGGGTCTGCAGGCTCCCAGCACGCTGCCAGAGATGAGGCGGACGGTGATGGAGAGGAGAGAAACGTTCCCTTATGTGTAAATGGCAGCTTCCCCTCTGCCACGGCTCTGACCCAGCACTGCTCCCTGCACCCCTGATAACGTCGTTCCCTGTGTTTGCAGGCAGCTGGGTCATGGAATCTGCCCCGTGGCTCTGCCAGGCTTGCAGGGAAGCTGCCTACAAAATGCTGCATGCACCTCTGGATGCTCCTTGTGCTGAGCTTCCTTGAACTGCGTGGGCAGAGCGGTGCTGAGGGCTCAGTGCTGACCCCACAAAGGGCCCTCCGCAGGTCCTCAAAGCTCAAAGGCTTTAAACTAAAGGAGAAACTACCTAAAAGTCTACTTCTGAGTTACCAGACGTTACTGATGATCTAACAGAGCTGTGCCTCCCGCGCCGGGGGCTCTGCGTAACCGATTAACACACACAGCTTGAAAGCAAACAATAGACTTTTTAACTTCTATCAGTGTATTTGTCAAAGGAGTGAGAACTGCCTGGCACGAGGGCATGGTGGCCACCAGGAGGTGGGTTTGTGGCTACCTGGCCTGGTGTAGCTTCCATCCGAGCACGGTGTGTGTTGGGGGCTGCGTGCTCACAGCTGTGATGCAGAGATTCAATCATGGGGTTTAACCGAGGGTCTGGAGAGCATCCTACCTAAAAGTTCACTTATCTCTATTTATTTTACAAAAATTTAAAATATATATATATATTAAAAAAAAAAAAAAATACAAACAATAAAACCAACACACAATTGTAATGTGAGAGTCAATTACAGACAAATAAATGGTTAATAAAAAATAAATGCAGAAATGGTGATGGGCTGGGGATCGTTTCGTGGGACAGGGAGTTGGGGGGGGAAGTGGGGAGAGCAGAAACAGCGTGGGAACATGGAGTGCTGCAGCCGTGGGGCTCCTTCCTTGCATTCCCCATCCCCTGTACTCATTTCCTATATGCCCCACCCCCACTAAACCCATCCTGACCACCCCTTCTCCCCCAATCTGCTATCCACCATCCCCTAAGCTCCCCCTCCCTTATATCCTCTTTCTCCCATCCTCTCATCTCTTATGCCCCCTTTCCCTGTAGCTGCCACGCTCTGTGTCCCACCATCCTTTATAGCCTCCATCCCCTATAGATCCCCACTATCCCCTGTAAATCCTCTCATCCCTTATAGATCCCCTCCCCCCCCCCCGTGGGCCCCCTCTACTCCGTATAGATGCCCCCATCTCTATGGTTCCCCCCATTCCCTATAGGTCCCCTCTACTCCGTATAGATGCCCCCATCTTTATGGTTCCCCCCATTTCCTATAGGTTCCCTCTACTCCCTATAGATGCCCCCATCTCTATGGTTCCCCTCCATCCCCCACTGGTCCCCGCTATCCCCATAGTCACCGCCTCCCGCTCCCGTCCGCGCCTCACTGGCGCCCTCTGGCGGTCTCCCCGTCGCACTGCACGGCGCTCTCCCTTTCGCTCCGCGCTGTGCCGTTTCGGGCCCTACGCGGCCGCCGTCGCGGGGCGGGGCGGTGCGGCCGGGGCCGCCCGGGGCCGGGGCAGGAGCGGCGGAGGGGCGATGGGGAACCTGTTCGGACGGAAGCGGCGCAGCCGCGTCACGGAGCAGGACAAGGCCGTGCTGGTGAGAGCGGGGCCGGGGCCGCAGCGGTACCGCGGTGGGGGCTGCCGCCGCCCAAAGCCGGTCCGGCCCTGAGCCCGACCCCATCTCTCCTCAGCAATTGAAGCAGCAGCGGGATAAACTGCGGCAGTACCAGAAACGGATCAGCCTGGGCCTGGAGCGGGAGCGGGAGCTCGCCCGGCAGCTGCTGAAGGATGGCAAGAAGGAGTAAGGGGCGGCGGGGCCGGGCGGCTGCGGGCGGGAGGGAACGGAGCTGCGCCGGGTCTGACGGGGCCGAGCGGAGGGGAGGGGATGGGACGGGACAGATCTGACCTGACCGGACCTGCCCTGCCTCCCCCTCTGCTGATGCAGCCCAAGGACCGCTGGCCTTTGTGCCCCCAGCACACACAGCTGCCCCACATCCCGCATCTCACCATCACAACCCCCCCCTCCTTCACAGCACTTCTCTCAGTCCGTTCTCCTCCCGGCCGTTTTGCTCCCCCCCTCTCCCCCAGCTGCAGCATCCCGCACTTGGCTGTGTTAAACCTCATTTGGTTCACGTGGGCACAACTTTTAAGCCAGTCTGGGTTCCTCTGGCTGCTGTCCCTTCCTTCCATTGTATCAAATGCAGCGCTCGGCTTGGCGTCGTCCACAGACTGCTGAGAGTAGTGCTGAGAGTAGGCTTGATCCCTTCATCTGTCTCATTGATAACAGCGTTCAGCACTGGCCCTTCTGTGCTGATCTGCTGCTCTTTCCCCTCAGAAAAGCTATGCTCTTGTTGAAGAAGAAGCGTTACCAGGAGCAGCTGCTGGATAAGACAGACAACCAGATCAGCAACCTGGAGCGGATGGTGAGCGAGCACCGGGTGCTTCATGCGTGGGGCAGAACCAGGAGGGGCTGCTTCGGGGTGTGCAGGACTGCACCCCAGGTCCCAGCAGGGCTGTGATCCTGCCCAAAGCATCTGAAACTGTGCTGGTGCTGTGACACCTCTGTAAACAATCAAGTGGGAGCGTGTTGTGAGTCTGCACTGCAGGCTGCGGGTGAAAGGCGTGTTCTGTAAGTTAATAGAACCTTAGTCACAGTGTGGGCAGCTGCAGTAGAAACTTTGTCCAGCTTGTCTCGGAACTTTGGTGTAGAAATGGATGTGTTTGCTCTGGCATGGCCTGGGGAGCTACAGCCTAAGCTTAGATTTGAGAAGGAGACAAAAGCCTACTGCATCTGGTTTTGCAGTTACATGTGTCAAAGGAAGAGTTTTTGTATACGTTGTACTGCTGATACGATTTAAGCCTCCGTTGGGGCTCTTGACTGTCTTCACCTTTCAGTTTCTCCTGGGAGTCTGTGGCAGGGCTGTGACAGCTGTGACACTTCCCCCTGTCCCTCCTGTTTCAGGTCCAGGATATCGAGTTCACCCAGATCGAAATGAAGGTCATTGAGGGCCTGAAAATAGGCAACGAGTGTCTGAACAAAATGCACCAGGTACGTGTGGCCAGGTTGGCCGAGCGCAGCGTTGCCTTGAACTCAACAGGATCCTTGGATGTCTCCCTTCAGGCCTCACTCATGCGTGGATTTTTGGCTCTTTTCCTCAGGTTATGTCAATAGAAGAAGTGGAAAGAATAATAGGTGAAACCCAGGATGCTGTGGAGTACCAGAGGGTACGTATGGTGTGTGTGAGTAGCTGTGAGCAGAGGCAGGCTGCCACGTGTTTCTGTGGGGCACTGTGTGCCCAGCCTCGTTCAAGAGGCAGTCAGACTGGAACTTGAACTCTCTCTTGATTGCCTGCAGAAAAATTAGGTTTGTTGGTTTTCTGAGTAGCCCTTCGTGCCGTGCATCCATTGGTTTGGTGCATTGCTGGATCCTGCTGTAAGGCACAGAGCTGCTGCTGTGCACTGTTCTGACTGGAATGTGCCTTTTCCTCACTTGTGTAGCAAATAGATGAGATACTGGCTGGGAGCCTGACTGAGGAAGATGAAGATGCCATTCTAGAGGAATTAAACACTATCACTCAGGTAGGACTAACTTGATGTGATTACTTTCAGTGCGTGTTTTCGGGAAGCTGTTGGCAAAGGAGGAATAATCTTATTACCACTTGTGTTAGCTTGTTCTGCCACAGATCTCAGTTGCACCTGTTTGTGCCTAATTCCTGAGTCATGAGAGATCAAGCTAATTGGTTCACACACAGCAATCACTTGAAAATGGGATGATTTAAGGGCTGTGTTGTATTTGCTACAATCAGCTGATTTCTGTTCTTACTGGGTGGCTGTTCTGCTTTACTAAATGAAGATCTTGAAAGCCCTGGATCGTGCTCAGATGAACAGGAATCAGTGTATATTACCACTCTCTGTGATGCCTTTGGCTCCCCCAAACACTGCCCTGGTTTGGCTTCACTGCAGAAACATGCAGCCAGTGGGAAGTGAGGTGCAGAAGATCTGCAGCTAACATTTACTGGAGGAGATTTGTAGCTAACAGGGAGTCCTGCTGATTTAAATGCAAAAGTATCAAGCCCTGCTCTCATTCACTGAGCAGTGCTCAAACCCATGAGCCTTCCTGCAGGTCTGGGGGCAGGTATCCATTTCTGCATGAAGTCCCTTCTGTCACTCCTGTGTTCCCAAGCAATCTTTGCACATCACTGTGGTGCAAAGGTCTGTGATCACCGCGTGGAGCAGCGCAGGCTGGGTGCCACGTCTGCTCTGTGTTGTTCTTGCAGGAACAGTTGGAGCTTCCAGACGTTCCTTCTGAGCCGCTGCCGGAGGAGCCCCCAGGTAATGCTGTCTGCTCCGTGTGCTCTGCAGCTTTGGCTCCACGTACATCTCTGCTCTGTGCAACGCTTTGAGCCCTCCTGTTTGCTGTAAACGTCCCAGCAGACATGAAGGGGCGTAGGCTGTGTGGTGAAAGCTGGCACAGGCTTCCCTCCGTGGCTCTGACAAACCCTGTATTGCTGAACCTTTACCTTGAGGGGACCCGGTGCCCCTGCGTGGTGTCTGTGTGGGAGAAATCTGGGACAGGGAGGACAGGGCTTGTTTGGTTCCAGCACTTGTTTACTAAACACGGATCAAATGTCATCTCTGTGTTGACAGCAGGATGGCCGATCAAAATACGAGCTGCCCTCGCAGCAGGCAGCTGATGGAGCCCATGTAGACTCATATTGTCAGAAGGTGGGGAAGGGGGCAATGCTGCTGTGCCCCAGCTCTCTGAGAAATGGCTTCTTGATCTGGGTGTGTGTTGGGCAGGAGGCCAGCTGGAATGGTGTCAGGTGCACTCAGAAAGTGTTTTAATTCTTGAAGTGCTGCTGGAAAGAGAGGCATACTGGATAGGTAAAATTGTTTGTAATGCATGTTTGTGAGTTCAGTGGCTTTCCAGGCACTGTGCAAGCATTTGTTGCTCTGCTGGGAAGTGGAACACGAGTCCTGGTCCATCTGCAGCAGGTGGCTCTGCACGTTACTTCTGTTCTCACTGTAACAAGTTTCTTTTTCCTCCGCAGAAGCAACACCCATCAAGAACAGGCCAAAACCAGAGCTGGTGGCAGCATCTTAACTCCCGTTTCTGGGGATCCCCCCCATAACTTTCACCCAGGACGGTTTGCCTGGTGACAAAGCAATTGCCTGGGAACAAGCAATGCCTCGGCAGCATCCCAGCTGTGCTGGGCAGATTGTGGAGCAGGATTCCCTGTGCAGGGCGGGGATCCTCAGCCCATCGATTATTGCTCTTGTATCAAGATTATTTTCTAGTGCTTTCTTTTTTTGTAACTTAAATTCTCAACTCACTCAGCTGCGCTGTCTTGGGATTAAATAACAACTCTAAAACTTCCAAAGCCAAACACTTTCTCTCTAGGTTTGATTTCAGCTGTAAATCTGCCTTTGCTCTGTCCGGTCCCCAGCCTGCCCTCCCTTTGGGGTGCTTCTGTCTGATGCAGCTGTCCCAGGGCTGCTGTGAGCCCTTCTCTGTCTGCGCTGCTCTCAGCCCCTCTGCTTTTCCTCCCCTGCTTCTGGATGCAGGTAGCTGCTCTGTGGGTTGGGTTCTGCCAGCTGTGCGTAAAGCCAGGGTGTTCCTTTGGGCAAGGCACAGTGTTTGCTTGCCTTTGCCTGCAGCAGCACTCATTGAGAGGGGAAAACCTCCGGTGTGAGGTGAGGAGCTGGGCTGTCCCTGGGCAATGAGTCAGAGGCGGTCATTAAGGATTCCCACTCAGCTGCT